GTAAACATAGCTTTGCAATTGTATGAAATCTATAAGATATTAAAATTATCGCATCAGATTCTGTGTGCGTGCGTATTATGAATATTTATGACTAGCGCATGGACAAAGTTGTTAATATATTCGGTCACTTAATTTATAACAACAATTTGAATACGTTTACATGCGATATTTCATAAATTTTTTAAATAATATACTTAGGTTAGACAATATTATAATATTTCTGATGGTTATGTGCTATTTAATTGATCCAAATTTTTTGTTCAATCCAAAAGCAAAAGAGACAGTTTTATTTTTGTTAAAGGTATTACAAAGTTTCGGTATGAGGTCATGAATTTGGTTCAAATGAACATATTAGAAGCATATGTGATCCTACTATATTCAGTGATCGTTGTCGCGGTTGAAATCGAGTCTAAAGTTATGCAATTTTAAATAATAAACTCTTTATGTTGTATAGCTCCCTCTCAAGGCCAAGATATTAATTAAGCTATAAAACAATGTTTCTTGACTAAAACCGACCGATTACCTATTCCCGTTTGGAAATCATATATCACAACTATATATTCTGAGATTTTCATGGTCGCAGCTACCATTGTATGGCCGTAGGCGCTATTTGAAATTTATCAAAATTTACCGGGAGCACCGGTAAATTGTTATATTCAATTTTTCTCGAAAGCAGAAGTGTTTTAGGGGCTAAATTTTCTGGTACTTTTAATTCATTCACATGGGCATCCAAATATATCAAAATTGTAAAGAATGACTATCCAGCCAATTTTCAAAATTTCCCAAAACTTTAAGCGTCCGCACACCACCCCTTTCCCCCGTTCTTGCACTAGTACTACCAGTACCATCTCCAGTTGTACAGGTATCGTGCACGTACGAGCTTCATACGGCATACCGAACACTTCCAATTCATCCCTTGAGTTTCGGGGCCAGAGACCGTTAAAGACGGTTACCCACAAATCAATACCTGCATCTCATAACTCCAGTCATCGAAACTAACTCAACGGCCACACATACACTCTCACTTTCATTCCATTTCTTGATCTACACTGCTTCTAATAAGTATAACACTTCAATCTACTCAAAATAAAAAATGACTAATAAACTTACAGCAAAACGACGATTCCATATAGCAATGGAGGGCGGTACTGAAGAGAAGAAGAATGCTCTTACCTTCGGCGGTCGGTTCGCGAGTACAGTCTGCAGTACACCGTCGGATCAAATAGTCAACAAGGGCGAATGCAGGTGGTGTCGATGAATGGGGTTATACAGTGCGTCCCAGAAAAAACGAAACCGAGAATTATCGAATGACACACTGTTAAAGCTTAAATCACGCATGAATGATTAAAAACAATTTGAAGAAAGGGTACCAAAAAAGTCATTTGGCGAAAAGTATTTGAATTTCAATGGGAAAATCACATTAATTTCTAGACAGTTCATTTTCTGCCCTTTCATAATGATCGACACCACAATCAGGAAAATGAGCCAGGAATAACACAGTTCTGTTTGTATAAAGTAATGCTTGTATTTTCATAATTAAACGAATCAATTCCACTGGCTAATCGTCAATGAAACGGAGTTTGTTGTACAGTGTTGCTACGGCAGGCAGTCGTTAACAACAAATATGTATCATTTATTAATTTGATTGTGATTAAGTTATGATAAAACATCGATAATTCTCGGTTTCGTTTTTTCTGGGACGCACTGTACAGTTGCGGGGAATTCAAAGGCGTAACGCCTGGCATACCATTAAACAACATCCGACTGAAAATCAATTAATATTTCATCGAAAAGATAGCCATATGAAGAAAAAAAAAATTCAGGTAGGCCGGAGCTTTTGTTTTTTGCTCAAGGGTGGGGGCGGCCGGGGCCGGATGAGGTATCACTTTGTGCGGGTGTACTTTATAGTTTAATAATATACCGTACGTGACAGAGCGCATATTATAATGTAATGGTTTATTTATTCGAAAATCACATTGCAGCCTAAAGGCTGAATTGCACGATTTAAAAAAAAATCTTTGACATAAAAACAGATTATAATGAACATTGTAAAAAGCATTACACAAAATAATAACTGCATACAAAATTAGTAACGCAATAATATTCAACTAATATTCTTTTACATTTTAAACCGAAATAGCTAGGATTATCAGATGGTATAAAGGCACATAGATTAATAGATGATCAGATTGAGAGAGGGAGAGAGAGAATCAAGAAGGGGGAGAAAAAAGGTGGGAGTCAGAGAGGAAGAACTAGTGTTGGAAGAAAAAAATACCATAAGGTAAAAACTAAGAATCAGGAGTAACGAAAGCCAGAAATAAGGCTTTAGGTACGTGTTTTGAATGCTTCATCGTCAGAATGAGAGAGCAAACCAGGTACAACGAATACATGATATATTGATATGTGAATATTGTAAAATTAAAATACAATTCATCATTTAAAAAAGTTGTATGCTTAAAATAATACTTAAAAGTGAAATTAGATAAATTATACTTGTACACTATACAGAGTCCACAAATAGATACAACTAGGCTATTATTTACATTTAAAACATCATAATTATATAATATGTAGAATGTAGGATGCGAGGAATTAGGCAATACAACGGCAAAGGCAGATGTGTATAATGTATATGAAGTGGGAGAGCGAGAGAGAGAGAGAGAGGGGGGGGGGGGAGGAATAAGATAGAAAATGTAGTATGTGAGAGTAATATAGTAAAAGAGAGAAAATGGAAGGAGGTAAAAGAAAAAGTCAAGATTCATCAATATCCAAATCTAAGGTATGTGTAAACCGAACATCATCCCTAATAACTATTATCGTCTCTATGCGCTGTAAGAAAGCACGAGTACGAAGGCAAGGTGGATAGAGTAAAAAGATTGAGGTATGCTTCACATACTTCCTCTCAGAAAGTATTTTTGAAAAGAAATAGTAACAATGAATGAGGGGGGGGGGGGGGTCGGACCAACCATATTCTATCATATGTATATATATTTATTGAAATGGAATCCAACATTTTGGATTATTTTCAATACATACGTACATAAAAAAAATATAGGCCTATATAATAATCAGCATTGAGGTCAAGGCCCATGCAAAGGATATTGAATAACAACAATAATTACGCCATTTCTTAAATAAGATTTTATGCCAGATTTTCTCTTTCCATCTTTCTTAATTTCCTTTTTACATTATTTGATACCCTTTCTTTTAACATTGGAACGTACATAATTTATGTTTACATCCTTTTCTTTGCTTCATCAAAATACTAATAATATATGGTCTAAGTGGGTTGGTTAACCTTCATAAACGCATTGATAGATTGTGAAAAAACTTTCCAACTTTTCATCAATCTCCCGTTGTATAATGGAATATGTTAAGTATATTCAATAGAAATATTGTAAGTTTCAATAGCTTGTTGTCTGCTTAAAATCTTAAAGCACATCCTTCAGGTTCCAGTCAGGGGCGGATCCAGCCAGCGAGGGAGGGAGCCCAATTCGTGAGAAAATATTTAGCGGCAATGTCCCAATGTCTACAATATTTAACCCTATAAACCCGGGGCCAGGAACTAAGTTATTTTTTCAGTTTCCCCCCTCCCGCGCGAAGCGCGGAAGCTATGACGTTTCATTTAATTATTAGTGAAAGAAGACCATTCGTTGTACTGTTCTCGACTCTTAATCCTATTTTGAATTCAGTTCCCCCCCCTCCCGCGCGAAGCGCTGAAGCTCTGACGTTTCATTAAATCAGAGGAAAAAGACGATTCGTTGTACTGTTTTCGACTGTTAATCCTTGTCTTGACCAATTTTCCCCCTTCAGCGCGAAGCGCGTAAGCTTTGACGTTTCATTGAATTATTACTCTTAATCCTTGTCTGAAGCGAAGCGCGGAAGCTTTCACGTTTCATCAAATTATTAGAGAAAGAAGTTGATTCGTTGTACCGTTCTCGACTCTTAATCATTTTCTGAATTTTCAAAAATGTTTCTTTGTCCGATAAAAAGTCACAGTTCAAAGGGGAAAAAAAGTTGCCGGCCGACCGACATAATACATCTCACCGAATTCAAATTTCTGCATTGATATAATACACGAGGATTGAGCAAGAATATCGACACATCGGACCCGACACAGCAACATAATTATCTATACGTGTCTTTCTTGCCCTCTCGACGTGGTGACTCCACCCAACATCCCTCTCTCTCTTACTCCCCCCTCTTCTCTCAGGCTCTTAACCCCCTCTCTCTCCTCTGTTTCACCCCGTTTCTTTTTACCCTTTTCTCCTTTTCTTTCTTTTCTTTCTTTTCCTTTCTTTCCTCTTCTTCCTCTTTTCCCTTTTTTTTTCTCGTTCTTCTCTTCTCTTTTCTTTCTTTCCTTTCTTATCCTTTTCTTTTTCTCCCCCCAACTTTCCCACACATTTCCCCCTCCCCCTTTTCATCATTTTTCCCGACAGCAGCGCAATTTTACCGACAATATCCTGTCAGGTGTGTGTGTGTGGGGGGGGGGGGGGGGGGGGGGGTTGTCACACCCCACACACCCTTTAGCGATCGAGTAGCGACGGCCCTGGTTGTTATCCCATTATTCTTTTAAAAGAAATGAAATTCCTCATGCTCTCGCACCTCTCTTATATCGTTGTTTAATTCTCTTTCATTTTTTTCCTTTCTCCTGTCACTCACAAAAAAGGCTCTTCCCCCCTTTTACCATCTCTTTTTTGGTTCTTCTTCTGCTTTTTTAAAGGGGGGGGGGGGGCACGTGCCCCCTGTGCCCCCCTGAATCCGCCACTGATATATATCAGTGGTATATATATATATATATATATATATATATATATATATATATATATAATTATACACGAGAGATTCGATCAGAATTTGGACTTCGGAGGGCAGTCTCATCTCCCTGGGCATACTGTGTATTTCTGAAAGTCCTATGATCAAATCTCTTTGATGGTCTAGTAAGAGCGCCATCTATCGTTCATGTATGGAAGAGAGAATATAGCAGAAGTATCAACATCATGGATGTCTTCGACGAAGGAATTTGTGATGATATTTTGCCCGAGGACTGGGCTAAAGTAGAGCGATCCAGAAAGACAGTAAGTGTCGTAATTTCACCATATAACCTAGCCTCAATTGGCACCCATATGCCTGCGACTACGTGAAAGAGTGATGTAAAAAAGCTAAAAATGCGTGCGTGATAATGAGACATGAATTTGATGAATTTGATGACATTGCATTGTGATTGGCACATACCCATCTAGACCGAATTTTCCGTCTCTTTCGTTCGTTAGCCTCTTATTGGGGTAGGGTCGGCTCTCTCTTTAGAGACGGAAGCCGTTTATACACATGTCCTTGCTAACGCCACGGCCAGTTCTGGTCGTAGCGTTTTGCCCCCAAAATCCCCCAAAATGTCATTTTACCTCGAGCATGTTATATTGTAAATTAGGCCTAGGCTATAATAAATCAGTTCCACTTACCAACTTGACTGAAATAATCAGTTTAATAGTCCCTTTTTAGGAAATTATGGGTCAAAATCGGAATCCATGTTGAAAAAGATTTTCAAAATGGATTTCGATTTTGACCCATAATTTCCTAAAAAGGGACTATTAAACTGATTATTTCAGTCAAGTTGGTAAGTGGAACTGATTTATTATAGCCTAGGCCTAATTTACAATATAACATGCTCGAGGTAAAATGACATTTTGGGGGATTTTGGGGGCAAAACGCTACGACCAGAACTGGCCGTGGCGTTAGCAAGGACATGTGTATAAACGGCTTCCGTCTCTAAAGAGAGAGCCGACCCTACCCCAATAAGAGGCTAACGAACGAAAGAGACGGAAAATTCGGTCTAATACCCATCATGCCCATGCGTGCGCGTGTGCGTGAAGAGAGATGTAAACAAAGCCTAAAAATAAAATGCGATTGTAATCACCCTAAGCATACGAATTTCATCAAAAACATGGAGTACGTGTACTGGTAACAGGTAACAAAAAATTGTATCGTTATCACTCCTCCAGTATCAAATTTTCATTTTTTGAATGAAATTCTTGACCGATTTGTGCTTTGTTAGTTTGTACGAGAAGAAAAAGAGTCCACCTCGGCTCACCGTCAACTACGAAGCCAGTGGGTGGGTGCAGGAAGGGCCTAGGGCTGTAGGGGCACTGGCAGTAGGGTCGCTGGCAGTAGGGTCGCTGGTCCGAGAATGAGGATCGTCCACATAAACGAGGTCATACAAGGATATCCTCGTAAACGTGGACAAATTGCGTCCTATAAAATAAGGATCGTTTGAGAAATTTTCACAGACGTTTTTTTTCATCAGTGCTCTAGGTAGGCAAATTCATGCAAAAAAATATATTCAAAAAATTGACTTGAAAACACATCAGACAATTAGTCTGAACCGAGTCAGGAGCAGATTTGAAAAAATTATATTTTTAAATGTTGTAAAACCAAAGATATAAGAAGAAAACTGACCAAGTATCTGTACTAAAAATCGTACATGTAAAATTGGTCGTACACATTCGACAGCTCTAAATGACGCGCACGGTTGCGTTACGTGCGTTCTCGAATCCAAAATCATACCTCACACACACACTCTCACCATACCGCGAATGGTCCGTCGTGGGGAGCTAGCCGGCTGAGAGTTTGCAGCGATACCAACGCAGCTTCGGAGCTCCGCAGCGCGCCATTTTAGCGGGACTCGGAAAGGTTCGCGGTGGGAAGGCAGCGGCCTAGCTTTTTGCCCAAACAACGCTAGATCGGCTGCTGGCAAAATGAAAATAACTACGATCGAGAACATCGTCGGTTTCTTAACTTTTCAGTGAGATAATTCTGAATTCTAATTGAGACTATATAATAAATTAAATCGACAAAGAAACCTCGGTAGAACTCTTATAACTATACAAAAGCTTGTTTATTTCTTCATTTGACATTTTGTTTTTGACCATTTTTTCGTGCGCGAGTCAATGCAAACTATGTATTACCAAACTTTCAACACGCAAGGACCGGGGAACACTCGCGGACCTCGTATCAAATTCGTTGCAAAAAAAAAAAATCAAGGGTGATTTTGAAGCAGTGAAGAATATTGGCGCTGCAATGCGCAGAAATATACTTGAAAGAAACTTAAAAAATCATACCTGAATTTTCAGAAAATCGTATTTGTATTAGTGTACCTAGATGTGAATTGTTTATAACTCAGATTTTATGAAGATTTGTCGGGAAAAAATGTCAATTTTTTCCGTTTGGTGGTCATTTCTAGGCTAATATTTTAAAAGTTACTTCAGTAATGGTCCCGATGTTTCTCTTATCATACTCGCATGTTATTCCTACATAGATTAAACATAGGATGGTTAAGGGTAAGACCGGATAACATTATAAAAAAGATATATCCTTCCAACCTCCCATATCCAAGTTTTGGGCTGATTATTGCCGACCCACCGCAGCAAGGCCATTCAGATTTTCGTACGCGACCGAAGCGCCCTCTAGTGCCTCATGAATGTGCCTACTCTAGCTGCTCTTTCGGGTTCCACATGAAGAGGGCATCCTGACCTCCTCACTCTTAAAGTAAAGATAATAAATTTGTATTTTTCTTGTTATAATTTTCCCTTCATAATAAGTTAAACATTAATCAGTTTTCTCAAAACTTGCAAATTGAAAATAACAAAAAACATTCTAGGCCAAATTAATTCAAACATCCAACAACTTTTTATTATTATTCTTTGTTCAACCATGTGACATGTCAAAGTGTGAGATGCATTTTTCAACCCTCTAATTTTCAGTCTTTGTGTTATATTTTAGGATGGCTACAAAGAGGGCATAGCAGCTGGGCAGGAATCGTGTCTTCAGCAAGGTTTTAATTCAGGCTTTTCACAAGGTACGAGAGCAAGTTTCAGCTACAGTTTCATCAAAGGAATCATCAAGTAAGTAATGTCCGGTGGCAAGTTATTAATCAACATTTTCCACCCTCCACCCAGGTGTGGTAAGTGGGTACCAGGTAGGAAGAAATTCCTGGAATGCTTGAATGTCTCAAATTAGTCTGTGGAATTAACTCATTTGATGATAGATGGGATATTGTTCCATTCTTTGGAGGCTGTTACAGTGAATATGTGATCACTAGCTTATTCAGATTGTTATTTGTAATAAAGTGATGATCAATTTTTAGGAGATACAAGTAATTGTAATTTTTTGATGTTACAGAGTTAGAAATAGGAGAAATGTGTTCTGGGGGTGTTTCATAAAGCCGTGCATAAAGTTACGCATGTCTTTACGGATGACTTGAATATGAAGAGCTAAATGGAATTCTCAAATCCTTTTAATGGCATAAGCTAAAGTTGAAAAATGCAGATGTAGATTAACCTTATCATTATTTACAAATATTTTAATGCAATGTGTTTTTTGGGCTACAATTTAATTAAGATTATGGGAAATACAGTCGAACTTTGTTAAAATGTCAGGAAAAACTTTGGGCATCCCATTTTGCTCTTCATATATTGAAATCATTTGTAAAGTCATTCATAACTTTACGCACAGCTTTATGAGACACCCCATGGGTGCATAACAGTGTTGAGCCCTGGATATGTGTACATAATGAAGCTGAAGTCAAGCTAGACTGGATGATCAAATGTAATCGAATTATTCTTTCCTGACAGTGCCTTGATTACCAGCCTTCATTCCAGAGAACAAGATTTAGATGATGATGCTGTAACCCCGGCAACCATTCAAGATCTGGAGGCTATCATGTCCGAGTTAGATTCTCTTCAGCTGGAGAAGGGCTCTACAAAGAGACGCTGTATAAGCAGTGGAGATACGAGCGGTTCGTCTAAAGGTCATTAGTCTTTCTCTCATAAAGCTTATGTGTATTCTGATAAGTATGCTCTTATAGGGCCTAAACAAAAAGATGTTGCATTTGCCCTTTAGGTGCCAAAACATACGTTGGTCAGAGAATTTTTTTTTTCTCTCTCCCTCTTTGGGCTGATATTTCTCAGTTTTGAATGGTTTAAAATATATTTTACTTATTCATTAAACATTTGTTTTCTTTTAAAAAGCCGACCATTGATTTCAAACTTTTTTTTTAACGTCTAGTTAAAATGTACCAATCATCTGTTTTTGTTGTTGTTAGTATGCATAAAATCAATCTAAAAAGACTTTATCTGGCAATCTATAGGTAAATGGTTAAAGAGTATGAATACAATGAAAAGATAACATAAAACCCTGCATAGACTTATGATTTATGGGGCATGGAACCCAAGACCAACTTGAGTTCCCTGGGAGCCCTATTCTATGAGAGTGCGTTTACTAGTGTACTAAGCAAGACATTTTACTGTTCACTGAAAATGTTATCGTATATTTATTAATTTGCAATCTCTTTGTAGAAGTAGTATCTAAAGCTCATATTTTTTAATTCAGTATAACCACATGAAACCCAAAACATCAAAGAGTTAGATATGTTTGTGTGATTAATACACTTAAATTAAAATATTGAAAAACTCCACATTAATATTTTGGTACTAATATATTTATGAATGTTTTCTCTTATTTTATGACTGCTCCAGATGCTCGAGAGAAGAAAGAGGAATGTCAGAAAGGAGGGAAAACAACTTGCTGTGTAGACTCAGGAAACAGTCATAATGACCCGTCATCTACAAGTTCAGCATTTCCTTGTCATCAGAAGAGAGACGAAGTGGCTAGTGGCGAGTCTACTCAGAAAAATGCTTCAGGAGGCATCGATGAAGAACATTTGTTTTATTCACAGTCACACAATCCAGGACTCAAGAAGATTGTAGAAAGACTAAAACCACATCTTGAACAAACTCACCATCAAGATATCCTCAGCGTATCTCATCAATTCCTTTAGCCTTTCCTGATTCAAGTATGATATGGAGATTCTTCTTTCGTATGAGGTAGTAGCATCATATATATCAAGTTATTTCTTGAAGCTGGGTAAGCCAGTTGACTTGTGCTGTAAGTACTGTAAGTACTGATATTATTCTTGTTGAGTCAGCAGCAGCAAAATCAAAAGAGATTATACCACTGACTTAATCATCATTTAGATTGTAGAAAGACTAAAACCACATCTTGTAAAAACTCAATGTGCATTTATCAATGATTTCTTAAGCCCTTCTTGATCAAGTATGATATCAAGGGGATAGTCTTGCTGTAAGTACTGATATTGTTTTTGTTGAGCCAGCAACAAAATCAAGAGAGACTGTACCACTGACTCAATCCACATTTATAGAGTAAAAAGATTATAACCAACATCTTGTACAAACTCACTCTCAAGATATTTAAAACGTATCTCATCAATTCCTTTAGCCTTTCCTGATTGAGTATGATATGAAGGAGATAGTCTTGCTGTAAGTACTGATATTGTTTTTGTTGAGTCAGCAGCAAAATCAAGAGAGACTACTGTTTCATGTCGTTGTCTGATTCTGTAGACATGTCAATTCTATTCAATTCAAATTTATTTCACATCCCTTTAAAAACATATCAGAAGATATTCAAACAAATCAGTATAAATTAAACAATAAAGTATAACAACATTTATGGACATGGCATTTTGAAAGAAGGATGAAGGGTGGTGGATGTGAGGGATCAACAAAGGCCATTGGCCTGTCAAGGCTAATCCCCTATATTACCACACTTTAAGAGAAATACATATAAAACAAAACAATCAAACAAACAGATAATATAACATAGCATAATCACATAAAAAACAACATAACTAATTACATTAATCACATAAAAGGCAATTAGATCGAATGAAACTACTCATTGTTAAGAAGATAAAATTCATATTTTTTCTGAATGCAAGAACAGTTGAGATTTCTTTGAGTTCATCTGTTAAACCATTCCAAAACTGTAGGCCTTAAAAACTTATCGTGGTTCTTGAAAAGTTGAAATGATAAAAAGGTACCTACATTTTATTGCAATTTCTTGTTTTATACTTATTGATGTTGCTATTATAATTAAAATAGTCATCAAAGTTATTGGGTAATGATTGTTTAGAATCGGGTTACTCTTATTCAGATTCTTTGGCTCTAAGCAGACCCTCAGTGACCCATTTTGCTTCTCCACACAGACAAGACTTGACATCCACGGTGTAGGCCTGTCCACCGGGGCAATAATCCCACTCTCTGTCAATCTGTCTAGTTCTGCCTTGAGTTTTTCTCTGATGGCCATCGGTACTCCATGAGGTGGATGAACTATAGGTTTAACTGTGTCAACTAATTCCAGATGATAATCTCCTTCAAGCTTGCCTGTACCCTCAGAAATCAGCATGTCGACAGTCTCTGGCAACAAGCAGTTTCGTTTTGCTGTTACTATGTTCCCTGCTGTTGAAAACACCCTCTCAGACGGCACAGACGTGGCAGGGATCCCCAAGTACTTGCGGGTGAGTTGCTGCAGTAGTGGCAATCTCGTATGACTCCCTTGCCACCACATGAGGGGATTGACAGTTACATTGGCAGACGGCTGAGCCAGAAATTCGTCGTACTCGTCATCAGCTGATTTCTCTCTCCCAGCGGGAGCTGCGCCCATCAGATAATTGACGCCTAATTCGAAGTCGGCGGCATGCTCGTCATCGTCATCGGCCTCGGCCTCATTTTCTCTCTCAGCGTCGCCACGGACCTGCTGGAGAGCTTCCAGGCATCTGCGAACTTCTGCTTTGACTATTTCGCTATCGGCGTGAGGGAGAAAGGTCAAATCTTTATACCGTGGGTTGACTGCTGCGCCCATGGCTGCCTCTCCAACTTGAAAATCGGGCTGTCGAAACCTGGTCTCAAGCTGCAGCCTCGTTGTATGTTTGAAGCTGCGAATGGCTTCTTCATCATCTTCCTTGACATCGAGGTGATGTTGGATCAAGCCAGATATTATGGGATATTATTTTCCTTTGCAGATAGGACAGCAACCTACAGTACAGAATGACAAAATATATATTGTTTTATTTCAGGCTGATTGCGTTATGAGGGTTATGTATATGTCATGCTGAACCCTACTGCTAAATTTGAATCTCTGAACAATGATACTGGGTTGTGGGCATTCATGGTCTTTCACAATCTTAACTAGGTCATCAGAAGTCTTCTCCCTTGGCTTGGCTGGAGCCAACAACGTCTTCATCAATTTGTATGTCTTTGCTCCAACAGACGATAACAATATTGACTTTTTCTTGCTTTCACCAAAATCATTGACATTAAAAAAAATGCTCCATATGTTCAACACATTCAGCCCAAGACTCACCAGAACCATCATACTGTTCAATACTCCCAATAATTGCCATTCTCGTTGATTCTGGCACAGCGGAAAGACACAGTTCCAAACAGTACCAACTAACAAAATGCACCAACGGCAATATTGTCGAGCTTCGCTACACTTGTAATAGTACAGCTTCAACATACAGACACTCACAAGCACACATGAATTCCACAAAGCACACACAATCAAAAAGCATCCCTCATCTGAACAAATAAGGATAATAATAATAATAATAATAATTGATTCTTATTGAGCGCTACTACAGACAAACTGATCAGAGCGCTATACAACAGAAAAGAAACATACAAATCACAAACCATCGAAAACAGCTGCCAGTCACCCTAGACGTCAATGTAGTAACCGAGTGTTTATACCTTGGAAGCACCTTAAATATGGGACATAGCAATGACAAGTCCATTCTATGCTGTTGTGGTGATAGCCATCTTTATTCTCAACTACTTTCTCATTTCATCGTAGCTGGCGCTAGGCCACTACAAACAATTGTTCAAATACCACACCAAGTACACTATTTGTCGGCTTCAGTCGAGTTTCATCTACTCGACTCGGAAGCACATTGCAGCTTGCTTCCGAGTCGAGTTGAAATCTAACCTGTTCACCTTCAACAAGCATTACCGCGAATACTCGTTTCAATGGTTTCTCTTGCATCGAGTGAATTTTATCTACCAGTTTCACTGAATTCAACTGTAACTGGACAGAGTTGTTATCTACTTCATGCACTTCCTCAAGAATCTTGGTTTTGCAAACAACTTGGAAGTGGTTCCTCTTTCCACACTGAACACATTCCTTGCCAAGTACAGGGCATTTTTCTTTCACCTGGTCATCATGTTTACCACAATACTTGCAGCATTTTACCATCTTTGGCTTTGATTTTGGCTTCTGGTCCCTTTTTTTCTCCATCATTTATTAATTGAATAATATGTACATAAGAAACACATAATTATATTGATTACAAAGCCGACGCCGGGGGTTTCCACTCGTCTTCTTTGATGATGGTGTTTTGTCCATTTTTGCTGGTATAAATGTCTTGGTTGGCACGGCATTGTCCGTAAGTTCCCGTTTAAATTCAGCAGAAAATTTCCCTTCCTTACGCAAGTTTTCTGCTAGCTTGTATCTTTTCATGTGACCGTCGCATATTTTTACACGGTTGTTATGGAAGACACTGGGGCCTGTAAAATCCTTGCGATAACTTTTCACAAATTTCACTCATTTGTTTCGTCGGCTGGGATCCTTCTTTTAACTCGGAAAGCCGTAGAAAAATTGCTGTCTTGTTTTGAGATGTTCCAGAACGTCCGTAAACAATGCAGTTTGTCGGCATTTTGCCGAATTTCGACAAAAACGCATTTTTTGATAGGGTGGTTTTCTACTATATCGTGATGTTCGTTAGTGTAATTCGCGGGTACTTTCGACATGTCAGATCAGCGCGCGGTCAACACTACTGCAAGTGACGTCAGTGGTGACGTCAAATCCCGACCTGCATCACGTGACTTTTAGTAAGCTTTTCAGAATTGAACGCTTATGTTGGCTGAAAAATGCCAATTTCAACACTTAATAACAAAAAAACGGTAAATCAGAGAGTAAAAAAACTTCAATTTATTTGTTCAGTATATATCAAATAATCTTTTACCCAGCATTTTTTAAATTTTTGAACACATCAAAATTCAAGTAACTCAGCACTTTAAATAAATGTTGAATATGTTTGTAAAATTACATTTTCTTTTTTGCGTATATAAAACATGAGAAGCTACATTCATTAATAGATTTTTAAAAACTACATATTTTGAAATCATATTATCACATTGCTTGCCTACAACTATATCACTGTATTCAATTGTTTTCATTATCAAATAATACTTTTGTTTTTCCGGGAAACTGTAAGCTTTCAAAACTCTTTTTTATTATTTAACCAATTTTTATCAAACTTTCACAAGTCAATTTCTTCCAACTTTTTGTTGTTGCTTTCACCTGAAGCAACTTGCTATTATGGTAGGATTATACTATTAAAGATAGCTAATAGAATCGGTGGTCACTGGTGTAAACCCATAATGTTGTCCCTTTTATTCGTCTTTCACTAAAAGCAAGAAAAATAGTCAATAAAACAAATAAAGCTACTTTAGTGCCATTGTATATATTCATGTTAGTCACAACTCGCTCTGTATTATCAACAAACTCAACATCCTCTTGAGAAGGGCCAGGTAGATGTTAGGTATCTGCTTCAGGTGTACATGTAGTTGCTGGCTTTGGGTCATCTTGTAGGAAGACCTGGAGTTTGGATTTGTCGGCAGGGAGTTCCTCGTCGTCGTCAAGATTTAACCAGTCATCCCATTCAGAATGGAAATACTGAATGTCGAAACGTCTACCGCCCAGATTGAATGTCAAGGTAATGCATGTGGTTAAGTCAGTGTAACTGCAGTCATCATCTGGCAGAGTTATGAGCTTTTTGACATTATCACACGTGACGTTGAAGTTATACATCATGGATACTACAAAGTAAAGCAGATATTAAGGAAAAGTGAATTTCCTCTTGGACATCTGCTCCAATAATCTTGCTGCATGCCTCTCAGTTCAATGTTTTCGAGGACATAATTAGAGTCATTATTCAATCTGGGTGACAGGTTCTTTTTTCATTTTGGACACTGGAGCGGATGGCGGCCTGCATGTCCTTCCAAACTTGCATTTCTTGAGATCCGTCGTCTGCTGCTTTCCTCTTGGGGTTCTTTGGTGGCTGTGCAGGCTGTTCCCAAGAGTCGGATATCTCATTGATGCCACTTGACCTTGTCTTGATTTTCAACTTGTTTTGTCTTTCTACCTCATGTCATACAACGGTGGTAAAGGGCTTCTAGGACCTCTTCATCAGACATTGTTTCTGTTAGGTATGGCTTCAACTCAAAATAATAATAATAATAGATAATAAATAGAGAAATTTCTCTATGCACTTTACAATCATGACAAATTTGAATATATAAACAACATAATGAATTAACAAAGTAGAAAAGCAAATGACAAAAAAAATATTTATGGGGAATTTAACCAATTCACCTTTGATTACACGTGAGTAAAACTATTTGACGTGACATATTACAAATTCAACAAACAAACACCCATTATGTCGAACCAACCTCCTAACCAGCAAAAGGACAAAGCAGCTCTAGGAAACCCTTGAAAACAAATAAGTGTTCAGGGCTAATGATGGATAGTGTCATTTTGTAGGCCTGTGGAGGCAGCATGAAGAAACATCTTCTGTACTTGGTTGTCGTTGTAGCTCACTCCAGACCCAGCTTCCTGACAGGCAAAGAGAACCTTTTGCTTCAAGTCCATCGACCGAAGGGTGAAGTCATGTTCTGATTCACGGCTCCCTTGAGCAGCAGTTGACAGCTCCTGAAATAGTGCCGTAGCATCCTTTTCACTGTAGTGAGCCCGTAAGATCTTTTGAAGAATGGGTAAGTCAAGGCCAGACCTTTCTTCAAGATTACTCCGGTTCAGGAGCCCGGGACTGATAGCACTAATGCATGACCTGCTCCACAACCTCTTCTTTGGCATACCTTATGCAAAGTCCAATGTCGTTCTGTCGAGCGAGGCTAGAGAAAGACAGCTTGTCCTTCTGCTGGTGTCTCCAATTTGCCCCATAATCCGGAACTCCTTCCTGAATGCCACGTTGGTGGTGAGAACAGAAGGTGCGACGTCATCTGGCTGGGCTGCTGTCACGCTTTGGGTTACCTGAATAATCTCCTTCACATCAGAGTCACGTTCAAACCCATCCCCTTGGACATTCCCAGCTTTCCCAACCAGTACCTCCCTCATCTTACCCTATACTGCCTCACCTTCCATCTTCCAGCTCCTCTACTTCCTTGCTGCACAGATACCGCTGCAGCATTCGAAGGAGCCCAACACGTCCCTTCGACACGTCAGCCCCTGGCCTCTCTAGAATCTCTGCAACTTTGAGGAGCTTGTACCCGCGTTCAGCCGGTCGTTCACATCGGCCACCAGATCCTCGAAACCTGCCATGTCTGCGGTGGGTCAAGCGTCAAAAGATTCCCTTATGCTTAGAGTCAAACGTTGCAAGTCGTAGTCCGATTCGTTTATGGTGGATGAGGCATCATAGAGTTAGGCTGCTGGCGTGTAGTCTTCACCCATGAATACGTCATCCGGGCAGTGCCTCTAGAAATTCAACACAATGGAACACTCTTCTGTCCACTTCCACTTGGTATCCTTTTTCTTCAAGGCATACAGTGGGACAGCCTTATCTGCAAACCCTGGTACACACTTCTGATGCCATCCAATCATTCCCAGAAATCTCTCTAGTTCCTTGACAGAGGTAGGCACGGGATACTCTCTGATGGCAGACACCTTGTCCGGGTCGGGCTTCAAGCCATCAGCCCCAATGAAATGGCCAAGATACCTCATCTCCCTATGTAAGAACTGGCATTTCTCAACATTCACAGTAAGCCCCGCAGTCCTTAACCTACCCAAGACTTCCCTCAAGTCCTTGTAGTGATCCTGTGCGCTACCAGAAAAACAGACAATATCATCCAAGTAGACATAGCAACACCTTCCAACGAGATCACCAAGTACAGTCTGCATCAATCTTTGGAAGCTCGCTGGCCCATTGACATCCCCAAAAGGAAGTACTTTGAACTAAAACCGACCTTGTTTGTACACAAACGCAGTCTTCTCTTGATGATTACCCCAAATGAAAGGGGAAGAATACACCTGACCAAGAACAAGACTTCAAACAGGATAGTTTAAGTTGAAACAACAATAATAATAGCTTTATTTTAAGTAAGACTCTTGACCATAGCTGCTGTTAGCCTTTTCCAAGTCACTGCATCTTTTCTCTTACTTCTGTACATTACATTGTAAACCCTTATACTATATAGATCAATTTGCACAATACAATACATTAAAACAACATGAAATTCAAAAGGAAGGAGGGCCGACTAAAAAACAAAGCTTGTATGGTGTAGGCCCGGCTGTGTAAGTAATTATGAATTATTATTTTATTAGAAGAAGAAAACAAACAATAACAATAACTGATTCAGTAATACATAAATCATTTTTAAAGGCAAAACAATGATAAATACATACATAAAAAGAAACAATCAAAGTTACACAAACATCAAAGTTGCATAAAGTCACACTACAGATTATATACTGTATACGTCCTAGCCATGGTGTTGAAATTATTTTCTACCTCTCCTTTGTTTAAAATTTCACTTAAGGAGGGGAAAAAACTTCTCAGCAGTTTAGTATTGCAAGTATTTTCCTGTTTATCACCTACAAATAAAAGAAATTTGACAAAAGTTGTTTTTTGGAGGGTTTTACCAAAACTGCATAACCTTGAATATATCATCAGAAGTATATGTGTACAATTATCAACTGTACATTAATGTAACGTATACGGCACATGTAGCCTATTTTTTGTATCGCTACGTGGAGACTGTATATAATCATTGTAAACATGTCCATTCCTCAAAGGAATATTTGTGATATTAATTGTTTATTGACATTGAAAATCAAAATATGTGATTTGCTGGTTTCTAGTGAAGTCTTTCATTTTCATCTTTATTGAGAATATCCATCCTTGTCGTTTGTCAGCTATTTAGGTGATTATAAGATGTTCACTTTTTTGTTTCTCTCTCTATCCATCTGTGATGAGCAGGTTGGATATGTTTTGATATGAATTGTGAAGGTTCACGAGGGCCAATTATCATTATTTTACCATTATTCTTTTGGTATTTATTTATTCATGTATTTATTATTAAGATTTTTTAATTTTATTCATGAGCTTTAGTTTGCATTGTACGTTAAGGGTTCTTTGCTGGCACCCTAGTGCAGTCAGCTGCACATATTACTATTGTAAAGATATATTGCAAGTTAACATACCAACATTGCACTCTATAAATAAATATGAAATGATTTACGAGGAAAGGTTAAGTGTATTTCAATGCTTTCTCCTCTTATGGGGAGGGATGGGGAAGAGAGATATTCCTGTGCAGAAAAGACTGGGCTGAAGATAACGAGAGAGGGAGATCGAGATAGAAAGAAAGAGAGAGAGAGAGAGAAAGAGAGAGAGAGGAAGGTAGATAAGAGGAGAGACAGTCAGTGGAAACTAGTACACAGATGAATATTGAGAGAGAAAGATAGACAGATCGAGAAGAGAGACAGAAGCTATAGTACACAGATATATATTGAGAGAGAGAGAGAGAGAGAGAGAGATAGAAAGAAAGAATGGAAGGTGTAAAGATGAATGGGACATGCAGTACATAGATACATTGAGAGAGAGAGAGAGAAAGATAGAAAGAAAGAGTGAAAGGTTTAGAGAAGATAAGAGACTGTAAAAGCTAGTACATAGATAAAAATGAGAGAGAGAGGGAGAAAGAGATACGGTAGATATAGAGAGAGAGAGGGGGGGGGGGGGGGGAGGTGCGGCGGTAGAGAAGAGGATCGATAGAAGCTAGAATACATATTGAGAGAGAGAGAGAGAGAGATCCCCTATGCATCAAACGCACCTTGACTTTACAAACCGTGTCCGTAAATCTGACATCTGTAACAAAATAATGAAGAAACATTGAACTTGAGCTAGGGGAAACACCTTCATGGATGTTTTTGTTTTTGATCGAAATTAAGTCACTTGACTAGTGGGGAAGTTCTGGGTTTCTTTCAAAAGTTGGTTTCGTTCCTACTCCCCGTAGTTTCCCCCACTTTTTCATCATTCTTTTAAAATAGAATTACAGCAAAAACTGTTTTGGATTTCAATTGAACAATTCTTGTTCGATCATCTATTTTCTACAGGGACTCATATCGACTCCCGCCCCCCCCCCCCACTCCGAGAACGGACGGACCCCATGCGTGTTACCAAAATGTCTGGTAAAGGGGTACTTTTCGTGCGACAAAGTCCGGCCCGACAATTGTAAAAAAAGGGGTGTATTAACTTTTCACCCGGAGATTTCTTTAAAGGGAAAGTCCACCCCCAAAATAAGTTTGTTTCGATAGAGGCAGAATAATAAGAAAATCAGGTGAGTGAAAGTTTGAGCAAATTCTGAATGAAAATAAGAAAGTTATGAATTATTGAAGTTGTGATCAATCAAATACAAATTGGCAACTCTGTGACTTACTATACGAGCTCTCCTTCATTTGCTTTGTGCATAATATTCCATAAAATCATGTTTTCTTCGTTATTGATGACGGAATATATATTTGTTCCTTACAGGGGGAGTATAGAAACATATTTGCAATTATTATATTTAGGGTGCATGTATGGTTGAAATTTTTCTTGAGGGAAAATGAAAATTTTAGATTTTTTTAGTACTGAGCAAATGGAAGTTGAGCTCGCATGATACGTCATAGAGTTGCCAATTTGTGTTTGATTGATCACAACTTCAATAATTCATAACTTTCTTATTTTCATTCAGAATTTGCTCAAACTTTCACTCACCTGATTTTCTTATTATTCTGCCTCTATCGAAACAAACTTATTTTCGGGGTGGACTTTCCCTTTAAAAAGGGGGTGTGTTTTTCTTTTTTTCTCTCATCTCTTTGGACTCCTGAGAAATTATTCCTAATTTAGGGGGGTACATAGATCTAGAGCATTTTTCAGGATTTAGGGGGAACTCCAAGGCAGGAAAAGCCTGCGAAAGGGGGGTTCAGAAATATTGGCAACACTCAGATAGGGGGTGCTTTAAAAGAGAGGGAACAAGCATATACGCGTACCCTTAATAACACTGAGTGGGGGGGGGGGGGGGGGGGGGGGGGGGGGGTATCGACAATGTCTGAAATATGTGCTGGATTTATATCGGAAGCGCGTCTTCGAGATCACGTTAATTTCCCCCGTGGCTTTCCATACACTTAACTCTCGATCTCGCCGAGGGTCAACGCAACAATCTTAATAAACATGGATGCCTCCACGGGCAAAACGCCATCTTCTCGGAAACATCGAAATGTTTGCCCGGATCGACCGTTGTATCGTGATGGGAGGCGTGACAGGGCGGTTAAGGTATATAGCTACACTTTTCCTGTATCTTGAATATTGAATTGATTTACATACTAGATCTAGAGACTCGACTAGACCCTAGATCTTAGATCGACTAGGGCTGACTCTACCTAACTCAAGGGAGCTCCGCCGCCGAAGGCGTCGGCGGCGGAGCTGCCTGGAGTAGCCTCTACCCTCTACCGGGCTCTAGCTATAGCTAGGCACTATTTGAAAGAAAGTATATTTCCTGTCCTATCTATCTCCAATTCTCCATTTCTTTCTCTTCTCTACTGTACTGTAGCTGTACTGTATCAAAATCAAGGATGTAGATCAGTTTACCCCTTACTCCTTAGGCTTAGCATATTTTGATATTCGTTCAAATTAATGGCAGTTGGCAATGCAATGCACCTCTAATAAGAGTAAGACTATAGGACTAAGGCTCTACCTCTAGAATCTAATTCAAAAGATTATCACAGATTATTGATAATGAAAAATCACAATTTGATTTGATGTTGAGTACAGAGTAGGACCTAGTCTGTGACTGTGAGTGTGAGTGTGATTGTGATCAAATAGAAACTGAATTTTATTCTTATAATCTTAGTTACTTAAGTGTAGATCTAATTCTAACTAAGTTAGTGCAGGGAGGTGTCATGACACCTCCTGGTTAGTGTTTATTGTTTGTAAATATCCGTGTGGCAATTGTTAAAGGGGCTTATTATGCCTATAATCTTGCCATTTTACCATATTTCATTTTTCATTTTATTCCATTCATCATTAAAAAAAACATACATAATTACATGTATATCTGTGCATTGGGTTCCTGTGCATTCTGCTCTTGGCATGGACTGTAAACTTCTCTGGTGCCTTCTTGCAGTTATTGAAACTGCTAATAATGAACTATTCATCAACTTTTCCCGGAATTGAAGCATTGAATTACTGACAAAAAAAGAAAAATGCACAGTCAAGATGAAGACCGATTCCAGCTACTAGAGCTCTCGATACTATTCCGGATGAAAACTCTGACGCTTCTTTCTGGCATTAGATAAGATTTAGAACAAGCATACACAAACCTAGACCGAAAACTTCAGTCTATCTAATCGTCGGTTGTTCCACTGAGACTACGTCTGGCTCCACTAGACCTCCGATTATAGAGACTGAAGTATGGCCTATCGGGACTGTATGGGACTGTACGGAACAAATGGTTCGGCTCGACCGGACCGCGATGAATGAGATATGCAACGAGATTTTCACTCTTTACATCCTCATAACTGCTGCAATTATGATAAAAATTAAAAATAACATATACATAGCTTATTTGACTTACGATAGGTTGCTCATTTAGATCCTAAATTAATGATTAATCCGAGAAAGTCTCGTCGTCAACATTATCCATCTTGGTTTTAGTTGATGAATATTCATTTTTTCCTTTTGAACGTCCAATAGCTACCGTAGCTACGTACGAGTCAGCCCGGCTTGACCAACGAACTCCCACGAAACGAGTGCTCTGATTGGCCATTGGCTATGTTTTGGTAGGTTGAACCGGAAATATATCGGCCGCCGGGTAATAGTTTGAATGCATGAACGTACTGCTTCGCGGTTCTGAGATAAAATTGGATAACTCATAATAAGTAAGTCCGTAAATTATGTATTTAATATTAAGTTATCAAATTTTGATAACTGTAATTAGGACAAATGACATACCAACCTAATTTACATCTGATTTAGAAATCAGAAAATTAGATCTAAATAAAGAAAATCGGGGGAGAAATGTCGGGAACGAAAAGATGTTCCGCTGTGGCTCTAAATTACCCCCACGGTACGAGATCTCTGGGTTACCATCTGTATTGGGGAATGTCAACAAATGTCAGTTTTATTAAAGAAATGACCCAAATCAGATGGTTATTTCTGTCTAACACAAACCCTAAATAACACTGTCAAGTGAGGGGCTGGACCGACCCCCCCCCCCTCGGTTCCACATCATGACGGGTTCTTGAAAAGGGTGCTAGTTATTCCTTTGATAAAAAAACCAAATAATCATAGCTGAATGGTTAATCTTTCATATTTTTCTTCCATTATCCCCCCCACTTTGTCTACCTCCTCTCTTCTTTCTCTCTCTCTCTCTCTCTCCTCTCTCTGTCTCTCTCTCCCCTCCTCTGTCTCTCTTTCCCCTCTTCACATGCAGGTTTTCACCATCAACCAGGAATCCCGCTACCTGCTTGTTCATGGGGTTCCTGATATCAACATCACCGATGAGCTTCTCAAGCTCTTGTCCCTCTATGGTGTGATAGAGGAGTATCGCACTCTGGATGATGATTCAACTGCAGAGGAGTTCACCAAGACACACTGGATCAAGTATGCAAACATCCAGGCAGCTAGGTTAGTGTCAATGCTGCATATTAGTGCACACTTAACCCTTTTGCAATAACTATTCCAGATTTTGTGGTTCGGCTCAATAACTTTTTATTCACAGCCCTAAAAAATGTATACCAGATACACAAGTAGAAAGGGAGGGGGGTGGGGGGGGGGGTGGGATTCCATAAAACATCATGTGGGACAGTGGGACAACATAGCCTTTAAAGAAAATGAATGAGAGGTGAAGATTTATTTGATGCTAATAGAGGGCCCTGTGAAGATAGGACATCCAATTATTGACATGCTGAATGTATTTGTTGTGAATGTGCAGAGGTGCCGTTGTCGAGTGGTTACATTGCCGGACTGTCGATCACAAGGTCCACGGATCGATATCCACCGTGGCACTAATGTCCTTTGGCAAGACATTGATCTACATTTTCTTTGAAATGCTAGAGCGCTGTAATGGCAGCACAGCTAAAGCCGGGATAATAATGTCCAAGTTTGGAAGTGCTTAGTGATTGTAATAAGAGCTATATAAAATACATATACATTATAAATACATGTACCAAAATATCTTATTACTGTGATAACTTGAAAAGCATTTAAGGAATTCATCTTTCAGCATTCATCTTGTTTGTAATATTATTGTACCGGTACACACATTAAAGTTGTCTTCTGATTTACTGTTGATGTGACAGAGTTGCCAAGCGCAAGATGGATGACCATTCCTTCTATGGAGGATTCCTGCATGTGTCCTATGCTCCCGAGTCCGAGAGCATCCAGCACACCAGGGAGAAGCTCCAGCAGCGGAGAATGGATGTGGCACGCAGACTGAGGAAACTTGCACAAGAGAGGGCGCCAGATGTTGATGACAGTGAGTTGGACTTGTTTTAACCACAGCAGACACTAGACCTGTTTTCATCAGCTCCAGTTTGCTAAATAACCCGCTATTTCCAGACTATTATCCCAAAGCTCGAAATTGCGTCTCCACCAGACCGATATGCTCATCACAAACTAGCTTGGATGGGCGCAAATCAGCCCGCTATTTCCGAGATAGCAGGATATTTTGGACACAAGACCAAGATTTCTCTGGATATTTTCTCAGCAAAATATCCCGCTAATTATTTGAAGATAGCGGGTGATTTGACAAACTCGAGCTGATGAAAACAGGCCTACTGTGTACCTGATGTCAAATGAGTTAAGTAGTAGTGGCCTTAAAGCATTTATGAGGATGATTTGGGAAGACCCAAGAAGCCTTTTTGCAGATTTAAATGATTTATTTACATATTTCTTATCCATAGTAGCGAGAAATATCCCTTGATTTTCCTTAGAATTCTCCCACATTTTGATTTAAACCTACATTTTTAACGCGTTATGCATTGGCAAGACGCCTTCTTGCCCCATGCTGTGCTATTATTTATCACCTTGCTGACATGCTGATAAGCGGAACTTATCACCATATGTTTTAATTGAAAACAAGGGACACAAACTTCAGAGATTCATGTGCAACAAAGGCACTAGAAAATAGAAGGGCAAAGACTCTAGTGCTCTCACGCATGTATGTTAAGATATTGCTTGCATTAAACAGCTTTGTTTCAGTGGTGCCATCAACAGGTCACAAAAGTATGTGACATTAGCTTCATCTTAAAGTGTTTTTGACATGTTTTGTTATTTCTGTAAGTGGCTTTATGTCGCTATTCTCTTTAGCTATATTTTTATTTCAAACTCTTTCACTTGCTTTGAAATTAATTGATAATATGTGAGACAATATGCTGTTTATCTTTTATTTTCAGGCATAGAAACTGTTGGTGCTTTGTCAAGCACAACAGAAACAAATGACACATACCTTGATGGACCTTCACCTATGACAGCATGGATGTCCATTCCACCTCCACAACAAATACATTCAGCATGTCATGGTCCTCCATTAGTGACTGCAGAGGGTGGATATGATCAAGGTCACAGACATTCTATTCATGAGCATGGTAACCCTGATCAGGAAATAATGCGGTTCCCTCCGTCCCTCCCTGAACCCCCTCGAAGACTACCTCCCTGGCAGTGGAACATTCCTAGCCAGCCAGACTTCCCAAGACTGCGCACTAAACATGACACTCTCCCTGTTGGGTACAATCCATTCCCTGAGGGGGGTGGTCAGCCCAATCAAGCTGGGATGGAACATCCTCATCAAAATCAATCATCAGTATCAGCAGCACCTACAGGTGCATTTGTTGGACCATTGCGTCCCCCAGAGAGGAGTTCAATCAACCCTACGTTAGATTCATACACACAAAGTCCATTGCCTCCTGGACAGAGATACATGTATAGGGAGTCAGGTGCAAGGCCAAAGGATGGATCTACTCGTTCTAAACAGACTACCGGCAGTGGTCACCATGAATCCATGGAGCAGCAGAATGATTATCAACAAATCCAGACTGGCCAGTGTCAAAGTGTTGGATTCCAAGGAGGATATCGTGATGCTGATTCTGATCATTCGCAAAGCGAGCAGAGACCAAAGCTGGTTGGTAAAAGGAGATTAAATTCCAACCCTTCAAGCTCTCCAGATAAGCAAACAGATGTGACACACAGCAATACACAATGTACTTCAAGCCTTACCAGGTATATATGTGTGTGTTTATGGTATTTTATTATAAAAAAAATATCTATTGTTTAATTACCGGTTCAGCGTACAAAAATATGAAACCTAAAAATTTACATTAACATTTAAAAAAAATGTATGAATTGATTTTAAAAATATATTTTTAAATGCAAATTTTGGCACTCTAGAACTGAATGATTTTTTTTTAATATATAGTTTTCTGCATATTAATTTTCAGAAAATGCCTAAAAAGAGGGCAGACGTTTCATGAAATGAATTGTTTCTCTTTCTTGATGTTGACTTTGCAGCCAGCATGCCTTTGTACCTCGTCCAGTTAGTACCAGAGCAAAGAGGTCAGCCTCCAGCATAGATGAAGCTGACCCACAGAATGGCCATCAAAGCCCCCCGACCCTAGCGACAGGGGACCCTTCATTCGATAGGACGGTCAGCAGTGTACGAGAACAGATGTTCCAGGTTAGCATATACATTCAATTTAAAGTTGCTCATGCATGGGTTATAGAGGGCAGCACATGGACGTATGCACAGGAGTGTAATACCCATTGGCTCAGTGTTATGTAGTGATTGCCAAGTTGCCTACTTCACAAATGACTATATATCCATGCATGAACATCTTTAAAGGTTACAATGTACTGGGCCATTTCACTTAAAAAGGTCATTATTGTCTTTGTGAAAAGTTAGCTTTAATTAACATTTCTCCTTTGGTATGAATGCATGAAGTGTTCCTGTATGACATGAACATTTTGTGATATGAAACATTTGCGATCTGCAAGTGAGAGCAGTTCCATAGCAAGAAACCTTTAGAAATTTGCAAAATTCATTGTTGTGTCAGAAGTGATTCAGTTATATTTGCGTTGTATCATGCATGAATTTGATCCACTTGCAAGATGTACCAACACATGTTTTTCACAGTATTTGGATAGAGTGATTCCCTTTGTGAATAAGCATTTTGCCTGGGACATTAGATTTGTCTATATTCATACTTCAAATGATCATTCTGTCTTTTATTTACCGTCATACTTTCAAATTATGATGTCATTACCGGTATCTATATTGTGTGAACTTTAAAGTTATTGGCAGCAAAGCTTTGAGTTACTCAAAATTATCTCCTATTAAGTTACAGAGTATCATGAAAATTTAGATTTGTAATTTTCTCTCCTACTGAGATCTTAAAGCCCCACTGCACTACCCACGTCTACATGCGCTCTCTATATAGCAAACAATGCCTAATAGGTGCCTGTTGGTCCCCCATGATCCTTTTTTTTCTTATGTTAATTGAGAGCTGATTTGATGAGATAACCACCTGTCACAGACCTTGTAGGGAGGTCTAATCCCCCCTGGCCAAACTAGTGGAGACCGGCTTTAATGTGACATGTTTTTAGATTGAAGAAGTAATAGAAGGATATGTTTCTTTTTTTTTATAGCTATCTGAAGCAGTCGTGAGAAGTAGTACAGCTCCTAGATCTGTCATCCAAACAGCAATTATCCAAGCAAGGAACCAAGAGAGAATGGGTCTACTACCACGCCCACCACCAACCAAGAGGCAGAGAATATGACACCAGGGGCCTGTTTCACAAAGCCTTTTTTTCAATGACAAATGACAAAAATTAGTGACAAATCTGCTGATAACCAATCAGAAGCAAAGATTTCAGTAGCTTATAACAAAAACTGTCATTTTTCACTGATGACAAGTTTTGTCCATACCAGTATTAGAAATCTATTTTGTACAGACACTATATACAGGGTAGCCCACTTCCAGGGCTGACACAGTATTTGCTTTACACATGCTATGATCCTCTATCCAGTGTAGGATTGGAAGAAGGAGACCGTCCTCCATATCATCACTCGCCACGTCAAAGCTGGATCGACGATCTTGACCGATGCCTGGGCGGGGTTAGCGTTCCTGAACGAGCTCGGCTATGAACACTTCAACGTGATTCATAAAGAAACGTTCAAAGCCACGTATCAACACGCCGTCACGGGTGAGGTGAGGTGAGATGAAGGAGGTTTGCACCAACCGGATAGAGGGGGCGTGGAAACACGCCAAGGACCATTTTCAAAATAAATGGCACCACCATGTCCAACTTTGAGGCATACCTGGCTGCATGAGGTCATATGGCAAAATCACATCTCAGGGCAGCATATCTTCAAAGCCGCCTTCTCGCTCCTGCGACGATATTATCCCCTGACCACGCCCAAAGTTCTTAAAGGTAAAGACCAGTTTTGGAAACGCCCCCCTCTCAAAACATGAAATGGAAGCTCTTATTACCAATCATGTGAAAGAATATATTTTTACTAATACGTGATCATACAAATCTTTTTTTTATATTTATGTTTTTATTAGACAAATCATACAAATCTTGCTGAGAAACCGCCTACTAATTGGTATATTTGGTAAATTATTATATCTATTTGGACCGGATACTGCGGATAGATATCGCGCACGTGTTGTGTAGTCCCATATACATCTTTCTATGTACAGTGATTGTAACTTTACCAAGACGGTGCCAAATTTCTAATCATTTTGATGATTCCAGAACCTTGCAGTAATACACCAATACTTCTATGCTAGATGATCAACCTTTTCCGATCGATTCCACAATGTTTCTTTCACAATGCAATTGCATGACCATAACTGGCCTTTATCTTTAATGCCGAACCACCTCTCTTTGACTCATGGAACCTTGAGAAAGCCAGCCTCGCGGACACATCGTTGACAAGGATGAGTGATGGGGAAGATGACAGCGATGAAGAAGACCACGATTCGCCATCTACTCTTACCCCAGTCGCCGTCTCCATACCTACCTCAACATAAATATGAATGTCATTTGGATATTAGAGTATGTATTTAATCATAATAAACTTTAGAAATTATATGTTTTTATCTGGAACTAGAACCTGCAAGTTTCTTGTTATTTGATGCATGATTTTCCAACCATGCAATATACCGGTACATGTAGTTATCAAATTGGTACTCGAGTGTACTTGTTGTGTGCAATTATATAATTCAAGCCTGTGCCATGGACATTTCCAAAATCCAATTTGCAGTTTCCCCAATTCATTTCTATTGCTGATTAACTTTGTATAATTCCGGTAGATTTGTAGACACGTTTCCATTTTGTGTGTGTTTTCCGTTTTCTATATTGTATAAAATCTGTATCTTATGTTTTTTTTTATGGATTTGAATTGAAATAAAACTTGAACTGAAAAAATAAAAGGCCCGTATTCTACTATTTCTGTTAACCCGAGGCCGGTCTAAAGTCGCTTTTAATCAAAAGAAATTAAGATTCAGAGGTTCAATTAGTCTTTCCACCTGGGTTAAAACCGTCAGAGAGATTAAGGAGGAAAAAGAGGGCTGATGAATTTTTTGTTCGCATTTCTTTTTTCCCGTTTTATTTCTCAAAGAATTTTTGACATATTTGCCCCCATCCCAGCACGACAAAGAACCCTGGATCTGCCTAAAACTGTATTAAAAACTTTGTTGAAGTGTAATTTGAATTGATTGTTTCCTCTTTTTTTTCTTCTTCATTCTTATCTCGCATCTTAATACATGTATTTCTGTACTTTCAGCTTAATTATCTTCTCCCTACTGTCCGCTCTCTCTCTCCTTTCCAACATGTACTCATTTTTGGCTAGTCACTTCCCCTTTTCTCCCCTCGACCCTCATTCATCTCCCTCTCTCTGACCCCATCTCTCACAATTCCTTTCTTACCCTCCCCCTCCCTCTTTCTTCTCCCATTTTGTTGCTTCCTTTTCTCGCCGTTAAAAAGAGGGGTGGATATGATCTTCCCTTGGAATACCCAAGCAAGATGCGTAATACGTAACATAATGTCTGTTCCCAATTTCTGCCATGGCTGATCGGACTCTACTGCTTGAGCAGTGGTTCATTTGTTTGAGTTTGAATTCTGCACAAATCAGTTTATACTGTGCGAAATGTTTCAGCACTCCAGGCGAGTATAGTACGTCTTGAGCTAGAGTCTAGTGATGTATTTTTCCAAGTTCATAATTCCTCATCGAGCATTCCTCATCGAGTTGGGAATTACAATCCTGTTTGATTAGAAGATCAATTGATTCTCTACCATCAACTTTTCTCTCACTTCCAAGTGCTATTTGATTTTCTGATGCACTAGACCAGTTTTCTCTCCAACTATTATTTATATTTTGTTAAAGATTAGAATTTCTTTGACACATTTGATATGGTAACATTTATATTCAATTTAATTCATTTACAATCAAATTTCAAACTTTTAAATACATGGACATTTCATGTGTATATAATGACAAAACATAATTGCCCCCATCATACTCTATTAATAAGACACAAAGGCCTCTAATATGTAAGGATATTTAATGACTTATTCAACAAAGATATGCATAAATTATATTTTGTAATCGTGTAAACATTCGGTACATTAATCCTTACAGCTCCAATCAGGCAGTTTATTTTTATAATGCCCAAATTATAATATTGTTTAATATTTTTGGACCAAAAATAACTGTATAAGTTTAACGGTGGCACTGCAAGGATTAAATACTATCAAAAAAAGTATGGACATATTTTTGCAAATTACACAATCGTAATAACTGTTAATATTTGGATTTGCAAAAAGTACATGCCACTAAACATACCACTGAACACTGTGCACTGTGCACTGTGCACTGTACACTGTGCACTGAACACTGAACACTGTGCGCTTAGAAACATCAGTATTAAGCGCCTAATAAATGTTATGTATTATTATTATTATTATGGGCAGAAAAGGGGAGAGAATAGTTGGATTGAAAAGTGAAGTGTGAAAGAAAAGATGAGTCATGGTAGAGGAGAAAGAGAAAGAAAGAGAAAGAAAGAGAAAGAAAAAGAAAGAAAAAGAAATGAAAAATGTAGAAAAGTAGAAAGAGAAAGGAGAGCGAGTGTGTGAAAGATGCAAGGGGGGGGGGCACATAAAATAAATTTGCATTTGGAAATTAGGTGGTATGAATCTACTTCATTACAAAAATACAAAATCTTCTTGAAACTTGGACATTTGCTTTCAAAAAGAAGCAAAAATTGCCTAATGCAGGTGGATAATTATGCAGTGACATGTATTAATCAACTTGCCATTATCTTGAAATAAGATCTTACACATTGCAATCTTAATTTCTAAATAACAATACAAAAAGAAAGACGTAAGAAAACAAAATTGAAAGCTGGGAGTACAAATATGAATTTCCATCAACCATTTAAAGATTAATGCTAAAGAAGGATTCCTGATATTTTCTTCTAGGGTTGAAATAGGGGGAAAACATGAAAAGAAATGACAAATAGATACAGCTATAATGCTTGCCGCAAATGGAAGAAAAAAAATCCACATATGCATTCCGGTAATTAATTTCAAACACTTTCTAATATCCTCCTAACTAATGCTGCACTGCATTTAAACCACATTCTACACACATTCTCCTTTAAAACATTCAATAAATTTCTTTTCTTCTTCTTAATTTTCATATTACACACATTCCTGAAGAGGTGTTGTTTTTCCATCCATTGATCTGAGTCGATTATAATCTTAAAGCACCAATTCCCCCTCCCCCAAGAGTATAAACACAAGAATTAAAAACAATTGCCAAATATTACCTCGATTGAGATGATCTTCTATAGAAGGGGGAGGAAAGGGTACACTGTTTACTACAAGTCTTTGTGAAACACCCCCAGGACTCATCGTTATATCACCAATGCTTTATCTTAAATTGACTATGCTGATGATAAGAGCTATTAGCAAGTCATCAACTTGATCATCATGATTTCAAATTGATTAAGAAATCTATGTTGTGCTGCTCTCTTGCTTAATTGGGAGAAGTAGCAGAAGAATTGTTCAAAGCACCATACCCCTTCAATTAGTTTTAAAAGCAACTCAAAAGTAAAAAACAAAAACAAAACAAAACAAATTCAACATATCAGGATCATGTATTCTTACATTTACTTTTTTTTTTGAGTTGCAATCAAATGCAACTTTTTCATGCAATAGGACCTATGTCCTTTTCACATTAACATGTTCCCTCCTGAGTATTGTAACTACTGCTTACACCAGTCACCGCATCACTTTCAGAAATTGATCCACATGATCTGACATTGGTCAATGTTTTGGTAGGGGTAGGCCTACTACTACTACTACAATGTTTTGAATTTGAGTTGGATTCATGTCTTTTTTTTATGTTGTAAAAATTATGATAGGAATTGATGATGATGATGATGACAATAATAATGATTGAAGTGATGATGTTGATGACACACATATGATGATGAAACCATACAATGGGGATGAAAATAATGATGATGGATTTGGAAGAAAGAGATGACCCCTTTGATTTATGCCATACATCATCATGTATGCATGAAAGTTGTTGATTACAAGGACAATCGTAAGTTAAAGATATGAGCAATGTTTCAAACCAGTTTGTTCGTTCGTGTCTCCTAACTATCTACTCCTAACATAAATATAAGATCAAATTCCAAGTTCCTAAATTAAATCTTGATCTTCGGAGTGGTTGCTACAACCGGCCGTGTCAGACACGTTGCCCATAGGTGCAAGATAGGACTCTTGTAGTGTGCCTTGAACCAGTGCAAGTCCTAAAGGGATCTGGTAGGCAGTCGATGCTAGCAGTTTTTATTCACAAGACCTCTGACAAATATTTTACTGTCCGAAGGTTTTGTACACGCTACTCAGTCCCAGGCCGCGGCCAGACTTGACTACAACACTGTTTTAAAAATGTATGTTTTGAAAGCTTGTGTTCAACTTGATAGGAGCCTCATTTACAAGCATAAGTTTTTTCTTAGAGGTCCTGGCCTATAATGTAATTATGATACATATTTTGTTTAAATGCCAAATAAATTGAATTTAATTGAATATACAGTGTATCAGGAGCTCATTCTGTGCTCTATAAATGTATTATTTTTATTATTATACACATAGATATTGCCCACTCTTTTCAAGAAAATGAATAGTCATGTGAATGCATATACACATGAATGTGTCATTCTGGCACACTGTACTGTGCATGGATAGCAAATTATATTTTGGCAAAAGACACTAATTGGATTGTATCACAAATGTACAAAAAAATCACAGAACTACCATTTTGAAATTCATTACATAACATAAAACACTTTCTCCACTTTTCAAAAGAATAACAGAATATTTCAGACACATTCAGTGCATGGAATATAATGCAATGTTGAAAAAGATTTGTTTTTCAATAGCAAGAAATTTTTGCAAATGATTTGTATCGATAAATTTATAATTTGATAAAATAATTTGGCATGATCAACATATCCCCCCATTATTGTAAACACAGGTAGAAAATATATATTCAAAAGTAAATTAAGTAATGCATAATGTAACACTTTTCAAAAGAGAACAAGAATTAAATACACTGTACATGGAGTGTATTTCTGCAAATGATTTATTTGGGTAAATCAAAAATTGGATAAAATAATTTAGTGATAATCAACACATTCCCCATTATTATAGACACAGGTAGAAAAGATACATTCAAAAGTAAACGAAGTAATGCATAATGTAACACTTTTTGAAAGAGAACAAGAATTAAATACCAGTACATGGAACATATACTTTGGTAATCAAGGGGCAATCACACTTATTACCATATACCCAATATGTGACTGATTAAAACATGGTACATAAAGTTAAAATAATTGTTTATCATACTAACTGCTCTAGATGCTACTGGTCTGGATACTTCAAAGTGGACAACTTTTTTTAAAACATGGCTGCCCTGCCCCTTACAAATGGAGTACAAGTGTCAAGCTGTCCATTTGTAACAAAACTTAGTTCTGTCACAAAATAAAATTGAAGTCTTATGAAAAGGGGAAATAAGAGTGATTTGGATGGGATCAAGAGTTTAAAACTTAGCATGCCATATTAAAGTCAGTGGACTATTTCGCCCACTTGGTTGGGGCCTAGCCATGACTGAAAAAGGCCATTTTCAAACACTCAAATTGAATGCACAATTTTTTAAGTGCCTCGTTACAAGTTGTTTCATTCACCTGACTGTTACAAATAATTATATTTCAATATTCAGAATGCAAATTGCATACATGACGTGTTGTTAGGTAGGACAAGTCATAATATACATTCTCAATTTCGAAATATAATTATTCCTAACAGGTGAATGAAACGATTTGCAACGAGGCACTGACAGATTTGTGCATTAAATTTGATTACATTATGAAAAAAGGTCTATTCAGTCCACTTTGAATAATGCCAGGTATAGCAGTAAAAATGGTACTGCTGCTGCATATTAGACAGGGTTTATCTAGCACATAATACATCAATGGAATTGCCTACAGGGATTTTACAAAACAAAAAATAGTCAAACGGTTGGATTCCATTTGGTCTCTAAAACCCCTACTATATATGATTTTCCAAATGAAGTTGGTTGACTGTTCTTAAAGAAATACCATATTTTTGCCAACGATACCATGACCTCAATTGGCAGAACATGGAACTCTTAGTGGCCAAGAAAAGAAGCAAAATAAGCTACATTGCAGTTGCCATCTATAAAGGCTTGGGGTACACTCTAGAATTACCTATAATCTATTATTAGGATGTCACTTTGGTCGTCATTCCACTATTGTAAAACAAGGCCAATCTGTAAAAGAATAGGATAAAGAAAAAGAAACATGGAAATAAACATGAAGTTCTTTGCAAGTACATTTTATGCTATTTTGTACAAGGGATAATGGTACACATAACGGGTGAAGATAGTTTTCACCAAGTCATGCAGGAATTAAAGTGCACTAATGTGAGGAATTGCCAATGTGATGAATGCACAGATCGCATTTTACACATACTATGCACAATTTATGTACGCTTTGTGTGTTGTTTATTTGTCAACATCAGCGGAAGGGGGACAAATACAGAACTAAGAATAACAAGGGAAACGCTCTCGGCGATCTCGCCTGCATTACGCAATTCGACATGATTAAAAATTGAGGTTGGGACATTGTTTATAGGCAGGGTGGCCCATTAGCAGGCCCCACAAAATGAAATTCTCTAAACATAATCACATTCTGAAGTGAATATTGACTAAGAATCACCAGAAGAATTATTTACTATTACCGGTAAATGTACTACGATCGATAACTTGAATGAAATATGAACAAATTAATTTAAACAAATTATTAATTCTCATATTAAGTTGTGAAAATATGATCCAAGTCTACTGACCTTTGACCTTGTGACCTGGAATTTGTGTCATATGATTTGTGATACTTGATAACCCTTGGATACAAGTCTCATGGAATTTGAACAATCAATTTTGAAAATATGCTAAAAAATTCAAAATCTTGATGAATATGCCACAACATAGTCCAAGTCTGTTGACCTGAATAATTGACTTGATAATCCTATAGTCCAAGTTTCATTGACTAAGACCTTTTATTTTCAAAATTATATCAAAAATTCAAAGACTTAACCTTAGGTTAAGTTTTTGATGTTGATGTTGACGCCGCCGCCGCCGCCGTCACCGTCACCGGAAAAGCAGCGCCTATGTCTTGCTTTTTTGCTACGCAGGCGAGAAAAAAAATCAAGTTTATCCGAAAGAAAGTATAAATGATGGTGAATGACTCTTGATCATGCTTGTAATTTTTGTGCAGTTGTTGTTTGCTTGGGAAAAGAAATGCTGCAATTTTAACAGGAGATTTGCTGAGTAAGATTAATTATTTATTTGTCAAATACATAGGTCATAGAAAAAGCCTTACAGAACGACAAACATTTGTTTTACCCCTTAGTTCTGTGTTTTACCCAATTCATGAAAATAGGTTGCTAAGTTGGAGACAGACTTTTTAATTGAATTCACATACTACATTCACTATGATTTGACCCAAGTTTTTCTATGATCTGACCCTCAGCAATAATGTGAAAGATACAACCCATGTAGATTTAAAGGTAATATCTAGTTTTGGTTGTGAAAAATATTGTAACGTGTTGGATGTGTCCTATTGTTTCCCCTACATCATCTTGCCAAGTGATCTGTAGTAGTGCGACTTATCCACCAGACCACAACACCTCTACAAATAAAGGTAAGACAGACAGTAGACGGTAGACCCAGATCAAATCATTATTTGACTTACTTCTTGAGGTTTCATGGTAGGACATATCCAGTTGTATATGTAGTATTGAAGGTTGCCGTCTCCGATGCCAAACTTGAGCTTCTCCAAGAACTCCTTGTTATCCATGAGATCCAGAGCATTGAATACATCAAAGTCCTCCTACATGATCAACATCACAACAAAAAGAACATATTTAGGAAGCAGAAAAATACCAGTACAGTGAAACCTGTCTATAAAGACCACCCAGGGGAGACAAGAAAAGAAAGTGGTCTTTATAGGCAGGTTCCTTTAGTACATATTTCAATGAGAAACCACTTTAAAGGGAAACAAAAAATGTGGTCTCTGTAGACAGGTGGACCTTCTATACTGGTGGTCGCTAAAGCAGGTTTGAATGTACTTTGACATCAATTATCAAGAGAATTAAACAGCTTTTATCCTATGATGATTTGATAATAGCCAAATGCTGTGTTGATAAGCCACTTTGGGGACAGCACTTGTACAAAATAACCCGAAATATGAGTACCAATATTGGAACATTCAGGTGATGATGCTTTAGATAAAAACATACCTGTTTTGCTAGGGTGAGAGCATCCAGCATGAGCGTCTCCCAGGTTGACCTTGTGGTGACATTGTAGAAGGCGTAGGCGGCCTTGAGCTGCTTGTGGACTGGATGGTGCATGATGGAAGAAGGGAGGGTGTAGAAGCTGATCATGTCCGTCAGGACACCGTCCACTTCAGCCACGTACGCGCTGACGATGTTTGGCCTAGGGGTGAACCAATGCTTGAACTCCTCCTACAGTCATCCGGATGAATCAAGCAAATATTATAAAGAGGTCTTGGCCCTATTGCATATCATTTTGCCATCAGTGTTAACTTCCATGAAAACCTTGATTGATTGGCTGTTGATATTGATGGCAAAGTTACCATTAAAGTTGATACAAAGTGTCGGTAATGGGTCATGAATTTGGTTCAAATGAACATATTGGAAGCATGTGCAATTTTACAATTATTCAATGATCGTTGTCGCGGTTGAAATCGAGTCTAAAGTGATTAAATTGTAAATAATAAACTCTTTATGTTGTATAGGGCCCTCTCAAGACTGATATTACTTTAGCTTTAAAACAAGGTTTATTGACTACAATCAACTGATTTGCTATTAATGTTTGGAAATCATATATCAGAACTGCATATTTGAAATTTACCGGGAGCACCGGTAAATTTTGATTATTCAATTTTCTTGAAAGCAGAAGTGTTTAGGGGCTTAATTTTCTAGTGCTTATAATACATCCACTGGGGCATCCAAATATATCAACATTTTAAAGAATTACTATCCATCCAATTTTCAAAATTTCCCAAAACTTTGCATTACCTTTAATGGTAAGTTTTATGCAACAGGCCCTGATATAACAACATATCTGTTATAACTTTGTGATTTTACTCACACAAAGTTGCTAAATATTGAATTTCAGGTCATCACAACGCATCAGTTTTCCATAAAAAATTGGCTTCTATTAACAGAAAACCTGATACTTTTTCGTCTTTCTCAGCAAGTGTTGGATGGCCGCCATACTGCACAGCACTCGCTATGATAAACCACATTAATTATTTTAATCAGTATTTTTAAACAACATTCCGTACTGCCGTAATGATGACTAATTTCCGTACCAATTACGGGAAATCCATACTAGTTGGCAGCTCTGCATAAGGTATCGAGCCGATCCACAAAATGTGGAATGATCGTCACCAAAGGGTTATTGCTAAATTCATTGTTACACATCATACTTACAAGATCAAAGACTGGTGCCAGTTTGAACTTGTCCAGATAATCTGAGAGGAGTTTGTGACATTTCTCCATGTCCTGTGGCTGGATGGGACGCAGCCCAGGCGTTTTCGTTTCCTACAAAGAAAAGACGATGGAAGGAAACATGTTAACATGAAAACCAAACATGGACTCTACGGAGACACAGCCCAGCACTAACGACCTTAGGCAAGACGTTAATCTACATAAACAATCTTAAGAAATATCTGTTTAATTTAGCTTATAATTGATTACCATAACCTTTCATGTCTGTACTTTTCCTATCGCACTTTGTATAAATGTATCATGTATGTATGTATTTCATCCTTTGCACAAGCTGCGCCTTGAGCATTTGACTGTCAAGTGGATTTGGCGCCTTATAAATCATATGTATTATTATTAATTATTATTATCTGTCACTCTCCAGGTGTTAAACACAAGGTATAAACAATGATTAGATGTGTGCTACAAATGCATTTTTTTCCCTATTGAATAAAAATACAAAAGAAATCAGACTTTGTGGACTGTCATTCTGAATTGAAATGAAAACCATGATTCCACCAAAATCGGAATACTTGGCATGTATGTATGTATATTCTATAGGGCTATAATAATCCATAGAAAACAATTTGTTAGTAGCAGAAGGCGCAAATGAATGGACCGAATGGATATACATCGAAAGGAAAACAAGATTCCGATGATTTGATTTTAATCTTTGATTACAACTATACAACACACTTCTCTCTCTAAATCGTCCAAATTGTTAAAAGTTACAAAAGTACAGTAACTTCACTATTTGATAAATGAAGGCAGTTTGGAAATTTGACCCAAATTTGTGTTTGTACTTTTCTGCCAGGGACATAATGATATACTTCTCATGTCTTCTCATAAATTATCTGAAGCAAAATATTGGAGTTTATACCATTCATAATACTTCAGGTAAAAGCTTGAGAATGTAAGAGGACATTGTGTAGTACCTACCTCTGGAAGTTTGTAGAGTTTAATCGTCCTCTGTAGCGTCATGTTGCGACCTATATGAGAGAACTTGACTTCTACTAGCTTCTTAGGGTTGAGTGATCTATGCCAGTATCTGAAGAAAGACACAATTGGTTCAAAATGTCAGACCGTATTAACCTGTTGACTACTGAATTCTCTCATTCACATAGACTTAATACAGGAGCCCCCCCCCCCCTGGTTCCAGTTGGCAATGGGTTAAAGAATAGACAATACGATATGAAAACGGTCTATCAAACACAGAACAACACTGTACTGATAAGCAGAGATGCCAACCTCTTGACACAAAAAAAACAGACTGAGTATATTAAAAAATCAGATTTTCATGAAAACTTGACACTACCACTGGCCCCGGGCCAGTAAAATTTCAGAAAAATGTTTTACTGGTAAGTTCGGTCAAGTAAAATGTTTGCTCTTTCATTAAAATTTAATGAGAAAATTGTAAAGTTTTTGTTGGGGTTGCGGGGGTTTACTTGTACATGTTTCTATGCAATTCCGCTGTTTTTATGGGTTTAAAAAAAAAGGATGAAAATCATATTTTAAGAGGTGATATTGTATTATCGTATTTCACTCTTATTATCGTACTATAAACAATTTAATCGTACTGGTTGGCATCTCTGGATCATAAGATCTACAGGTAACTTTTTTTTTCACAACTCAAACTTGTTTGGGGGATCTGAGTTGACAAATGGCACAAAAGACCTAATTGTATATGGAGTTGCAAGGTTTTCTATCAGGTCAGGCATGTGACAGAGAAAATCTGGAAAAAGAGGAACTCTGTGGGGGGAGGAGGGGGGGGGGGGGGATGGGGGTTCAGGGGCAACGTCCTGCCTGGAGCTGAAGCAATAGGAACCCCAACTGCTCATAACCTGCCCATAACCTGTTTTGTGTAGAAACAGACTTTTTGTTTAGAAACGATGTCAGAACACAATACATGAACAGGGATTAAAGACGATATAGAATGGCTGTCTAACTGACTGACCTGCACGTTGAGACAGGCTTGGGAAGAACAACGCCAGCTGTGTAGACGGCCTGGAATATACCCTGGAGATGGACCCTCCTCGTGATCTCACGGATGAGTACAGGTGCAACACGCTTTGACCTCAGCTTCTTGTGAACACACAGAAAGTTGATTTCTACCATTCTTACAATTCTTCGAGGAGGAGAAGAAAAAATATAAAGAAAGGTTTATACTACGGTAGATGAATGTGGATCCATTATGCCTCTAAGCTATGTTCAATTAATCCATGATCCTTTTTTCCTTTGACTATTTTACGAATTCAATATTTTGATTCTCACAGTACATAAATCAAGTCCTTATTACAGCAAAGTTTAGTTAAAATTGCCTCAATGGTTCTTAAGTTCTCATTAACAATGTATGGTATTTTTTGCCAGGTAAACATTAAGTGAATTTCCTAAACAGATAGTTGCCTGCCATTCTGTTTCCCTACTACACATCTCCGACCAATGGAATCTTGCTGCACCTACCCGGGCATATATCTAGTGTGTACAGCAATATGGTCCTATTTTTTTTCTCTCCAAATTTCTAAAACCGCGGAGGAATCTCATGCCTGCTCAATTAATCCTTAATGAAGAAAAAAAATAGGCCAAACTAAAATTTTAACATAAAGCCAGACTAATAGACCATTTCGTAGTTAGCACATGGGTCAAATGACCCCAAATATCCACAGATCTTTTACTTGTGGAGAAGTCCCACTTTGTGTATTTTAGAATAATCAATGCCAGAGTCATGTATGTGCTTCATGAAAAGCTTGTGTTTGCCCTCTTGCATCATAGAATGTACCGTAGGTGCACACATGAATAATGATTACATAACATGAGCACTTATTCATCTCGGTGGGTTTTACAATTTTATCAGAAAATCTTTATCTGCCCATGCGCAGATAGTATTTACGAAATGGCTTATTCAGAATAACTACTAACAGTGACAAAAAAACAACAACAACAAACAAACAAACATGGATGACTACAAATGATACATTGAAAAACAAATGAATATACCCTGGCAAACTCTTCATGTCACGTTGAATGCTTAGCCCAAGATAACTCGGACTGGGGTCAAAAGTCATATGAGACGGGTCAACTTACTTGCCATTGACCTTTATCCTTGCCGGTACAGCACTAATGAACCCAACTAGTTTCTTGTTTGCATCAACCCGTACTGTGCAGTGCCATTCCCTTAACCAACCTGGTGGCGTTAAGGCCCTGGAAGAGAAAATATTTAGTACACACCACTATTAAATCAATTACAGTTTGGTGTTAAAAATGTCTTCATCATCCTAGAATACAGAGTAATGAAATATTCATTTAAAGGGATCGGGTATCTTTGCCTCAGATTCTAAACAAAATCCTGGATTAAGCTCATGCTGCAATCATAATTATAAACCTTTAGGTCAGTCAGGAATCCCATGACTTTTACAAGCCGATCGCCTGTTTTTTTTAGAAAGCTGTTTTATAATTTTAACATTTATATTTTTTGACCCGATTTATTCAACCTGCATGAATCAAAATGGTGGCTCGAATGTTGTCTTACTATTTTTGCCCTAGTATTTTTACTTTTAGAGGCATGATAATGGCATTAAACATCGCCAAACATGGATGAAAATAATATCAAATGGGAGAATATACCGATCTGAGCCGAGGTATGCATGTGTTTATTTATTTGATTGATAAAAAGTCACTTTAAAGGGACATACTGATGATATTATGCGCTTTTTTTAGAGGCAAGTGACAAATCCTGCGAGCTGATTTCGGGACACCTGGTCCTGATCGGTGCGAGGCCGTCGGGACCCGGTTTATAAAAGTCCCGACATGACTCAGGCCTAAAATATAGGTTAAAGAAAGAAAAAAAAATCATTTATTTTAACAGTGTTTATCTTTATAACCTATGGAGCTTAAAAATAATCTAATTAAGTCAAGGCTGATTAGCTAAAGCATGAGGCTATGTTTGTTTCTTCGTTTTTATTATTAAAAAAAAAAAACTATGAAAAAACTTACCACTGAAGAAATTCGGCAGAGTAATCAAAACGGAACATATTGTCATCATCTTCAACATAATTTTCATTCAAGAGGTTGTATAATTCTCTGAGCTGTAATAGTAGATAAAATAAGGGAAATGTTATATCAACTTCATTATATGCATATGTATCAAGGACTGACCTAAAAGACATACCTGTGGAAAATACATGTACTGTTTTGTAAAAAAACAAAAACACAATTGATGTGTTCAATATACATCCACATACATGGAAATCTTGACATGAAAGGTACTGTCAAATATTACACACAATTCCTCTACAAGTTAACTAATACTAGTAAAGTACATTGTATTGATTCATAGACTTTTTAATTTGGGCAACTCAAATTGACTAAGTTTTTGCAATGGAGAAATGAAAAAGCTCATATTAAATTCTCATTTCTTCATTTCTATTTGGAAGGTAGGATAGAAGCAATATATCATGAAAAGGATTGTTTTTGAAGTGCTCTCCTACAGGATATTCTCAACTTGGACCCGATTTTGATACCACATGTGTGTTTTATCCCTTATATCCATATCTGCATGTAGTGCTTTTTTAATTTTTTTAAAAAATGTTTTACCGCAGATGGTTTCAGATTTTCAAAATTGTTATTATTGTGATACTATCAAATCTCACACAAAATATCTTTCTTACATTGTCTATAATAGCCACTTTTCCCAGGAACTTGTAGACTGTAGACAGCATCTTACACAGTAGACTGGTTTACTAGCATATTCAAATTTTATGCATACTTTTTAAACAACGGTTGTTCTTGACACTTGACAACCTGAAAACCTGCCCAAGGATTGCCTGACATAATGTATGCAGACTGGATTCCGAATATCACAGTTCATTCGTTAATAGGGGCTTTTCGATTTGCACGTTCACTAGTGGACTGCGACGTATGTGGACTGCGACGTATGCGACTAGTGGACTGCGACACATGCGCATCGACGAGCTCATCGTTCGTAGCAGAATTTCCGAACGCGTTAGCCCTTGTTTTGCCGTCGTTCGCAAACTGTGACGATACATGTTCGTAAGCAATCTTTTGAAGGCACGAAATATCAAATTGAAGTCACAAAATGGACCCAATTGACCTAATTCTAGAACCGGAGAGTGGTGGAAGCGTGAATTCTCTTAAATTAACACATTTTCATGTCTGTTATTTCTCTTAAATCAAAATTGTTGCAGAATAATTCATGAAATGAACACATTTTGTTTGCGCATCGCCAATCTGATGCAGCATAATTTTCGAGATCAGTCCCATGCACCGAATTTGGTGTGATGAATCTTTAGCTTTTCGATCGAATTTCGCGCTCACCAAGCAGAATAATTCATAAAATGAACACATTTTATTCATGCAACGTTAATCTGCTGCAGCATAATTTTTTAGAACAGTGCCATGCACCGAATTTGGTGTTATATCTTTAGCTATTTGATCGCGTTTCGCGCTCACTAAGCGAGCGTCGTAGTTGTGTAACATCGAAACGGTAACGAACAATAGTCAGCGTGCCTCGTCAACCCTGCTTAAAAATGACCGCATACGTCGCAGTCCACTTATGAAAGTGCAAATCGAAAAGTCCCTAATAACAGGTTAATGGGTACCTCTTCACTAGGTCCCCAGGAAAGAAACATCCATAAATTTGAATCTGAATTATGAATTTAATTTAATAACTTAGTCTGAATTTTGAATTGAATTTTGGTCCGCGTTTTGTGCAATTCGTGTTATCCATGTTCAAATCAATTGTATTATTCTCTATCCATCTGTATCTTATTGATGTTTATAATCTGTAATTTGTATTGTAATGCAAACAAAACAAATTTCCAATAATTGGACAATAAAATTTGAATTGAATTGAAAACCGGCCTATTCACAGAGATGCCAACCTCTTGACACAAGAAAAAAGACTCGGTATCATTAAAAAAAAAAAATTTAAATCCGATTTTGAAGAGAAAAATCAGATTTTCACGAAAACTCGACACTACCACTGGCCCGTCGTCTGCTTTTTCATCAAAATTTAATGAGAAAATTTTAAAGCAAAGTTTTTTGTTGAGGTTGCCGGGGTTTACTTGTACATGTTTCTATGCGATTCTGCTGTTTTCATGGGTTAATTTATTATTATTATTTATTTTTTATAAAGATGAAAAATCGTATTTCACTCTTATTATCGTACTAAATACGCTTTAATCGTACTAGTTGGCATCTCTGTATTCAGTCCTACTTGGGTCATAAGACTAGAGTTGAAAACTTACCTCCACTTCACTATGTATATCTAGAGTATCCCATGAGAATCCCTGTGGTAACGAGTAGGGTTCCTTCCTAATATCAGTCTTGTCTGCTTCGACAGCTTTATTTACTTCAACAGAAACGGTCTCCTCTATATTCATAACAGAAAAAAAAAATACAAAGTATGCTCTCATCTTTGGCTGTGTAAAATCCCATAAAAGAGTTATATGTTAAAGCCTATCTGCACTAGTTTGGCCAGGAAGGATGAGACCTCCCTGCAGGGTCACTGATAGGTGGTTATCTCATCAAATTAGCTCTCAATTACCATAAGAAAAAGGGGACCATGGGGGATCAACGGGTACCGCTTAGGCATTGTTGGCTATTTAGAGGGCGCAAGTAGCTACAGGTAGTGCAGTCCTGGGGTGGTATTCTGAACCCTGTGTTATCTCTAATATTGTTGTATCTTTGGAGATAGGATAAAGTTGGTATTCTGGGGGGTGTTTCACAAAGATCCTAAGTAGAACTTAACTCTAAGTTGGACTTAAAAATTATGGACAGCCATTGGAGTCTTAAAATGAAATATATTCAAAAGCAGAAATTCAAGTATTTTATACTTTTTGTATAAATTCCAAATCCAGAACATGAAATCTCCTTGATGATTGAAAATATGAATGATTTGAATCAACATTTTATGCCTTTCAAAATAAATTTTACAAAATATTTTCAAAGATGCTAACGGCTTTCCATAATTTGTAAGTCCAACTTAGAGATAAGTTCAACTTAGAATCTTTGTGAAACACCCCCCTGAACATTGTTGTAACTTTTGTGTTATCTTTTGTTGTATCTTTTCTCTCATCTTATTGGCCGCGCCTGCGCTCCTACTTTGGTGCGCTTGTAATTGTGCGTATTATTAATACAGTGGCATTTAATCCTCATTTGCATATGCGCACGGGAGATAATATGTCGAGATAATTGGTATTCTGAAAGTTGTTGTATCTTTTATCTTATCTTATCTTTCATGGTATTTACAACAATATTTACAACAGGTAGGGGGTTGTTGTATCTTTCGTGTTGATATAATGGCGGCAATATTTTTTGCCCAGAACCAACTTCTTGCCAATAGACGAGTTAGAAAAACATTGTGTGTCGACCGGAAACATCACAGATGAGAACTTTTTAAGAAACTACATGCTAGAATATGACGATTTTAGTGCTCTTATCTCAACCAATATAGTGAAAGCGTGATTTGTCTTCATGATCCACATGCCACAGCGCATATCAAAGACGCGCGTACTAAATGCTCAAATAATTAATTACGCCCAAGATTAGTATGCACTAGGCGCATCTTCAGATATGGCATAAAGTATTTCTATTGGTTGACCTACTTATCATGCTTATATAAAACAGATTTTGATTGGTAGGGTCCATAGAAATGGGCGTGTCAACAGTGGTAAAAGATAAGATAGAGGCGGTCCTTCTAGAGATAACACAGGGATAAAACAATGTTCAGAATACCAACTTACAACAATATTAGCGCTGTGTTATCTATGGAAGATACAACAAAAGATAACACAAAACTTACAACAATGTTCAGAATACCACCCCTGCTTTATAAAGACTTTTCAATAAATATCAGGTGGTGAGAAAATTACCAAGGTACACATGTGATAATGAATAAAACTTTGTACATCCAATAAAGAAATGAATACAACTCTTTATGTAAGATGCAGAAACGAGGCATGGTTTGTTCTACCATCCCTTCAAAAACATAAAACAATTGAATGAGTTAATGTATGCTAGTGATATATAATTAATGATAAATCTAACAGTTCTCAATCTATAATCAAAGGAGTTATTTACCCAAACTTGGAACAGGCTGTGTTTCCCAGAAGTTGTAGGTCTTTTTCTTGGCTTCATCCATATTCTTAGCAGGGCCCTGAGGTACAAACAACTCCATGGCAGCTTTTAACTTTGACATGGATATTTGAGGATTCTGAAAATGATAAAGGTGTATGAAAAGTATCATTACCATCATCATCACCATCACCCCCATCACCACCATCGTCATCATCATCATCATCATCATCACCATCACCAACATCATCATTCATCACCATCATCATCATCCTCATCATCTTCATCATCATCATCATCATAATCACCACCACCATCAACATCACCACCACCACCACTACCACACCACCATCAATCATCATCATCATCATCATCATCATCATCATAATCACCACCACCACCAACATCACCACCACACCACCACCACCACTACCACACCACCATCAATCATCATCATCATCATCATTATTATCATCATCACCGTCACCATCACCATCACAATCATTATTTTCATTAACATTATTACTCACTTTTTTATACCCATGCCTAACCTAGTTTCCTTCAATTCTCTTGAGATTGTCTTCCTATGCTGATACATACGTATTACTACTATTAGGTGGCTCTTTAGACATCGTGATAACGAGGCTAAATCCTGTAATTTCAGAGAAGTGACCTCTTTGACCGTTGATATTCAGGTCATTTGGGAGATGTGCTAACCGTGAACTGGTCTATTGGTGGGCAGAGGCACACAAATAGAGAAGAGAGATGGAAACAAAAAGATTTTTTTTAAAGCCTACAATAGACATTAGACCCGATGATTAGAGGAAGGAATTACCTGACTTAGCCGGGCATCAATCTGGTCCACCCCTCCTGAGGCACCCCCTGAAGCCACATCTCCCTTCTTCTTTTTCTTCTTCTTCTTCTTCTTGTCTTTCCCTCCATCATCTGCTCCGCCTATTGCTCCTTGCTGACTGGTTGAAGGTTGTTCCTCTAAATCACCGGCAGGACTAAGTATTGGGAGAGAGAGAGAGAAAAAAAAGAAAAAAATCTGAAATTGATGATGAGAATGTGGTGTATATCTTTGTGCTAATGTGTTTTAACACTTTCATTATTTCATGAAAATTCAGACTCAGGGTGAAATACGTTAGACTTAATGTAGTGAGGCTGTGCACAACAGTGTAATGAGATACACGAGTACACTCCCAGGTTTACAAGCGAATACTCAAATATTCGGACGCCATGTTTTTTTTGAATTTTTTTGAATTTTGATTTTTTTTTTGCCACCACCATACCACTGGTGCAGTATTCCAGCCGAAAACGCATGCAATTTTACTTCGAGTTGCAGTTGAAGGCGCCGATTAAATAATAATAATAACAGTAAACAATGCTGTTTTAAAAACCAAAGATGGCAGAATAATCCATTGTCCTCCGAGTCCAAACAGAAATCCGGACATTTGGTCCCAGTGTCTGAGTGGTGAGTTTGACAGTGCTTGAGTTGGGAAACATTTTTACCGAATGTACCATGCCAACTTGAGCCCGATCGGCAAGCTCTACCTCCGTTTTCTACAGCGTGCATCCACTTCCGGGTCTGTTTGCCTCATAAACATAATACGAATGAATATGCATGTGCAGATTTTACGCATTGTCACCATGGTTTGGACTGAGCGGAGCTCACGCCTCCCTATTTAGCTGATGGGGGGAAGGGTATTTTCAAACTGTTATCTCTTGTGATCCCTTGGGGTTAGCAAAAAAATAAGTGCCTAGATATTATCCTTACGTCTAAACCAATCCAAAAAAGTTTGAGCAAAATCGGATAACTAATAAGAAAGTTATGAATTTTTAATGACATGAAAAGCTTTGAAAATCACTAGACAAATTGGCAACTCACTCATGTGTCTGTGATGTGATGTCCTCACTATCCGGTAATTATTTTCTTTATATTGATAATATAAATTTCCTATTTTCCCCCCAAGAATCGTATTTCTTCACACCAGTATCCAATTCAGATTGATAGTAATATGTTTTTGTGTGGATGCACTGTAAGTCCTGACTTATGGATCCTGCTTAGTATCGTTGTAGAAGAAGAAGAAGAAGTAACTTTTTTCAGTTAAATCATGAAAAACGTGAATTTTGATAAACTATTTAGACTATGTAAAAATCAATAATTATGAATATACAATATTCAGAAAATAGTATAATTCTTCAAAGTTCATAAATTGAATGCACGCAATATGATACAAATCATATAACCTGGGCAAAGGCATGGGAAAATTAAGATTTGAGGGATAAAAAGGGAAATTAATGGGATTAAATCATTAAACTATATAAAGCAATTGATAAATAGCGAGGACGTAACGTCACAAACTGATAACCAAATTGGCAACTTGTGTAGTGATTTCTATTGTCATTTATTGAGTTTCGCCTTCAGGATCATGAGGCCTAAAGGTAGGGTGTCTGAACGATTTTTCAATTTTCAATTTGGGATCGTTTTTCACCATTTTTGTTTGATATTTGAATAAAAAATGTTATCAGAATAATACATTTCAAATTTCAAGTCTCACCGATGTTTCTATCAAAAGTTACAGCCCCTCCAAAACGCTGGTATATTCATATCATTTTGGTCAAAATTGACGAAAAAGACGTCCACGCAGAGTGATGTTGTTTTGCTAAATTCAGACAAACAGCTGTATCGCGCGATATGCAAGCGTATGCATATAGTACGCATGTTGCTAAGCCAATGCGCGACTTGCAGCTTGAGCCACGCTGTCTCCGCGATATGTGCCATTGACTAGTATGGTTGGCAATTCGCGCCGTAGAACCCGGAAGTGAATACACGTTGTAGTCAATGGCAATATCGCGGAGACAACGTTGTCTCCGCGATATTGCCATTGACTATAACGTGTATTCACTTCCGGGTTTATCGAGGGAATTGCCAACCATAATTTCAGTCACTATAATGTGTAATTGAATTTGGGGTTTCGTTCGTGCGCGGAGATGTTACGCGATGTAACCATGGTTTGGACTGAGCGGAGCGCACGCCCCCTTATTAGCTGATCCACCAAATAGCGAGAAGGGTATTTTTAAACTGTTATCAGTTGTGATCCCTGGGGGCTAGCGAAAATATAATCACATAGAATTGTTCCTCAGGACTGGGACTAAATATCGATCGGGGCGTCATATCTCAAAAGTGACAAACCTCAGAGTTAGCCAGGACACAATGTTTAAATTGCTGTTTTGACCAAGATATTTTTAGAATTTCGGGGGCTACGCCCCTTTGGAAATATTGGAATTCACCTGCTCTTTCATATGACACCTCATTCATTGATTATCACCTTCAGGATCACAACAGATAAAGGTTTGAATCTCGATTTGAAGAAAAAAAAATTGCGCAATGCACGTAGACTGCATAGGGATGCGTGTAATCTCTATGGGAAGAATTTTAGCACACAACATCGGGTGCGCGATCAGACACCCTACTAAAGGTTTGAATTTCAAATTTGTTCATAAAATCATTGAGTCTAGGGATGCGTGCAATCTCTATGGGAAGTATTTTAGCACACAACATCGGGTGCGCGATCAGACACCCTACTTGACTCAAGTCTTGAGTACTTCTATTGAAAGTAAGTTAGAGTAGTGGCTCCGGTCTGCGGCCGATCGGCGGGAACTGCCGATTCTATTTTTATTGGAATACTCACAGAATACTTCAATACCCTCAATAAAGAGTCCATATACTTACTTATTAAATAGAAGTCACAAATAACCAAACTGACCCACAGTGTGGTCAGCATTGACCACGTTTCGAAATGCTTCGAGTTCCCCGGTTTGCGGGCACGCAGTACCGGTTTGCGGCACGCGTACGAAGCACCACTCAACAGGATCACCTCACACTTCCGTATACTGATGCTGATGCTGAAAGCTTTATGCGCTACGTCACGATGAAAGCATGTACCAAATTACTACGGGTAACCCAAATTCTCATGTTTATCTGTTGCTACGGTAAATTTGTGAAGTTTTAAACAATTTCACCTTTTCCTCGAATGGATCATCCCATACGGGGGTACGTACTACTAGAAACTATCGGGTCATAGCAGGTACACACATCAGCACACATACCATCATACACGATCCCGCATGTTATGTGTGTATTAACACCCCCCGCCGCAAACCAGAAAAACACGTAATTACGTGCCGGTTTGCGGCCACCCCATGCAACTAGCCATGCGGTGGCACAATCAAAATATCTGCGATAGGAGACAGACCACAGCCATCATACTTCCACAAAAACATCAAATTTCACCTCCAATCGGACAAATATCGGACAAATAGAGCTACAATATTGATCTAGTCATGCCTCGATCTCTTAACTTAAAAGTTAGCACCTGCTGGAATTTTCATCGGCGACTGGTGCCGTAGATTTCCGACATCGCTGACGGATACTCCGTACCGATAGGAGCACCTGCTACGGACGTTTTCGGCAAAGCAGAACTTACCGTGGAATCCACGGTAGGTTTCAATGATTATTATCGAGTCATATTCATTTTATTTTTGAAACAAATACCCCTGGCCGCAAACCGGGCGATGCCGCAAACCGGAGACTCTACTCTAGTTCTGGAGTGGACTGGTAGTGGTACTTTAAAGTAGACGGTGAAGTAGGCCTAGGGTTATACTTTTTTTAATTTTCTTACGCGGGAATCCATTTTTTGCCTAGCCAGCGGGAAGTTTGGTAACCCGAAACCCGCAGAGCAAGAGCGGCGATGAAAAAAAAACGTCTGCAAATATCGGACCAGCCCCCCTACTGACTGGTTCAGCAGCCTTTCCACGCTCTTATTAACACCATCACCAACACCAACACTAGGGAGGCCAATGCCCGGGCGTAAGGCTTCTACACCTACGATTTGTGCGCTCGTCGCCCACTTCAAAAAATTAGCAAAGGGAAAAAAATGATGTAAAAATAAAAATTGAAGAAAATATGAAAAGAAAATACAATTATACATTTCACAACATACCTATAATCACGGATCTGTAACAGTCTTTCACCATTTGTTGACAATCTTGCAGATTTTGACGTTTTTTAATCCAATAATTGTGGTTGCAGACGACCTTGACGCACTCGCACCACCGACTAAGAAAATCCTAGAGGGCGTAGAGGTTTGCTCACTAAAAACCTTCTCATTGGCAGAAGGTAGACCCTAAAAATATGGGATCCGTTTTGAGTAAAGAACTTTTGATAGAGATCAACATTTCAGATGTTCACAATTGCCACTTCTAACAACTAGAAAATATAAAGAAAAAAGATTATATCTTTTTAAATACAGATTTTTACAAACTGAACATTCGAAAGTAGATAGAGTACGATGTTTCTGTCAATCTTGCGTTGGTTTGAGCCCTATAGCTACATCCATCTCAAAATGAGAAGGAAAACAGTGAACAGTGACGTCATTGTTCGCGCCAAAAATAAAGGGTATTGCGACATAATCTGAGCTCCAGTCAGATCGTGCGCAAAGCGTAGTCTTATTTATAGACCCTAGTACCTTATTCTCACAGCACTAGATACGAGTGTCGTGCAGTAATGTATGAGAAGTGTTAAAAAAGATATTTCAGTAAAAAAAAAAGTCTACTTGAGCATTCTATACTCCAATTGAGAATTGAAATGAAAGCCATGATTTGAAGGTGTGTGTTGTATGATACATGGTTAGTGAGTGTGTATGTTACGTACTATAGCGAAAGGGAGAGAGAGAGAGAGAGAGTGAGAGAAATATTAGTACACGTACGTTGCATGCATGGATGTGCGCTATGATTGTGTTCGCTGCAAGATGGATTTTAATTGGACCTCGTAACTTCTCGATCGTTGATAATAAGGAATACTCATGAGGAAATCAAATTATTGGAATACACATCTAAGGTAAATATCAATGAATTATATATATTTCTTTCCTTTTTTGAACCATCGTCTTCGGCTCGTAGTAGTAGAAGATGTAATCGTTCGCACATTGATGGCTGGACTTCAGCCTGCATCGGGGCTTGCCTGTGTCGGTGGAGGGATCAACTAAGAAGAAGAAGGTGTGTACGTGTACGTGTGCGACCGATTCAAGGCTAGCCGCTGTTGAGTGATTGCACTTTCGCGCGAAGTTTTAAACTTCATCATGAACTTTGTCCCTCGGGCCTGTCTAATTATGAACGTAACTTTGCGACATGAAATATAATTGTTTCAAGTAGGCAGTTCAGGTGGGTTTTTTTTTGTAGGAGATAGGGGGTGATTTCAATATCATTTTAAAGATCACATTTTTATTTACACAATGCACTTTGAGTTGTTCAATTTGGACCAACGGTTCCAGAGATACGGATTTTTAAAATAATTTTCAGAACCATATTGATGAGGACAAAAGATCAAAAGGTCTAACCTATTATAATTGTATTGAAGTCAATTAAACCTGTGTTTAAGCAGTGGCACCATTGTTTTCAGAAGTTTGTGATCTGTTAAGCCTCATAATAGTCATATCTCTTCAATGCGATGACCAAACTCGCTGAAATTTGGCAGATATATTCAGTGATGTTTGGCAAATATGAAATTTAATATCTTTAAACAGCACCGTAATAAAATATGCAAATTTATGCAAATTTATGCAAATTTCCATGTTTTTGTCATCATATTGTTATAAAAGGTAAATAAAAACCCTTTGAATCTAAACTTTTACCAAATGATCTTGTCTATTTATTTATTTCTTTCTCTCTCTCTCTCTCTCTCTCTCTCACACACACACACACACACACACGCACGCTTTCTCCCTCTCTCTCTCTCTCTCTGTTTCTTTTTTTCTCTGTTTCTTTTTTTCTCTGTTTCTTTTTTTCTCTCTTTCTCTCTCTATTTCTTTCTTTCTTTCTCGGTCTTTCTCTCTCGGTCTTTCTATCCTAGTCTCTCTCTCTCTCTCTCTCTCACACACGCACGCACACACACACACACAAAAGGATGAGGTGACAAATCGTCTATGTAGTCTATACTTGCAGCAATCTTGCAGTAAATGAACAGTTTTTTCGAAAAAATATTGTTACTTTACCCCAAAATATAACCAATTCATGTTAGACTATTTACAATATTTATTCCACATATTAAAATAAATATCACAATTATCAATAAAATACGACATACAATGAACAAAAATTGAAAAAACAAGTCAATCAAGTCACAAACGGGTCTGAATTCTAAGACTACGAAATGGTCTCGACGTCACTCACATAGCTGTTTCATTCACGTACACACTATGTACACGCATCACGCGTCGCATCGTCAAAATCAGTTCGTGCAATTTTCAAAAACTGCAGTCATATTATCATATCTACCATAAGATCTACTCATCATCATTATATGAAACTTTCAGGAAAGAAGGTAAGATGTTTAATTTTGTTAATTACGGAGTTGTAAGTTAATTGAAAAACTCCTTCCATCTGAATTTCATCACATTGTCGGCAGATTTGAGCAAAACCATCTACTACGATGGCTATTCAACGTACAACTCACTTCCGATGTGCATCGATAATTGTCGAAGAGAAATGACGTCATATTTTATTGTTTTAACCAATCAGAAGGCGGGGAAATCCGAAATAAACCGAGTGTTTTTTTTCGGCAGAACCACGAAAGCTCACGAAAGTGTGGCCGAAAGCGCGCTCACCCTGATGTATGTGGATTCGTATAGGGAGCTGAAATGCGCACTTGCGTACGTGAATAAGAAGTTGTCCCCATCGCGAAGGTCTAAACTGAACTGCCTATTTCAAGGCTCTTACGTACGGAAAGGCGTAGAAGGAAATGGCTACAAACCAGCTGGATATCTCCTATTTGATGGAACCTATGGAGTCGGCAGATGGGTGGATTTTCTTAGTGAAAGTAAATGCTTTCTTTTAATCTTAGTTTTAGTATAAACAAATTAGTAATTAAAAAGTTAGATTTGGGCATTGGCCTCCCTACCAACACCAACCAACACTGTACTTGAAATCACTCATTACTCATACTCTTAGACTTCATCATAGGGATGCGCGTGCGTGCAATCTCTATGGGAAGGATTTTATGACACAACAGTGGGTGGGCGATCAGACACTCTAACCGTATCTCCACGTACGTCGGAGTTAGGGGTCAAAGTCTGGATACGAAAGTACAGACATTAGCGCCAGCGGCTGCTCTGTCATGATCATGACTGTCGCTGGCTGAGATGAGCTAAGCCAGGCTAAGCGCACATGTGCGGTAGGTTACTGGATATGATGCCAATCCCATATAATGTTATCAATATCTGTTTAAAATTAGCACACCCTCAGCTGTTTCCTCTTACCCTAAATCAGTTTGCGCTATACTGCTCCCTTCAGTAGCGTTCTTTTCTCCATTTGTAGCCGTCTCGTCGCACGTATCTTCATTTTTTGGTGGGTCCATGTTCTCCGCCATGTTTGTTTCAACCAAAACGTGTTTTGTTATTTAGTTCCTCGACAGTTCTATTTCCAATTATTTTTATTCTAAAATTCTGCAATTAATATTTGATAATATTTTAATAATTTGTATTAATACATACATTACAGAGATTCTATGAAATTATATCATACTTATTTTAAATACACAAGCTTTTACAGTTGCGCATGCGCTGTATTGCATAGAGACGTGAAGCGGTAGCTAGCTGTCGATGTCGTATCCAAAGTTCCAAACAGAAAAATAAAGATAAAATTGTTGAGTCGTCTTTGTATATATCTCACCATGATGAAAGGACGTAATAAGAACGCTGGACATCGTCTTAAAGACTGCCATTGTAAGTATTCATCATTAGTAGTTAGATCTTAATTCTCACTGATTCTCATCGATCCTTTTTTTAAATTTTACTCCGTGTCTTCCCCACACAGGCCCCTAGGTGCATTACTATCCTGGCAGTGTGTTAAAAGCTGTGCTTTTGATCCTCAACATTTCAAACACCACTGTACAAAACTCAATTGATTTTACTCAAAATCGGTAGTTTAGTGACGATTGATGACACCTAAATAGCAGTAAAATACAATTTTATAACTTTCCGATGTTAGAAAAAATAATTAAAAAATTCAAATTGTGAGTCCTCTGTCAAACTTGCCGATCAGCCGCATCGGTATGATTGTGTGCATCTATGTGTTACGAGTGTATTGACTATTCCTGTATTTAAATGCTGCCTATTAACACGTAGTGCAGTGCTAGTGGTCAATACGCATTAGCATTGACTCTCTTGATGCTCTCTATGCTTTGCTGGAGTGGTCTTCCCATGCATTCCTATTCCTATTCCTACTCCTGCAAATATCATAATAATGCATGAAACATAAAAGCATTGATTCTTCTTTAGAAAAATTCCATTCTGAAAGAGCATGAAAAATACATCTAAAATAAAATAAAATAAAATAAAATAAAATAAAGTCTGCAAGATGTCTGTCAAAGCCAACTCAACTTCAGTTCAACAAGGGAAATTACGTTGATATGAGAACTATGATGTCAAACAATGACTGGAACAACACTCTCGCGAATAAGGACTGTGACGAATCATGGAAAATTTTCTCTACTTATCTAAAGAACAGTATGGTAGAGTGTATTCCAGTGACAAGACCCACAAGTCGGAGGAAGAAGAGACAGGTTTACACAACCAGAGAATCGATTGCCTTGAGCAAGAAGAAACACAGGGCTTGGAAACGATATAAAGTGACACTCGATCAAAATGACTACAGATACTATAGAGATGTCAGCAACTCTCTACGGAGCTTGACAAGAACTCTCAGTATAAACTTTGAAAAGGACATCACTCACAGCATCAAGCAGAATCCCAAAGACTTCTGGCGTTATGTCAACTCCAGAGTCAAGGCAAGGAGAGGGATAGACGAACTTGTGTTAGAGAACGGTGAGCAAGTAACTGCAAGCAATGACATTGCTGAGACCTTCAATGCCACTTTTTCAAGAGTCTTTACCAAAGAAGACGTGATTAATATGCCTGCACCAGAGTGGCAATACAATGGACCATGCTTATCAACGGTGGAAATCACGCAAGAAATAGTGGAAAAGCAGCTAAAGAAACTTGATGTAAACAAATCTGCTGGTCCTGATGGATTCCACCCTAGAGTGCTGAAGGAATTATCAAAAGAGATAAGTTGCCCACTGGCAATTATTTTCCAAAGGTCCCTAAGTGAAGGATTCCTGCCAATGGACTGGAAGGCGGGAAACGTGATTCCTATCCACAAGAAAGGCAACAGACAACTTGCTAGTAACTATAGACCAATAAGTTTAACCTCTACTATTGGCAAGGTTATGGAGTCCATTATAAGGAATGAAGTAATGGACCACCTGATCGACAATGACATACTACATGATGCCCAACATGGCTTCACTCCCGGCCGGTCATGCTGCACACAACTTATGAAACAAATGGAAGACTGGACTAGACTACTAGACCTAGGGAAACCCATAGATGTGTGTTACCTAGACGTGAGTAAGGCCTTTGATACTGTGCCTCACCAACGGCTCCTGAAGAAAGTCCAAGCCTACGGCATCGAGTACCAGGTTCTCAAGTGGATCGAAGCCTTTTTGATAGGAAGAGTTCAGAGGGTTGCAATTGGAGGGGACTTCTCAGAGTGGACTACAGTGATCAGCGGCGTGCCTCAAGGTAGCGTCCTCGGGCCCCAACTCTTTGTCCTCTATGTAAATGACTTGCCCTGCAAGATTAGTAACGGCATTCAAATCTATGCTGATGATACCAAGATATATGGAGAAGTTAGTACATCAACCCAACGAGACTCAATACAGGAGGATTTGAACAAAGCAGCTTCCTGGGCCAAATCGTGGCAACTCACCTTCAACTCAGCAAAAACCAAAGTTATGCACATTGGAAAGGGTAACACCAAGTCATTGTACCGCATAAACAACCAAATAATTCAAGAAACTGTTGCAGAAAAGGATTTGGGTGTCATGGTAGATGATGAGCTGACTTTTCATACACATATTGACACTGCAGTTAAAAGAGCCAATCAGACGTTAGGACTTATAAAGAGAACTTTCACAAGAATATCAAGAGACACATTACCAATCCTGTTCACGACCATTGTTCGCCCTCTTCTTGAATATGGGAATGTCATCTGGCATCCAAGGTTTAAGGCTGAAGCAGTGAAAGTTGAGAAGGTGCAAAGAAGAGCAACAAAGTTAATTCCCGAGATCAGACACCTATCCTATCAAGACAGACTTAAGAACCTCAAAATGTATTCACTGCAATACAGAAGGATAAGAGGCGACATGATTGAGGTCTACAAGCTGATGAACGGACTCGTAAACTCCGATCCTGCAGCCTTCTTCACATCTGCTCCTCATGAAGCTACAAGGGGACACCACCAGAAGCTGTATAAGCAAAGGAGCAACACAGTCCTAAGAAGAAACAGCTTCAGTCAGAGAGTAGTAGAATCCTGGAATAGTCTTCCTACATCTGTCATCTCCTCATCCTCAATCACTTCTTTCAAGATTAGATTGGACAAGCACTGGTCCTCTCAGCACCAAATGCTTCCATAAAATTTATTTGTGCGTCCACCCGCCATGCGAGCAAAAATAGTTAAGGTTCTTTTTCGAACGAAGCACCACTCAATGAAACGACCGGAAGTTTCAACAGGATCACCTCACACTTCCGTATACTGATGCTGATGCTGATGCTGAAGATCAACAAAATAGGGTCTAGACCCTAGATCTAGGTCTAGCGAAATAACGATATCGACAGTTTAATGACAAAATGCTTAAAATTAAAAAAAATTAAATAAAACACCCATTTTCAGTCCCCCCCCCCCCTTAACCACCAGGCGTGTAGGCAGGGGAGGGGGGGGGGGGTGGGAACGCCGGCCAAAAAAAAAAGGGAGGAGGAGAGAGGCGGGAATAGAGTAAAAGTAAGTTGGCACAGATTGTTTAAGTTTCGGAGCAAAAAAACATTGTTTCAGAGCTCAAATCACCTAGGTAAATAAATAAATATTCTATCGAAACATGTAAAATTCATGCCGTATGTAAGTTTCTTAATTTGAAATCTGACGCTTTGAACATTTAGTTGATGTTCGGTTGCTCGTAGCTCCTGTTCTGATCATTGTAAAAAAAAAAAAGGAGAACGCTACGAAGTGGAATTTCCCCACTTCTTGATCGATACCATAGTCATGATAAGCACTAAAAATAGCAGCGCTAAAAATAGTAGCGCTATAGCAATTTGAAGAGAGCCTTGTGGGTGCACTTGAAATTGATCGTGAATTAAGAGCGAGGTGCCAAATTGATGCACCGTGGACGCGCGAATTGCCCGGCCCCCCCCCCCCACTCAGTGTTATTTAGGGTGTGCATATGCTTTTTCCCTCTTTTTGAAAGCACCCCCTATCTGAGGACTGCCAACATTTTGGAACCTCCCTTTCGCGGGCTTTTCGCGGGCTTTTCCTGCCTTGGAGACCCCCCTTAACCCAGAAAAAATGCTCAATGTAGGCCTACCCCCTAAATTCTGAATAATTTCTCAGGAGTCCAAAGAGATGAGAGAAAAAAAAAAAAAAAACACCCCCTTTTTAAAGAAATCTCCGGGTGAAAAGTCAAATACACCCCTTTTTTTACAATTCTCGGGCCGGACTTTGTCGCACGAAAAGTACCCCTTTACCTGACATTTTGGTAACGCGCATGCAGTCATTCCCATACCGGAGTGGGGGGCCGGGGCAAATTGTCATGTACCTACATGTACATTAGGGCCTACTAGTACTAGCCCCGGCCCTACTGCCCTAGCCAGGTCTGTCCGATCCTCAAATGTCAATGATCATCTTCTGGCTCTACTCCGGAAGTTCAATGCAGACTTTGACTTCTGAAGTTTGGGTGATTGCCACAAAGTAAACCTTTTTGATCAAAAGTCATGAAGTATATATGTGGCTTGGGATAGAGATTTACCGCCACTCTCAAAACAATCTAAAAATTAAACTTCATTTAGATCTGGCTCTTGATCCTTTTTATTTTATACTCTGTTATTGTACGAAATTCCAGTTTTAAAATGAATTAAAGCCAGTTCAGGCCTGATAAAAACCCGATTTAAATCGGTTTCCCGATATTTTTTTCTTCTTCCCGATTTGTCCCAATTTTCTTACTCGAAAGGGGGGAATGTTGCTAGATGTCATTTTTTCCCCGCGAATCCTCTTCTTTTTCTTTTTTTTACTCAAAGGGGGCGTGGTTGAGGGGAAAGCAAAAAACTTATTTTTTTTAAAGAGCTCACTATCACCCCTGAGTGATTTTTTATGGATTAAAATTCACTAGATCATTTGATGGGGAGGGGTGTCGGGACACTAAATTAACAAACGTAAAGACTTGAATACCTTAAAGGTTGAATTCCAACTGGAAGAAAGTTGTCTCCAGCTTCCAAGCTTCCAGATCTAACTTCAAGGAAGGGGGGGGGGGGGAGGGGATGTCTGAGTTTCTGTGTCTTGCACCAAGGTCCAAGGTCAATTTGAATCTGTCTCGTGCTTGCTGGGTCATCGTTGGAGTGATCGACTCCTGTGAAACAGGTGAATTATATTGCTCCTAATTCTTCCAGTGTTCAAGTCTGTCTTCAGAATTGAATGAAAAATATTCATCAAATAATACAAGGCCTAACCATTAATATTTGTCCTCTGATATTTTCCAACATAATTGTCTTAGGTTTTTTAGAAGATTAATGAAACATCGCTAGTAAACTTTCTCAACTTGCTGTTTTAAATCAACTGTCCATTTGTTTCAAACTGTTCAGACACAAAACGTATTGGTATACATACATCACATGCTAATTTTTGCACATGCACATTTGATATGGCTTATTAATGATTAAATTTGTTCATTATCCCTGTTATAAATAAAGAAAATGTCAAATATATGTGGAAGGTATGAATTGTTAATTATTTGTTATCATTGCCAACAAAATTGGATTCACACGTTTTGAATTAATTTATTGTGAATCTCTAATTACTACCGGTAGATAGTTTTACTCTCAAACCCTGAATTTAGAACACCCAATTGCCCTCACATCCGTAAATGTTGTAATAATTAAATGCTGTCATAGCAATCCAGCAGGAAAATTAGCCAATCACAATGTTTTGATTTCCATCAGTGATTATCTGTGTACGGATTGTAAACATACACCTGTATATGCACACTGCATGCACATGTTCACAATCGTCAATGAAGAAACAATAAAATTGGGATATAATTTTCCGGCTAGATTGCTTTGTAACTAAATATAGGCCTAATTATATTTCATTATTTTTTTAAAATCTTTACAAAAAACAAAAAAATTAATTTTACACTTTTTTAATGTCTGCTAGAAGGTCTTTTAACTTGTACAAAAAAAACTTGTTTCAAATTAAAAATTGATACACACTTCCGAAAAGCATCGAAAATCAAATTACATTTTATCTAATTAAAAACAAAAAATGTCTTTCAATATTAAAAGACAACTAGAATTTAGTTTGTCACGAGGACGAATAAGGTGGTCTGTCTTCAAGTCTTATGATAGATTATAATATTTACTATATTGAAAAAGGGAGAAGTTGTATAGACATGTAAACAATGATGATCATGATAATGATGATCTTGATAGTAATGGTGATGACGATGATGATGATAATGGTGATGTTGATGATCATCATCAACAGACATTGATGACATCTGATTGAAAAAATGAGGGGACATTTAGATAGCGTATAGTCTCAGATACAACATACTCAAAAATCAACAAAAATCAAGCTGAAATAATGGCGATATTGCTCGCAAAAGACATGAATGTAGAATCCAGATTTGAGAAAAAGTCATCTCCATAAGGATTACACGCAAAAAGTAATGGATCAAGTGATAATAGGGTAATAATAAAGTAAATATGGTTGTTTATTACATTATTTGCGATTCTACGTGTTTTAATATTCAAAGGAGATATGGTACAGTGAAAGGTCTAAAAGAAAAAAAAGTGAAGAAGTGAAGAAAAAAAATTGTTGGAGACGCCTGGACGCGAACCAGGGACCTCCAGGTCGGAAGTCAAGTGCGTTACCGATATACCAGAACATTTCCCACAGAGATTACACGTAAACGGAAAATGGAATTCTCAAATCCCACTTTGTAAGTGAAATATGAGCATGATCCTCGCATCTGATCGAAAAATAAAGGACACACTTGTGATAGCTTTTTCTCTCAGCTACAACATACTCAAAGCTCAGCGTAAACAAAGATAAAACGACGGAGATATTGCTCGCGAAAGACGAGAATGTAGAATCCAGTTTTGAGAAAAAGTCATGTCCCATAGAGAATACACGCAAAATGTAAAAATTGATATGCCTCCTTTAATCGCAAAAATACGCCATGATACCATTGTCAAAATGAAATATTGGTGGTAACTGCATTTGTAGAGAATATTCTCAGGTAGAACATATCAAAATTTGAAAGAAAATTGATCAATATTTACAGAGATACAATCAATTTTCCAAAATCTGCTGACGTCATAATATGCAAATTGAAATTTTGTGTTCGGAGGCCATTATGATGACGTCATGAGTTAATTGAGGGTCAAATGAGACTAGAAATCATATCTCCGACTCATAATCCATCCAAATATGAAAAAAAATGGGGGGTATCCATCCATTCTGAAGAGTTACAATGAATTTTGTATAGGCATGTTTTTGCACATGTATGTTATGTATTACAAGAGCTCGCACGCACGGATGCGTATCTTAACAGACGCTCATTCCGTTATTAATGGTCAGAAAAAGGTGAACAAGGTATCAAAATGCTTGAAAAAATGTGCCAAATATGATGACAGAAAATTTGGCGATTCTATGTTGCAAAATGCGAAATGCAAAACGCGCACGCATGTGCGTCTGCGCGTTTTTTTGCAAAATGCTTAAAATGGCCTGAAACAAATGCAAAATTAATTTGGGACGAATCGGAGCATTATGAAATTTTGATGCGCGCGTATGTAGGCGCGCGGAATTTGTTGACATTTTTAGTTGACCTTTGACCTGAAGTTGATTTTTGATGACTCGTTATCGAGATATGATAATGGCCTGATTTTTACAAAATGGCGTCTGGATGACGTCACAATGACCTAATGACCTTGAAAAAGTTGATTAGACTTGAAATTATAGGGCCTGATGACTGACAGAAATTCGAAGGAAATTGAATATGTCGATTTCGAGTGAACGTGTGCACAAAAAAGTGTACAGAAGTAAAAATAAATAAAGAAAGAATAAATAAATAAAGAAAGAAAATTCTAACGAAATCAATAGGTGATCTGTCGTTGACAGACCACCTAATTAAAGCCTGGATACAAATGCTGGATCAGCCTCGATTGATCTATTCTGTCTGTATTGATTCTCTTCTGTAGACTTAATTCAGCACCATGGTTTCTTTACTTATTTTCTACTCAATTTTCACACTTTCTTATTTATTTCAGTCAGCAAAGAGGAGCAGGAGTCCCTTGTTAAAATGTTCAAAGAGCTCACCAAAGATAACACTGGCTCTATCAGAGAAGACAAACTAGATAGATCACAGTTCAGGGAAGTGCTTCATTCAATTTTCAAGATGACAGATGATGTCATAATGGACAGAGGTGAGGTATACTGTACTCCCAGTGAATGCTTGTCCCTGTTCTTTGTAGGATTTAATATTAATTATTGTAGAAATATAATATGCAATTTGCATGTAATGTATGAAATGACAAATTCTGAAATTCTTATCCACTACTGTACATGTATAGGCATTTCATAATTAAAAAATTATAACTGATTTGATTATCTCAATGCTGGTTTCTTCCTTTCGATAATAGGTTACTCTACAAGTAGTGGAAAATATCCTTATAACCTTAGCTATCTGACCAAGTTTCAATCACACATGTCCTTGATTTAAAAAAAGTATTTAAAAATTTGATTGAAATTTTAAAAAATTGTGATTTGAATTTTTGAAAAAAAGAAAAATAATAATAATCGTGATTTTCTTCCAACCCTGGTCATTACTGAATATAGCTATTTCTTTTTTGTTTCCTGTGTTGTGCCTAATCAGCCTAAATCTCTTGAACTTGTAATGTCATTCATCTTGTATTTATACTTTTTTTGACAGTCCTGAGAGCATTCGTTAAGGACCACGAGGCCTGCATTAACCTGTACGAATGGTTGACAGGTCTATCTGTCTTTCTGAAAGGCAGTCTTGAAGAGAAAATTCAATGTGAGTATACTAGTTAAGGCTTTATTAAAAGTGAAACTTCCGGGCAATTCAACTTGGGCACTATCGGTTCTACAACAAATGCTCTAATAACAATTGCTAAATGGTCACTTGATTTGATTTGATTTGATTTATTTATTTCTGTTTGATTTTCTTTTTCTTTTGCAGTTTTAAAAATATGATTAACAAACAAAACATTGCAAGTTTTTACACAATCATGACAAAAGAATATATGTAGAATAGAGTAAGACTGGCTGTAACTAATCGAAAACATCAAACAAGACTTACTTAAACCCTGGACCAAACACGATATACCTTATTAGTCTAAACCTAACCCTTAGTGTATATCTTTGAAACAAATAATTTTGGAGTAAATGCACTGCTGGAGCATGTTTTCGCTATGTACTTTCAAGTGGCTTTACCATGTAGATAATGACTTGTACACATGAAGCTACATGTATGGGTAACCCCTTCATTTCATGGAAATAACCATAATCAAGTAAGATACATGTGTACGTGTTTCAAAATGTTGAAAAATACCCATGAAAATATAATAGTTACCCTACTTGCCTGTCTTTGGCAAATGAAAAAGTTGGCAGGGATGTGTAAAGCTTTCACAAACTTGAGTCACCACCCTTTCCGAGTCCCTTTCCTCCTTTTCCTCGACCTGACATGACGATGATTGATTTTTTTAATCATTGCTTTGATGAAGTTTGCTTCAAGGTGTATGATCTGAACAGTGATGGCTTCATTTCAAGAGAGGAAATGTTTCATCTTCTGAAGACATCGATGGTGAAGCAACCCACCGAGGAAGACCCAGAGGAAGGTATCAAGGACTTGGTAGAGATCATCATCAAGAAAATGGTAGGTTTAAATTTATCCCTACTAAGACTTGCCACTTCAAAACAGTATCATAAGTACAATTTTTATCAAAAAAGAATTGAAAATAAGACAAAATTATTAAATTTGGATTTGAAGAAAAAAAAATTCATAAAAGAATTTCAACTCCCAAATAGTACTCTCAAGTAGTACTTTTACTCCCAAATAGTACTTTTTCAGTGCAACCTTAAAATAGTTGAAATATTCTGGTCATGTGACGAGCTTTCAACCAATCAAAAACTAATACATTTTTGATGCAGGATATAATAAGCAAATAATTACCGTTGGTGAAGGTGATGGGAAAACTATCACTTCCAAGGCGATCTGGATGTAGCTATCTTTCCGAAGCGAAGCAGAGGAAAGATAGCATATACATTCAGATCGCCGAGGAAGTGATAGTTTGCCATCGCCTGAAACTAAATGGTCACTTCTTCCCTTATTTTAGAGCAACAAGTCATCAATTAACAGCTAGCAAAAGGTGTACGAAACGTACAGTGTATATGTAGCACGGTGGTGTGGCCATAGTTCGCGCGTGACCAAAGTTTGTGTACTAACATTAAAAGCACTTAAAGAGGAGAGCAATATGTAACGTATACAATTAAAGTGCATTGCACTGTGTAGATAGTACTTCTATCTTCAGTGAAAGTGCATTGGACTGTGTAGATGGTACTACTATCTACACAGTGCAACAAACTTTTCTTCTCCCATCAATGATAGGTGAACTATCTTTCTTCACGTGATTTACTTTTGACCAATCGTAGCGCAAGATTCTTAGTATGTGGAATATAATAACTATTATAGGTACTATATAGTTTTCTTACACCAGATGAAAAAGTATTATATATAATTATCTTGCTGGTATGTTTCCTCTCTCTGTAGGATCTTGACCATGATGGAAAGCTGTCCTTCAAGGATTTCTCTGACTCTGTCAATGTTGAGCCGCTACTGTTAGAGTGTTTCGGGACATGCTTACCGGAGCAGAAGGTGAGTTCTGAGTTTTAAAAAAAATAGTCTCACTTTGACCAATCAGAATATTATTAGTAGAGACAGAACACCTTGTAGATAATAGATGTATACATACATTCCCCTCCTATTTATTTTCAGTTCCAGTTGATGTACCATGCAAGAATACAGTAGATGAATTAACCATCTCCAAGACATTCCCCTCTTTCTCTCTATATATAGATAATTTGTGGTGTATTAATTAACTTGTACTTAAAAACTTTGATGTACCTTTCAAACACTTTCTACATTTAGAAGTACATTTAGTCTGTGATATTGCATGATGTACTGATTTTGAATGCACAGTAATCATTATCTGACCATACTAGAAATGGCTAGATTTGCACAGATCTAATTATTTCGTCAACATGATTGAAGCATTTTAAATTCCTTTGACAAAGAAATTTATGTTTTCTGCAGGTTTCCATGATGAGTGAGCATTCACGTTTGAAGGGCTTGCTTTCAGTAGCACCATGTGGTAGCCTTAGAAAAGGCTATTATTTTGTCGAAAGAACACACTCATATGGCATTTAGAGGAATTATGATTGAAATAAAGGGAAGGGAAAGAAAATGAAAGAGGAATGAAGTTGAAAGTAAAAACTTTTTATACACAAGGCTAACTTTGTTCTTGATTTTAGTGTTTATAAACCAAAATTGAGGTTAAGTGGAGAGACTTAATGGAAAGGGAAAAGAGTGATCAAGATTGAGCAGGTTTTGAGCAGATCACAGCAGTTGAGGGCCGGTAGTTCTTAAAAGAAGTGTTGGTATTCCTGTGTAAAGTAGTTCTTCTGATAGGGATTTTACAAACTTGAGTATTTTTACTTGAAAAGGAGTCTCCTGACGTTGCACAAGGTAGCTATTCCAAACGTGTCGAGACAAATTACTCCTTTTCATGAAAGGATACTTTAATTTTGAATTCTCTTTCCAAACTTGTCCATAGAGGAATACCAACAGTTCTTTTCAGAACTGCACTTTTCAACTTCTGTGATCTTCTCACAACCTCAAATGCAATTACCCCTCCTTTCCTTTTCCGTTTCCTCTTTATAATCCTTCTTGGTGTATAGACTTGGAAACCAAGAACCAAAAGTAATGTTGTGTTGAGAGTTCGATTTAAAATAACTTCATACTATTATCACCTCTTTCCTTTTCATTCCCTTTTATTAAATGTATTCCTTAATTCATATAGACAAACCATAAGTGGCTAATTTTCAAGCAAGAGTTCAGCAGCAGCCATTTCAGTAAGGCCACCACATGGTTTTACTGAAAGCCTTCAATCATGAATTTCAGAAAAATATTCATCAATCATCAAAATTATAAAAAATTAAAATAGAAAAAATCATAACTGTTGATCAGAAATAGAGCCATCTTTAGTTGTAATGTATACATTTGCACATTATTCTGATTTTTTGTGGTCATGTTGCAAAAATTTCCACTGCTTAAGAATTGCCTATGGCAATGAAATCCATGAGAATATGATGTTTCATTTCGAAATAATTGATTCTAACAAAATTGCCTCTTTTTCACCTTTGTCCTACCCTGCTCCCTTGAATCTTAATCTCAATCTATATGTTAAATATGCATACTAGACTTGTAACCATTTCTTGGGGGAATGCAAGAGACGGATGATGGAGGATCTTCTATTCCCAGAGTCAGTAAACTGAGTTCTCTTTCTTGCTATCATCATGCTTACACTTTTTTTTTCTTCTTAAAGCTTGTCACATTCATGTATCCTTGTCGTTCGTTCATGTCTTAGGCCAAATTAAAAAAAAAACATGTTTAGTGTCCTGCCTTTTTGAAAAATAGGAAGGAGGAGGCCCTTTTTTTTCTTTTTCAAAATGGCCGCTCAGTACATTTTCCCTTACAGTCGGGCTATTTTTCAAGATGGCCGCCGATTTAAAAAAAAAGAAAAAAGATCAGAAATGGATCCATTTTAGCAGTGTTTTTCATGTTTAAAAAGAAAAAAAAAAGAAAAAAAGAGGAGGCGGCCCCCCAAAAGGAAGCGGGTGGAGACACTAAACATGTTTTTTTTAATGGCCTTAACCGTGCTTTGGGTAGTTTTGGTGGAAGGTTTGTCTTGGCTTTGCGTGCTGGTTGGTTGACCATTTTAGATTAAAGGGAAATCCAACCTAGATAAAACTACTCTGGAAGAGAGCAGACAAATCAGCGAAGTAGACTGGTTAAAATGTTTGAATGATATTGGACAAAAAATGAGAAAGATATGAATTTTTGAAAGTTAATTGTAATCACTATAGGTATGAGCTCATCAAATTGACTGAATCAGTTATGTCTCTGTAAAGAAGTGACGGACAACTTTTGCATACCGGTATGTTCCTATACCCACAAAATCATGACCAAAGTTTCAATTTTTCAACAATTTATGGCTAAGGAGGGTCTTTACTCTTTAGAGGACCTATAATAAAGTGCTACCTATAATATGTTTTGAGTAGTATTGCCTTATAAAGAAGGCAGAAAAAAAAACTTTATTTTTTAACTCCACTAATGGGAAAGTTGTCCTTGTCCACGTCGCAATCCACGAACCAATTTGCCAATAATGATCTCACATTTCAACCATTCATATTTCTCTTATTATTGGTCTGATTTATTTCAAACTTTCACCAACATTCTATTTTTCTTCTTTTTCTTCTTTCATACAAATGAACTCATTACAAGGGTTGGATTGCCCTTCGTAGGCATTTTTGTAATTTTGCTTATATCTAAAATGTTATTTCCTGAATTCATGAGTGCTGTATTCAAATGTGTGCCTATATTCCTCCATTGATAGAGGTCAAGATATATATTCATGATTAAAAAGAGAAGTAAAAAATAACACATTTCTTACTCCTGTACACGTACGATTTGGCTTTTGGGGAGACAGCACAGTATGCTCCATTGAGCACTAGTATACCGTATGTACTCCATTTGCATTGCTCACTGCAAGTTCATATGGAGCCGAAGTAGCTCCTCAATGGACTACCGGTATGAATATCAATCAATAATCAAATGTAAGCCTGTGATTTTCTCTTTTGCTTGCAAAATAGTTTTGTGCTCTTTGAAACTCTCAAATCTGCCCATTAATCATTGAAGAATAGAATACGGTATACATAATTTATACCAAAAAAATGTAGTCAATTTATTTTAAATACGCTTCTTAGGTATTAATCTCTATACTCGCAATATACCACCCAGTTATACATTGGAAGCAGATAAAGTTTGTAATCAATCTTGAAACTTAAAATTCATTAACAAAACATTATATCATCAGATTGTGGATGGATAAATTCTCCCCATAGCTGATATTCCCGGTTTTGCTCCGATGGTATCCCACATTAAAGACTTCCTGATTCTTGTGATATCCATATAGTGCTGGATTAAATTTAAAAAAAGGTGCTGGTTGAACCTAGCCATCATTGCAAATTCCTCTCAAGGAGAGTTTTGCCAAAAGCTGCGCAGGCTGTGACATATCAAATTTTTATGCAAACTTTGAAAAATAAAATTGATTGGTTGAAAAAAATGTTACAGCCAGGCGTCACAAATCGGCAGCCCTTAATTGCAGCTTCATATTTGAACGGGCCTATAATTAATACGTTATTTTCCTCTCTAATGTATCAGTATCACTGCATTATGCATTAATTCATTTATTTGTTTGCAACGTTTGATAGAGATTTGGAAGTGGTTGCATCATTTAATGAACATATTCATTCCGGTAACTACATGTAGTAACCACATCACAGGCTCATTCATTCATGAGTACACACATGCTTTATTCACATGTGCAACTTCCAATGCTCCTATATCTCATGTTTTGCTTGCCATTCACTCAAGGCACTTTGCACTACAGTGTATAAATGAAATTCCAATCTTCGAAAGCAAGTTGAAGTAAAATAAAACAGAGCAATATATATTAGAGAAACAGAAGATATTTGCTTTAGTTCTTTAGATCACTCAAGATGGGAATTTCAAATTAACAAATTTGCATGAATGGTGCATTGTTTTCCTGTTCAGCTAGTGACTACATTGTGCATACCTTTCCAAAAATACCCATGGAAATCTTTCAGTGTTCATAGAAAATTACATTGAGTACCGGACTGTCGATCACAAGGTCCGCGGTTCAAGTCCCACCGCAGCATTTATGTCCTTTGGCAAGACATTGATCTACATTTGCCACTCTCCATCCAGGTGAAGTAAATAGGGACCTGGCAGGAATTTATTCCTTGAAACGCAGAGCGCGTAACAGCTGAACTGCTTGAGCCAGGGTCATTATGCTGCATTATTGTAGAGCGCTTAGAGATTTCTGATAAAGTAAGTGTTAGGCGCTATATAAACAAATATAATTATAATTATTATCACATTTAACAATTTAAAAAACATGCATCAATGCATAGAAGGAATAACTTTCTAAAGGTCTAACGGCAATTATCTGATCTTTTTTACACAGCAGGGGGGTGTTTCACAAAGATCCTAAGTAGAACTTAACTCTAAGTTGGACTTAAAAATTATGGAAAGCCATTAGCATCTTTAAAAAAATTTGGTAAAAATATTTTTGAAAGGCATAAAATGTTTATTCTAATCATTCATATTTTCTATCATTAAGGAGATTTCATATTCTTGTTGTGGAATTTATAAAATGTCTAAAATACTTGAATTTCTGCTTTTGAGTATATTTCATTTTAAGGCTCCAATGGCTGTCCATAATTTTTAAGTCAAACTTAGTGTTAAGTTCTACTTAGGATCTTTGTGAAACACCCCCCAGGTCAAGCTTTAGTTAGAACAACTTATCAAATAGCATGAGAAATAAAATAAAATAATTTTATGACTCTTGTAAATATAGTTGCATTAAACAGGAGTAGAATCTCAAATATACATATTTGTTCCTTGTGCATGTACCGCCATTGCCCAGCAATTACGTAGCCTGGATGTATAAGCTTCAATATCCTAGTTGTTAAATTTTATATGTATAGGTCTCATTTTCAGATTATTAGCATGAAAGAACATATATAGTACTGGTAAACTACAGTGTTTTGAAATACCTCTAAAACTCTCTTTCTTTCAAGGGCATTTGGATTTTACATGTACCTGAAGAAAATTGTACCAATTAGGTAAATTTGGTGCTTATTATGCTGTTTTGTATGGATTCAGCCTGACATCAATAACTCTATTACTGTGCTTGCCATGCATTAATTAGTTGTAGTTGCTTAAGATTTTTGTTTAATTACCGGTAGAAAAAAAATATGAGCAAACTAAATAAGAATACATATACCGATATTCTACCAATGAAAGATTTAACTTTAGATTATTTTGAGAAAAGGCTGGTATGTCAGATTTAACCCACCTCACCAGTTTTATTCCCATTTAGTGTTTTTGAAGAAAGAAAAGAAAAAAATTATTCTTTCAGCTAACAATATATGATGATAAAAGTCACTACTTACCAGTGTAACTCATCATTGTCTAATTGCCATTAAAGGAAAATGAAACCCAAGAAACTTTAGCTCGATAGCCTTATTGAAAAGTGTGAGCCGCCCAGTTAAAAATATCTTGAAATTACTTCTATTTGATTATTTAGCGAGAAAAACCATCTCTCCAAATTTCGCTGTTTCCTTGCCTGTTGAACGTTCCAGTTTGATAAATTGCTAAATAATCAAGCAGGAGTAATCTCAAGATATATTCAACCGGCTCACAATTTTCAATAAGGCTATCGAGCTAGAGTTTGTCGGGTTTCATTTTCCTTCCATTTCAAGCCTAAAAATGTAGCTTCACCGCAGGTCAAGTCATGTTTTCAAGTAATGTTGCTTAAACCCACGCATGTGGACTGTTTTTATTTGAATCTAACTTTTAAATGTTTATTTGTGCGATTTATTTGAGTTTTGGGTTGGTGAAGGGACCGCATAAAGTGTGGCATTTTGGTATGGCTTGCATGTGTTTATTCTTTCATATTCTTTGTAATGGGATTTTGTGTTCTATATGGTGGATTGTTGTTTGTTTTTTCATTACTAAAAATGAAAGCCTATAATCATAGTCTTCATTTTAAATTGAGAAAAAAGGAAATGGTTTGCTGAATGTATATAATTCAATTTTAATTAATAAATTATGTGTATGTGTAAGCATTAAACAATTGAATGAAACTTATTTAGGTTTGTGAGGTCAGTTGATTACGGTCACGATGCATATTAGGTGGAGGCCTATTATATTGTTTTTCATTATTGTATTCAAGTGTCCTTCATGTGATTTGAATATTGAAATGTTAATGGAAGTGCATTAAGAGCAATGCATGAAAAAACATCCATACATGTACATGTGTAGGTCTGGGATGCCACAGGTAAATTATGATCTTCATAATGTCGAGAATATTGCCCTTAAAATGTAACTCAAGTCTATATTAATTCATAATTTTGCATTTGAATGAAGTTGAAAACGTAAACCTTTCCTCAACAAATCAGATCACCAATTATGATAATGATGATGATGATGATGATGATGATGATGATGATGATGATGATGTAGAAGATCAGTGCATTTTATCTGTCGGACTCGTCCATTGATCTACGGTTTAATAGAATATATGCACCTCACATTTTCTTTCCTTGGTATTAAAGGCCTGTGTTACCACGTAAGGGCCATCGAAACACAAAGGGTGGATGCTCTTCTGATGACGAATCTGACAGCGAGGATGACATCATGCGAATTCGGGAAATCCTTGCTGTACTGCTAGGGTGCAGAAAGAAATACAACATCCACTCCCAAGGGAGCGCAATGTCTGGTGGGAAAAACAATCTTGTTCTTCTTTTTGCTGGCATTCTAACTGGCTTGTGAACGGCTTAATTATTGGACTGTTTATGCATCCTGGAAACCTTGCAATTGATTTTGGTTATCTTTTTGCTGGCATTTAACTGTATAAATCTGAGTGACTTTTTGGCCTGCCATCCTGGAAACCTTGCAATTAATTGATTTTCTGCAATTAGTTATCTTTTTGCTGGCATATTAACTGTATAAATCTGAATGGCTTATTGGACTAGCTGTTTATGCATCCTGGGAACCTTGCAATTAATTGATTTTCTGCAAATTGTTATCTTTTTGCTGGCATATTAACTGTATAAATCTGAATGACTTATTGGACTGTTTTTCTGGAAACCTTGCAATTGATTATCTGCAATTGGTTCTCTTTTTGCTGGCATATTAACTGTATTGTATATCTGAATGGCTTGTTAGACTAGCTGTTTATGCAACCTGGAAACCTCGCAATTGTTTATCTGCAAGTGGTTATCTTTTTGCTGGCATATTAAATGTATAAATATGAATAGCTTTTTGGCCTGTTTATACATCCTGGAAACCTTGCAATTGATTATCTGCTGCTTCTATAAAGTTTTTTTTTGGAGAAATCCGTACTTGTTGAATTGCCTTAATACCTTTTGCTTGTGATGGCCCCTTAAAATTTTAAAAATTCATTATTTTCCTTTTCCATGATTCAGTGGTCATCTTTAAGAGGTTTCGGGGACTTGTCTTAATTTACAATGTCTCTGAATTAATACCTATATTTATGAGCTGTGTATCATGGGTGCTTTTATTTTTATTTATTTGAACTATCCAAAAAATCGCATTAACTTGATTGTATTCCACTCCATTTCTTTTCTTTTGTTCATTTTTATTTGCCGAATTAATATGCAGCCAACCCTGACAAAAGAATAACTGCAAACCTCGCTCAAATAATATGCAAGCGTAGGCTGTCAAGCTAATGTACTTTTCATCTGACAGACTCTTGGAATATATCTAGGTTCTAATTTATGACGAGAAATATTTGAATGCTAGTGCATGACATTCACTATGTATCATGCTACATAGATGACAAAAAAGAACAATTTACCCCCATATTTTTCTCTCAAATATATCCATCAGTCCAGCATGCTTGACAAAAATTAGCCACCAATATTTTGTATGGTGTCTTCAAGTAGGCTGTATTGGAGAAATAAAAAAATTGGCTCGATCTGTCAGGATTATTTTGCTGATTTCAGGCTTTCATATACTCAAGTAAAGATTTAAAGGGAATGTCTACCCTGATAAGTTGGCAGGTATTAATAAAAAGCAAAGAGAAAAAAAATAATCTTATTATGAACCACTCATTTATTCCAAGAAACTATGGGTAACCCCTATGTGTCAAGACCACAAGAGGATGGCATCCTCAGATTTTCAAAAGGAACAATTTTCATTTTTATTTTTTAAATGACTGTGCATGAATTGTTGCATTCCTTGCTTTTGTTGCAATGCTGCTGCTGCTGCAATGTGCTGATGCATGTGTCATGATTATCAATTATGCTGAATAATCATTTGTTGTTCACAAAATGCCAAGGAATAAATTGTAAAATGTATGTATAATATTCCTTATGGCAAACTATGAAACTAATACTGGTATCAAGTTTGCCTATAGACATTTTTATGCCTCCGCTACAAAGTAGCCGGAGGCATTATGTTTTCTGGCTGTCCGTCCGTCCGTACGTCCGTACGTCCGTACGTCCGTCCGTCCGTACGTCCCGTTCTCGTGATCGCGTTATCTCAAGAACCAATTGATGGATTCTCTCTAAACTTGGATCATGTATGTATCTTGCAGAGCCAATGAACTGATTAGATTTTGGGGTCACGAGGTCGAAGGTCAAAGGTCACAGGGCTCATTATGTATTCAAAAATAGCTTGTGATCGCAATATCTCAAGAACCGATCAATGGATTCCTGCCAAACTTGGGTCATATATGTATCTAACAGAGCCAATGAACTGATTAGATTTTGGGGTCACGAGGTCGGAGGTGAAAGGTCACAGGGCTCATTATGTATACAAAAATAGCTTGTGATCGCGTTATCTCAAGAACCGATCGATGGATTCGTGCCAAACTTGGGTCATGTATGTATCTAACAGAGCCAATGGACTGATTAGATTTTGGGGTCACGAGGTCGAAGGTCACAGGGCTCATTATGTCTACAAAAATAGCTCGTGATCGCGTTATCTCAAGAACCGGTCAATGGATTCCTGCCAAACTTGGGTCATGTATGTATCTAACAGAGCCAATGAACTGATTATATTTTGGGGTCACGAGGTCAAAGGTCACAGGGCTCATTATGTATGCACAAATAGCTTGTGATCGCATTATAATGAGAACCAATAGACAGATTACTATCAAACTCAAGACATGTATATATGTATCTTGCAGAGCCAATTAACTGATTAGATTTTAGGGTCATCAGGTCAAAGGTCATGGGGCTCATTATGTATGACTATAAATAGCTTGTGAATGCATTATTATTAAAACCGACAGATGGATTACAATCAAACTTGAATTTTAAAAATTGCTTCCGTTTTGGTTTGTAAAGTTGCTCTATGGCGGAGGCATCATTTTTGACTGCGCGCAGTCAAAATTCCATCTAGTTTTGTTTGTCGTTTTTGTTTTTGACAAGTCATATAGGTTTTCTAGTGTCTGATTCTATGTAGACATACCGTTGTATGCACAATATAATGTACATGAAATTTCCTATAATGTGATATCAGTACTGGAAAGTTAACCAGTTTTGCTTACAAAGAATGAGCTTCAAGTCAGGCCAGTTGTTGAATACTGCCTTGAAGGGAAAGGCTATTTATAACAATGACAAGAATCACTATGATAATTGGAATAATAGTATGTTACCGTTGATCTTTTGGATAAAGAGGCAAGTTTCCTAAATCCATTTACATTACTATATGTAAGCTCTGCTCTGGGGGGGGGGGGGGGGGGGTTGCAAGAGAAAACAAACAAACAAACAAATGAAATGAGTACATAGATTATGAAATGGATGGTGATCTTACATACTCTACTTAAGAAGAGAAATGCTGAAGTAATAAGAAAAAAGTGCCTTGAGATTGACAGCTCACTAGACCAACATTGTCATTTTCGTGAGCCTTCTTACAATTTTTTGTTAAAGGGATCTGGTAACTTTGTCTCAGATTCTGAAACAAAATCCTGGATTTAGCTCATGCTGCAATTATAATTATAAACCTTAAGGTCAGTCAGGAACTCCATGACTGTAACAAGCCGATCGCCTGTCTGATTATCAAGATGTTTATGATTGGAAAATCGAAACCAAATTTTGCGTTTGCCAAACGATTTTCATAACACTACAGTCTATTGGGGAAAACAAGTATGGTAAAACCGGTCACTCAAAGATTTGTACCTTTTTGAGGCACTTCTTGATTATTTTGAAGTGCAATTTTTTTTAGGGCTTTAATACTACACCATATATCACAGACAGTGGTAGCGCGTAGCGCCATGCAACTCATATTTGACATTGTTAAACTATCCCTTTAAAGGTTCGCTTCGACAGCCTTTAAGCTACTTTTTATAGGGTTCACTAGACCAACAGCCAACAAGATGCCAACCTTTTTTCTTCCTTTATAAATGTACTTCTCTGTTTTGTCAGCTTAGTGGGCTTTTGGTCATGTAGGCTGTTGGTCCTGTGGGCCATCGGTCTCAGGGACTTTTTGGAACATTCTTTTTCTCTTGTATTTCTTTGTCTTCAGTGTCATGGGATGTCAGTCTAATGGAATGTTGGTCTTGTGGGCTGTCGGTCTAGCAAATTGTGAGGAAATATCGGTCTCAATGGCTCTCTGTCTACTGGGATGACCCCTCCCCCCCCCCCCAAAAAAAAGAATAAAATTATATAATAAAAATAATTAATTATTAAGTAGGTGAATATAAGAATATTTACTGCAGTTTTGGATATGGAGTATCTTGCTGTTTATATACCTTAAAACAATTATGGCTATGGCAATTTGGGGGGAAATTCTTCAAAGTGTGTGGTTGTGTTTTAATTTTGATTAATTTCTAATCATGATTTTTCCATACACAGGTAGAGTGAGTGATCATGACCATGTGCTTTCTGTCTTTTTGTTGTGAATGGAAAAAGAAATGAAGTCCGATAATTGATCAAACGATAGTGAATGTGATAATAGAGACAATTTATTTCAGATTAACTCATCCGTACTGAGTTACTGAAGATTAATAAATCTTTCATTTTTCTTATCCTCCTTTCTCAACCTGCAGGTAATTGACTCGTTCATGGTAATGTTTGCGGTACCAACACCCTAGCCGGATCCATCCAATCCAAGATCATCATATTCATCCCTTAATAAAATAGTTCCTTACATGGGCACTATCTTAAAGAAATATATTTGTTATATGTACTGAGTGTGGGTTGAAAGAAAGGATAAGTGCACTTCTAATCATATACATTTCATGAGAAATAATATTTATTTATTGGACATGTGGAGAGCAGTTTTGTAACTCACATTGCTACCCAGTAAAAATAAAACTAGAAATAAATAAATAAATAATTGAATAAGTAAATATAAAAGCACTAATTGTAAACATTAGAACCATGGTATTCATTAAGGATACCAATGGATGTTATAATGGTCAGAAAAATATAATTTTTAATATATGATGTGAATTTTTCTTAGAGCTACAAGTATTTTGGTAATTTTTCCAATAACCTACCACAATTACCAAAAATACTATCCAACAAGATGGTCCAATTTTCATGGAATTTTTACATTCCTGATCACCTCAAGTATATATATATATATATATATATATATATATATATATATATTTATATATACATATAAGCTGTCTGATACTTCTTTTGGAGGTACTTGTTGTTCACAAAGTCTTAATGTAAGGTTCATTTACACTACATTAAACTTTGGAGATTAGCCTTTACTTTCTTTAAAATGAGGTACAAAACGATCTTGTCAATTCATTTGTTCTTCCCTTCCTAGCTCTTTTAATTTTTACCAACACTGTTGTCAGAGGTTGGAATAATGTCAACTATTGTGGTACACCTATGGCTTTATAGTTTCAGAAAAATCTGACTTTACATGCCTGTATATGGCACACATCATTAATTACCGGTATATGGAGGTTTATGCTTGTAAATATAAACTGTACAAAATTTTCAACGTCCAGTGCGTATCAAAAAAACATACATAACCAGCTTGTTAGCTTATGATTAACAAGTCATAATCAATGTGACCTTGCATTATTTCATGGTAAAGAGGAACTTGTTTTCTTTTTAATGATACAAGTCGTCACCTGGCTGGCAGAAGGGCGTTAGCTCGAATTTCAGGTGAAAAATGAAGCGCTAAGCAAAAGGGCGTTAACACTAAATTGCTTCAAACTTTTATAAAACTGACTCATTTCCGGAAAAAATTTGTGGCCGTGTTCTGTTATAAGATTTCTATTAGTCTTTGGAGTTTTAAAACCATTTTCGGGACGAAAATCAGTTTAAATATAAACAAATCTTTAAATGCAAATAATTCGAAAATTAGTTTTCGAGTCGCTCGCTTGCTAACGCCCTTCTGCCAGCCGGGCGATGAAGTGTTGTCAAAATATCTTGTACTAAGTGTTGGTAGATGCCCAGAATGTGTATCAGACCATCTTAATGTGTTACTGTTAAAGCTTTATTCTGCTTGATGCTTTATTGAATAAAGTGATCCAATGTATCTAAGCTTTTAAAGGACCTAGGTTCAATCCAAAGGATAAACTTCAATTAATTTTAACAGTCTACTAATTTCTTGTCTCGATATCTGATATTTCTCTGCTCATTGTCCAGTGCACTATTTTACATGCATAAGGTGTGTAAGGTATATGAGGTTTTTGTCTCGAATAGCACATGAAAGTTGAGAGGTTTACTAACCTCACATATTCAGTAAATGCAAGAAAGAAGACATGTTCATATCTACCAAAGATAGTGACAATAGACCGTCATGACAAAAGATAGAGGGCGGTATTCTCGAAAGCGGACTAACTTTAGTCCATGGTTTAATCCACCGACTAAGTATGGAATGCCAAGTGTCCATATGAATATATTTTTGAATAATTTGATATGTCCCTAAATTACCATGATAACATAATTATATCATAGTTATATTGTTGTTAATTAATTGTGTTATTACATTTTATTTTAATTGAGAGACAGAATAAATTATTCAAAAACATGTTTATATGTTAGTACGCTTTCGAGAATACCACCCAGAATCTCAAGTAAACATTGTCCATTTTTGAATGACTCGATGACAAGGCTAACCTTAATCAAGTGATCATGCAAGAGAAGAAAATGTATGTGATCATACCAAAGAATTTATCAAAACTGAACTTACGCTTGTAAGTTAGCCTTTTCTTGATTCTGAGTTGACATTGTCACATCTTCAAATTCACAAAACAATTCGAATAAGTCAACAAATAGATTTATACTAGAATAACTGTACCTAGGGGCTTCTGACCCACATTCATTGCTTCAGCCCAAACTTTTAGAGATGGCAGCTGCTCAGTCATCCCTGACAGCAGAGTTATGAATAAGGTTTCATTGGACCGAATATTAGTTACTATTTAAAATGAAATATAATTCAAGGTCACACAGGTTATAACTATTAAATGGGAATCTGTCAAAGTTGGGTACACTTTTTTTTAACGCACTGTATGTAATGCTGTATTTACTTGACTGTATAAACTATTTTTTATGCAGACCCTCTCTGAATTATATTCACTGTATATTGTTCTTGAATGAAAATCTATTTTACACTTAACTTTATTTGTATATACCTTATACCTATACATCCATAAATTCATTCCATAAGATACATCATTTTCTTTCATGCAGAATTGTTGCAAGTGCACTTTCAACAATTATTGACTGAATTTTAAGTTTGAATTTGCCTGGGACAAATTTGTGGTATTATACCTGTACATTTCTATGTAATAAATAGAGAATGTGTGGTTTTGTGTTTAAGTAAAGCTTAAATTACACTCTTTGAAATGATAGTCCAAATATATGTATAATTGTATATATGTAACATAGGAATGAAAAAGAATTAAAGGAAAAGAAGAAAAAAGAATGTGCAAATCAAATTGTGATGCTTATTTTTGTTTACATCATGCTAGAGTAAAGTACACCTGTATAGTAAAAAAGAAGAAGAAAGAAATGCCCTGTTCACATTGTGGTAGTTGAAAATGTAATCTTTCATTTGAAGTTTTTCACCCATATGGGTCACTGCACTTATCTAGCCATTACATAAAAATGTTAAAATTATCTTTAATTGATGGTTTGGGTTGAGTGATGTTCAGGAGTTACTCTCATTTTGTATGAATGCTTTCATGATTTTTAGGAGAGATCAACCAAACCTTGGTTCGAGGTACTGTAATTGGCATGAACCAACAATTTTTGTTACAAAAGGGGTCAGTTCAGACTTATATATTGTGTTATAAAATCAAACAACAAAAGTAACAGGGGTTCAGATATCTTTGGCCAGTTTTTACTTATCAAGATGGCAAATTAAAACAAACGAAACATGAACGATAAAAACACAGTAGGCTGTCGGAGCTTTTCAAAGATCTACACGAATGTACTTTTATTACACATTAAGCATTGAACCAGGGTTTCATTTTTTTTCATGAACTATCTGTATAAAGAAGATTGGATTGACAGTGCAATTCATGTGTGTCAGTGGTTTTGACGGCGGGGTTCTTGGGTGTGTGTCGGTGGTTTTAAGGGCGGGGTTCTTGGGTGTGTGTCGGTGGTTTTGAGGGCGGGGTTCTTGGGTGTGTGTCGGTGGTTTTGAAAGCGGGGTTCTTGGGTGTGTGTCGGTGGTTTTGAGGGCGGGGTTCTTGGGTGTGTGTCGGTGGTTTTGAGGGCGGGGTTCTTGGGTGTGTGTCGGTGGTTTTGAGGGCACGGTTCTTGGGTGTGTGTCGGTGGTTGGGAAGGCGGGGTTCTTGGGTGTGTGTCGGTGGTTTTGAGGGCGGGGTTCTTGGGTGTGTGTCAGTGGTTTTGAGGGCGGGGTTCTTGGGTGTGTGTCGGTGGTTTTGAGGGCGGGGTTCTTGGGTGTGTGTCGGTGGTTTTGAAGGCGGGGTTCTTGCGTGTGTGTCGGTGGTTTTGAGGGCGGGGTTCTTGGGTGTGTGTCGGTGGTTTTGAGGGCGGGGTTCTTGGGTGCGTGTCGGTGGTTTTGAGGGCGGGGTTCTTGGGTGTGTGTCGGTGGTTTTGAGGGCACGGTTCTTGGGTGTGTGTCTGTGGTTTTGAGGGCGGGGTTCTTGGGTGTGTGTCAGTGGTTTTGAGGGCGGGGTTCTTGGGTGTGTGTCGGTGGTTTTGAGGGCGGGGTTCTTGGGTGTGTGTCAGTGGTTTTGAGGGCGGGGTTCTTGGGTGTGTGTGATTGGTTTTGATGTGTCTGGATGTGATTTAAGGTTTTTCACCCATACGGGTCACTGCACTTATCTAGCCATTGCAAAAAAAGTTGTAGGAATTTTGAAGAAAAGAATAATCCAATTAATTTTAACAATACAAAATTTCTTATTGTAAATGAAAATTGTTGATTGTTGATGAGGAGTTGCATGTTTACACGCAATACAATTTCAGATCAAGATATTTTTGCTGAAAATGGCATGCGGTCAATATCTAATTGTCAACATTTGGGGTTAAAAGGAAACAAAATTGTTGATGTATGGAATATTGGGGAAGCTATTTTAAGAAGCGGAAAAAAGGATAACTGGAGTATAATGGATGTAAAAGAGTATGATATTTTAATGCAGTTTAACAGTACTGTGAAGCTCCTAAGAGATTTATTGTCGAGGAAGGTTTATGAATATTTTATAAAGAAGTTATAAAATTTATGTGTTTTGAAGATTTATGATGGACGGGGATTTTCAGATTTTTAAAATGAGGTATTTAGGGAGATATTGACCTAGGAAAGTTACTCTTGTTGACGGACTAAGATAAATTCAGTATAAACTGCTTCATGGAGCAATATATACTAGAGAACACTTATTCAGATTCGGCTTTGTTGAAGATAACTTGTACTCATTTTGTAAGCAAAAGATTGAAACATATTTACACTTGTTCTGGGAGTGTGCACATGTTCAAAGGTTATGGCATAATGTAGTAGCTAAGTTTGAGGTAAGGAAATAAGGTCTGTCGACTGGGTATAGATATTCATTTAGGGTTGTCCGGTAATTCACCACGAATAAAGATATTTAATACAATTATTTTTGCAATGAAATATTGGATATAAAATTATAGAATCAGGGTAAAGTCCGTAATATTGTCTTTGGGCGAGTTTAAAAAAGAACTGTTGGAATTTAGAAAAACTAGAGCCGTCTAGACAGTATTCAACAGAAAGCCGTGCTCAGCGTTCCGCTGGTTTCCTGCTTGGTGCTGCCTGACGGAGACGCCATCGTGTACGTGGAAATCGGAGCAACTTGAAACTTCGATTTTTGATATAAAAACAGCACAGATTCTCAAAAGTCTTCCAAAAACATGAAAAAGGAGAGTTTCTCCATGGCCCTGGGAAGCGGGGGTGCTGGGGGTGCTGCAGCACCCCCGGAATTTTTCCAGGGGGGGGGGGCACAGCAACCCCTGCACATTTTGTTGGTATGATATATTTACTGTATATCATTATATGCTTCGCTTACAAAGTTGTCACACAGCCGACAGCCACAAATGAAGATTAGAAAGTACAAAATTATAACGTTTCTTTCTTTCTTTTTTAATTTTTTTTATATAATAACAAAAAAAAGAGAGAGAAAAAAAAAATTGTGGTAATTGGTGACCCAAAATGACAGACCTTAACCCCCCCCCCCCCCCATACCGATCGACCAAATTTCAAATTATGAAACACAAAAAAAAAGAAAAAAAAGATGTCCTCTTAATTTCTTCTTAGAGAGCACTCGCAAATCTGAATTGATATTCACTCCTAAACAAGTGATCCCTGACGTCACTCACAAGAAAGTAAAAACAGAGTGAAAATTCACTCTTTCTTTTAGAGAGAAATAGATATGCTACAATCGGTATTATACATTTTAATATTTCTAAAACACAATAAACATGAGCTAAAGACTAAGTATACAATATACAGTTTAGAGTTATAAGTCTAAAATATCACATGGTTTGGTTTGTCTACCAGTACGAGTATAACTACACTTTTATTAACAAAAATATAGACCATGACTTTCAGCCTTAGAATCCACCGAAAAGATTGTATCATTACTGTTATGAATTTTACGAGTTTTCTTAATTGTTTGACACTAGATCTTTTAAACAATTTGTCCATGTGAAATGTGTTAGGGTTACTCACAACAAACCGTCAATCTAAGTATAACTGCCTTTCTTTCTTGAAAAAAGGGCAGAAAAAAAATATAATGAAATTCATCTCCAAAAACCTTTAAATTTTAACAGGGACATTCAATTTTATTTTCTTCGGGACTACTTTCAAACCTTCCATTATTAATTGGTAGGCGATGTAACCTGCATCGGAATCGGCACAAAGTGATTGCACCCTCTTCTATTCAACTTTAACAAGTACTGTTCAAATAAAATTTCGTTCTTAATAATGCGATTTGACCAAACATTTGACAATATGTATTTCTTGCTTTGACATGTTAGTCAACCTGAGCTTAAGAGCATAAATAATCCATGTACTGAATCCATCCCCTTGCCTTTGCCACACATTTATTTAATCTATTTTCTACACAATGACAACCATTTAGATAATTGAGACGGGGTACCTCTTTCCATAAGTAATTTTTAAAAGATTATAGAATCTAAATGAATATTTACAATGTCTTCCTTAACTACTTTTAGCCCAAAACCTACCATTCTACAATTTGTTTTTTCATTATTCACGCGCAATTTCCATTTTTCACAGTAGTTAGACAGAGCATCTAAAGCCATTTAGAGTTCCTCTGGATTTTCAGCAAAGATAAGAGTATCATCTGCATATAGCAATGAATATAAATTAATAAATAAGTCTTCATCAGAAACTTTATCAAGAACATCAAAACATACCCCGTCATATAAATACCGTAAACCTTCAATTGTGGTTCGAATATATCCAACAAAATCATAAAGATAAATGGCGAAAAATAAGGGGGGATAAATTATTACCCTGCCTTACCCCCAATATTAAAAGCAAATGTTTCAAAGGTTTGACCACATGTCGTAACACACGACTAAGCAGAGGCATACATATTCTTAATGTCTTTAAATACATTGCCGTTTACTCCTGACAATAATCATTTATACCAAAGGGATGCTCGATCTATCTATTATCGAAGGCTTTCTAAAATCCACTAAGGCGCAATAAATCCTCCTTCCCTTTGACAAACAAATATCCAGTAAAGATTTCAACACAAGTGCATGATCCATTGTGGAATAACCTTAGCAAAACCTGCCTGTTCTTCTCCAAGTACAGATTCATTTTCAAAATATAAAGTAATCCTATGATTCAATAATGAAGTAAACAACTTCAGTGGCGGATCCAGGAATTTCCTACCGGGGGGGGGGGGGGGGCACAATATCGCATTTGGTGAAATATTAAACAAATAATGGAGCGAGGCGTCAGCGGCGAGGGAGCGGAGCAACCAAGCGGGGGTGGGTTTAGAGGGGGGGGGGGGGTCAGAACCCCCTCCGTGAGTGTGAAGCATAGCAACTTTAGAACCACAGTAGGAGCATTTTTAGGCACTTCCTGGAGTAACGTGGTGTAAAATTGCTCTCTCCTAGCTACCCCCTCCAAGAGTAGGGATTATTTGCAATTTGAGAACCATATTTGGCGCATTAATGTGCACCGGCCCTTACTGGAAAAACGAGGCCTTCTGATTGGTTAGAAGTTAGAGAAAAGTGATCTGTCACGTCGAGAGACGTTGTATAATGCTTCGTTGCTGCACAATGCACAAAGCCGGTGGTCTGGCGATTCACCAGTAGTAAAACATTATCTCGAGTGTATAAACTGTGTTGTTATCAGGGGCGTCGCTAGACCTTTTTCAGTGGGGGCGGGGTGTAGAGGCCACCAATTACCGACAAAACTAGCCACCAATCACCGACAAATATATTAATGCCAATGTCCCAACGTCTACATATTTAACCCTATAAACTATAATCCTTGTCTGAAAGTAGTTTCCCCCCTCCGAAGGGGCGGAAGCTTTGACGTTTTACCGAATTCAAACTTCTGCATTGATACAGTACACGAGGATCGAGCAAGAATACCGACACAGCGAACCCTATACAGCAACATGATTATGTCTGTGCGTATTTCTTTTGCCCCCTCGACGTGGTGACTCCACCCAACATTCCCCCCTCTCTCTCTCTCTCTCTCACTTCCACCCCTCTTCTCTTAGGCTCTTAATACCCCCTCTCTGTCCCTTTTCCTTCATCCCCCGTTTCTTTTTTCCCTTTTCTCTTCCTTTTTTCCCTTTTCTCTTCTTTTTTCCCTTTTTTCTTCTTTTTTTTCTTTCTTTTCCTCTCCTTCCTCTTTTTCTTTCTTCTCTTTTCTTTCCTTTCTTCCCTTTCTTTTCCTTTTCTTTTTTTCTTTTTATTTCCATTTACCTCTTATGGTCATGATGGCCCTCCCCCTTTTCCTCATTTTCCCCGACAGCAGCGCAATTTTACCGCCAATATCGTGACAGGTGGGGGGGGGGCGGGGTGTCGCACTCCACGCCCCCTTTAGCAACGACCCTGGTCATTATCCCATTATTCTTTTAAAAGAAATGCAATTCCTCATGCTTTCGCACCTCTTTTTTTTATCGTTGTTTAATTTTCTTTCATTTGTTTCCTTTCTCCTTTAACTCACAAAAATGCTCTCTTCCCCCTTTTCCATCTTTTTTTCTTCTTCTTCTTGTGCTTTTTTTTTTGTTAGTGGGGGGGGGGGGGGGAGGGGGTACACGCCTGGCAGGAGGGACCCTATACTATGCACACTGCAAAATTGCGTGCCCCCTCCGCCCCTTTCCCGGTAAAAAAAAACACAACACCTTTTTTATAATATCACCCGCTTTCTATCTTTTCCCTTCTCATTATTTTACTTTCCCTCCCTTGCTCTCCTCCGTCTTTCCGCCCTTTTTTCTTATTCCGCCTTTTATCTCCTCTCTCTTTCTTCTTTTTCCTCTTCCCCCTTTCACACTCTTTTTTTTTTTACCGGGGGGGGGGGGGGGGGGCACGTGCCCCCTGTGCCCTCCTGAATCCGCCGCTGAACTTTCCTAAACAGCTTAAAAGGCTAATACCACGATAGTTGTCTGGATCTTTGTCCGACTCTTTGTTTTTGAATATTTGAACAATCAACTTACACACCAATCATGAGGCACTATTCCACTTTCTAGAATTATATTAAAACAATTGTTATCACTTCCAGAACCTTACCGGTTACGTTTTTCTAAAATTCATTACCTATTTGATCAATACCGCATGCCTTATTATTTCTCAATTTCTTAATCATCGAAATAACCTCCTCAATAGTTGTCCAAGTCTGACACCATTTCAGTTTGGTGTACTGCACCTGTTTCATCTTGAGCACTGAACATTCAAATGACGAAAATGAAGTACAAAATTATTAAGTGAGTCCTTGTTATTGTTTTGCTCAGTTCCAGAGTTACAACTCAAATTTTCCAATACCCCTTTGGATTCGTATTTTATGTTGATCTGAGATTTAGAGATTTGCTGTCATAAATCATTTTTCTACGAAGCAACTTTTTGTATTCCCTCGCTGCTTTACAAATTTCGACATTAATTTCTTCTATTTTATTAGATGGCTCACCCTTCTTTTTACGCTTCAATTTATTCTTGAAACTAAAATACGAATCCCTTTCCTGTTTAGATTCATTATCGAACCATGGTTTATTTACTTGTATACCAATTGTTTCCTTTAAATTTTTTCTTCGAACTTCTTGTCACAGACCCCAACTTCTAGGGCAGCATTTACAAAAGAATGACAAAGAAGTGTACAAAAACCATCCACACTCAACTGGGACGTTGGTCTTTCATTTATTGCACTCTGTTCACTCTTCATTTTATCTACGTAATTATCTAGATTTGATTTAAAGCTAGCAACTTTTCAGGCAGACCATTTAAAGGCAAAATAGGCCTAAACGTTTCTCGCTCAGAGGATATAAATAAATCTTTATCCAATATTGAGGTTTCGTTGCTGCTGGGTTAATCTAAAGAAATATCATTACATAATGTATTGGCAAATCCATCGGATAGGATTAACAGCCGTCGGTCCCCTGCATGCATGGCTGCATGCTTAATTCATTAACAAGCATGCTTTCTTATATAGCAGTCAGGTACAAACAGACACGAACAATTTTCATAATACCGACCATGGGATACATTGTGATTGAGCTGCTGTGCTAAAATACGATTACTCGCATATGTTTTTTAAAACATATCTCATTTACAAAAGTCCTATCGCAGGGAGATAGTACTTATCTATCATGTGACCTCGTTTAGACCAATCAGCTGATTGCAAGATTCTTATATGCGGGATATAAATATATATTAGGCCTATAAATTATGTCGCATATATCTACATTCATGCCTTGACCAAAATTATTCCTAGCCCTCTATTGTTCACAATGAGCAAGTATTGAGGCGGCTGCTGCATTGAAACTGTAAATCAGAGCTGAGAGGCACGAATAACAATGAAATTGAAGGAATTTGAAAGTTTTCTCCAGCAAGTTGATATATTTGAAGAACCAAAGATATGGCTCGAGCAGTATCCAACTAGGCCACATATTGCAGGTATCGTTGAATCAAGTAAATCATGTCCTCGCCCTTTCCATGTTTAGTGTAGCTTAGTCCCAACCACTCAAATTTGTGTGGCCTTGATTGTCATTATTATTTTTTTTGCAATCATTGTTAAGTGAGGAATAGGGCCTATTCATATTTTAAATAGAAACTGAGGCTGATTAATTGAGTTTATGACAAGTAAATACTGAAGATTTGTTTGATTTCGAACCGTAATATATGAGGATTTATCATAGAAACATGATTAACCAATAAAATAAAGATCTAGATCTAGATCTAGGTCTACTGAAACTTAGTTAGAGAGAGAAAGTGTCAGGGAGAAAACGATTTAAAGAAAGAGGGTTAGAAAGAAAAACAGGGAGAAATGCCGAAGATGAGAGAGAGAGAGAGAGAGAGAGAGAGAGGGAGTGGTATGAGAAGAATGGAACAGCTGGAACTGTGAAGACATGGAGAAGATGAATGATGATGAAAATAAGAAGACAAAGGGGAAGCAATCAGAAAGAAATAACAAAGAAAATGACAAAGTTTCCTTTACAGAGAAAAACAGTACAATTTACCAATCAAACATGACTAAAATAACAGAATATATGCGCAAATTCTTTAAATATGTAAAGAGATAGAACGTACATGGGAACGTGCATAACTATAAAAGAGAGATTTACTAGTTAGTCAGTATGACAGTTAAAAACACAGGTTTATCCCCAGATACGTGCATTACTATCCTGGCTACAGTAAAAGCTGTGCTTTTGATTCTCAACATTTCAAACACCACCAAAACTCAACTGATTTCACTAAAAATTGGTACTTTAGTGATAATTGATGACACTTAAATAGCAGTAAAATACATTTTTTCCAACTTACTGATGTTAAAAAGAATAATTTAAAAATTCAAATTGTAAGTCTAGTGTCGAATTTGCCGATCAGCCCAATCGGTCCTATTGTGTGCAGTCTATGCAATATTGTGTGATGTGTATATTTGTGTATAATACCTGCCTCACAGCAAGTATGCAGTGCTAGAGGTCAATACACATTAGCATTGACTCTCTATGCTTTGCTGGAGTGGTTTATCCATTCATTCAAATGTGGATAACTTGCACTAATCTTTATAATCCTTATGACTTGCGTACATATGAACGGCTCTCGTTCTTGGAACATGTTCTAGATCTACATGTATCTTGTCTTTCATTCATCTTCCAGCTCGAATGCTGCATACTATTGAGGCAAGCTATGGAGATATTAGTGGTCATCTGATAGCAGATCTTGGTTGTGGCTGTGGGATGTTGAGCATTGGAGCTGCAATGCTTGATGCAGGGTAAGATTCGTCTTATTTTTGTGATTAAACTTATAAATGTTGGGCTATTTACACTGAACTGGTACATTATTTGTACTGTTGGTGTTTAAATGTCTCTCTTTCTTTCTTTTTTAATCCATAAATTCTGGATTACTACACTAACATCATTTTGAGAATAGAAAATTTGAAAAATAGCAGGAAAAGGAATAAATAGTTATGCAGACTAATTAGCAAAGCTGAATTAAAAATGTACATACCCCAATAATCACAACCCCTTTTTTCATGTTTGCTTCATCTTCATTGTTAATATCAGATTCATTGAACTCTCTTTATTGAAGTAATGTAACAGTAAAAAAAAGAATGGCTTCATTACCACTTTAATTACGTAAAGATAAAGATCAGTTCTGGTCATGCGATTGCATTGTGAAAGAAACGTTGTGGAATTGATCAGAAAAGGTTGATCATCTACCATATAAGTATTGGTGTGTACTGCAAGGTTCTGCAATCATCAAAATGATAAGAAATTTGGCCCAGTCTTGGTAAAGTTACAAGTACCGTACACAGAAAGATGTATATGGGACTACGCACACGTGCGCGACACGTGCGTTTTATCTATCACATAACAATAGATAATCAAATTTACCAAATATATCAATTAGTAGGCGCCTAGCCGGTTTCACGGCAAAAATGTTATAATTATGTATTAGTCCAAACATATTCTTTCACATGATTGGTAATAAGAGCTTCCATTTCATTTTTTTTAAATTGGGTCGTTCCCAATACTGGTCTTTACCTTTAAGATCAGATATTTTTTTCTTGGTCTTTCTTTTCATTTCATTTATTTTCCACATTTCGGTAAAAAAAACAACAACATGCAAATACAAAATAGTGTACTTTATAAAATACAAAGGAATACATACATAACAAGAAGACAAGTGAGTGACAAAAGGGAAAAATAAGATGATAAACCAGTCTGCGAAGGGTGAAAAACAAAAGCAAAGTTGCTTGTCAGGGTTAAAGGTATAGACCAGTTTTAGAAACGCCCCCCTCACAAAAAATGAAATGGAAGCTCTCATTACCAATCATATGAAAGAATATGTTTTGACTAATACGTGATGATACAAATTTTGCCGGGAAACTGCCTACTATTGATATATTGGTAAATTATTATATATCTATCTGGATCGAATAGCTATCGTGCACGTGTTGCGTAGTCCCATATACATCTTTCTGTGTACAGTGCTTGTAACTTTACCAAGACTGGACCAAATTTCTTATCATTTTGATGATTCCAGAACCTTGCAGTACATACCAATACTTATATGCTAGATGATCAACTTTTCTGATCGATACCACAACGTTTCTTTCACAATGCAATCGCATGACCAGAAATGGTCTTTACCTTTAAAGGATTGAGATTATCTGTCACAACAATTCCTTTTCAGTCTGTGCATAGGGTTTGACATTGACCAAGATGCTCTGGAGATCTGTCAGAGGAACTGTGAAGAGTTTGAGCTTCCTTGCATTGACACTGTCCAGTCTGACCTTACCAAGATGGAGGCAGGGCCTTGGAGCAAAAAGTTTGACACGGTCATCATGAACCCACCCTTTGGAACAAAGCACAACAAAGGTTAGTCGTACAGCCTTTTCACACAGGGGTAAAATTCATCGTATCTAGCGAGTCACTGCTCGTAAATGTGCAATGGCCCTACTGAGCGTTTAAAGAGCAGTGAATCTTGAACGACCGCACCAAAATTGTCTGTGTGTGAATGAAGTTGTATCTAAAGCTGATTAGTTAAAAGCTCTTTAAACTAATCAGCTTTAAAGAATGTTACCCTGTGTGAATAGGGGGGTAGTCTGCAGGTTTGTAGAATCTCTTTTGAACTCACTGGACATGTCAGTTTTGTCTGACATGAATTTGCATCCAGTTTCAATGTGTCGCAAGCTATATCAGGCTCGATATTCAAATATGGATGGTACTTTTATAAGCCAAACACATTTCAGCTTTAAAAAAAGCGATTGTGTATTCGTAGTTGAGAAAGCCTCACTCTAGGGGCTTTCTCAACTACAGAAGGAGATTGGAGACCAGAGAGACATATTATTTGTATCTCCAATTCTGCACATTGTAATTGTATCAAGACTGTTTTTATCTACGTTTAATAAATCCTTATTGAATTGTAACAAGAACTAGTACAGAGTCTCTTCATTTATGCTCCTCATCTTCAAAATCCGATCCCAACACAACAATAGGTTTGACTCTGTAAATTAACTGTATAGGTTGTGTCTTTTTCAACATTTTATTTACCTTATAAATACATTTTTTACATCTCCGTTATAAAATATATCAAGTTAAATAAAAAGTTGTTGTTGTTGTTGCAGTCATGAACATCTATGGTCGATGAGTTCTTTTCTCTCTGTGGTTCTCCAAATTGTTTCCATTGTCTCATAATGCATTATATCTGTATTACCAGGGATTGATTTGCAGTTTGTACAGCTGGGTTTGGAGATGGCGACAAAGTCTGTCTATTCTTTACACAAAACATCAACAAGGCAGGTAAGATGAGCCAGATAGATTCACAAAAATGTGATACACTTCTTCCCTTAAAAGTAAAGACCAGTATTGGAAATGCCCCAATTTCAAAAAATGAAATGGAAGCTCTCATTACCAATCATGTGAAAGAATATGTTTTGACTAATACATGATGATAAAAAATTTGCCGGGAAACCGCCTACTAATTCATATATTTGGTAAATTTGTTTCTCTCATGGTCTGTGAGAGATATAGGGTAGTCCCATATACATCTTTCTGTGTATAGTGCTTGTAACTTTACGAAGAATGGGCCAAATTTCTTATCATTTTGATGATTCCAGAATCTTGCAGATGCTAGATGATCAACCTTTTCTGATCGATTCCACAACGTTTCTTTCACAATGCAATCGCATGACCATAACTGGTCTTTACCTTTAACCCTTAGGAACAAGATGGTATAATTAGTTTTTTTCATAATAAGCAAATTTTTGTTGTTATAGCCTGATTAATTATGCAAAATGCTAATTTATGCATTTTAAAGAAAACTCTACATATTTGTCAGTAGACTTGAAAATGTATTGAATAAATGTTTCCTTCATCTCAAATTTATGAGGTTTCATTATTTTTATAATATTTGAAAATGCATAGGTTAATTTGCATAAATTATGAATACGCAAATTACGCATTCATAAATATAAAATCTGGAAATATATATATATATATATATATAGGGAACTAGAATCAGTACAAAAATTGTCAGACTCCACTTTTTAAATGTTGAAACTCATTATTCATATGAAACTTCTTTTCTAACACAAGATAGTTATTTTGATGTAATTAATAATGATAATTTATGCAAATTTGATGCAATTTTCAAATATTTATTTTCTCATGTATTTTATTGTTTTTTTTTATTTCTTATCATATCTATTGTTTTATTTCTAATGTATTCTCTTGTTCTGGAATACATTAAGTTACTTTGAGAAACATATAAAAGCAATTTGATATGAATTCATATCTCCCACTTAGGAAGCAATACATCTAAACCTGTATTCACATTTCTACTTGTACATGAATACATGCGCATACTATGTAACACCTTACAGGTATATCCGATTTCGACGAAAATGGTATCAAAATGTGCGTAAGACTAGAGGGAAAAAAGTCATGAAACAACAATTCAAAATTCCAAGCGGTTGCGGCGCAATCTTCGAAAATTTCAAGGAAGGGGGTGGGGGTCTCCCAGCCCCCCCCCCAGTACAGTAAGGGTTAAAGTTGTTCATGTTTCTATAGGAAGGCATCTATCAATTACCACTAATTAGTATATGTATACCATCAAAGTTTGAATACTTCATGGGAAAGACTCTTGTTTGGGGGGGGGGGGGGTATATGGTGGAAGGCATCTATCAATTACTACTAATTAGTATATATATACCATTAAAGTTTGAATACTCCATGGGAAAGACTCTTGTTTGGGGGGGGGGGGTATATGGTGGAAGGCATCTATCAATTACTACTAATTAGTATATATATACCATTAAAGTTTGAATACTCCATGGGAAAGACTCTTGTTTGGGGGGGGGGGGGGTATATGGTGGAAGGCATCTATCAATTACTACTAATTAGTATATGTATACCATTAAAGTTTGAATACTTCATGGGAAAGACTCTTGTTTGGGGGGGGGGGGTATATGGTGGAAGGCATCTATCAATTACTACTAATTAGTATATGTATACCATTAAAGTTTGAATACTTCATGGGAAAGACTCTTGTTTGGGGGGGGGGGGGTATATGGTGGAAGGCATCTATCAATTACTACTAATTAGTATATGTATACCATTAAAGTTTGAATACTTCATGTGAAAGACTCTTGTTTGTGGGGGGGGGGGGGGGTATATGGTGGAAAGAAATAATTGTCATTTATCTTGGTAAAGGAAATGTTGTGTCAGCTGCCCTGAAAATGATAATCTTCTTTTTTTAAGTGCATTCATGCAATTCATTGCATTTATTCATTCAACAGCTATAAGAAATTGAGAAGTTTGTTGGAGGTTTCATATTGAGCTTAAGTTAATATGGGGGTACAGCGGAATCTTGTTATAATGAGGTCCTTTGGAGGAACGTGGAAATTACTTTGTGATATCAGGAATCGTGTTAAATCGGGGTAAAAAAACAAACAATCATAGAGCCGAGACCAGCAAAATCACCTTGTTATAACAGATACATCATTATATCAGATCTCTTTATAATGAGTTTCCACTGTACTTTATTATTAATTTGAAGATGATAATGTAATGTGCAATATATATCAATATATCTTGTTTGTCTTGCAGCATATTCAGAAGAAAGCTGTGCAGTGGGGTGTGGATTGCGAGGTTGTTGCAGGTGAGGTAGTAGAGGTGCTATTATTTTTTTCAAGCTTAAGGAAACCTCATCCCATGAAATAACTTAAATTATTTTTGAGAGATTTTTAATTGTATTCTTGCCCATTAATCTACAAGATTCCCCACCAAAGTGTACAAGAGAGAGAGGTACAATGTACAATTTCTTAGCATGACATGGGCATCGCCATTTTTTTGATAACATGATGTACTACATGGGTACCTGGTAGGATGCGAAAGCTAATGTGCTTAGATTAGCAAGTGTGCGCATGTAAAAATGATGCCTGGCTGGAATGCTCCCCAGGGAGTGGAGAATGTGCATACATTGTGTGCGGGTAAGCCTGAATCCGATGTCCGGGGTAATGATATGATTGCAGGGCCCTCAGGGAGAACAGTATGAATACTGATGAGGCTACCCTGGGTAAACAAGACATATTATTATTATTATTACATGTACATGTATACAAAGTTGTTAATCAAGAAAATGTATTCAAATTTATGGATGCTTCCTCCCCAGATGTGTGTGGTGATGAAGTATATCATTCAACTGCTATTATCTTTTGTATTACAATTGTCAGAAGGCATTAATAGATCTCATCTTTCAGCGTACCTACACTTATTCTTTGGGGGTGAGGTTTCCTTCCATGTATTGGAAGTATTGTCCAGCAGTACTCCAAAGAGCAGGAGTCCTTTTGATATTTTATTTTCTTTTCTTTCATTTTCCAGAGTTGCGGTTTGATTTGCCCTCGTCCTACAAATTTCACAAGCACTCCTCTGTAGACATAGAAGTGGACTTTGTACGCTTCTCCTTTCCGACACTCCCGACCGGTCATCAGAGAAGTGGTCATCATAGCAAAGGACACAAGAACAAGGCATCCGGCACATGACATAGAATGAAATGAAGGATTCAAAGAGATGGACACTGGACAGTGCAATGTGGCTCTGTGGTTTATGGCATTAATCTCCTTAGTGGAAGGACAGAGGTTCAAATATGAAGAACAGAAGAAGAAGAACAGAAGAAGAAGGCATCCGACACATGACATAGAATGAAATGAAGGATTCAAAGAGATGGACACTGGACAGTGCAATATTAGCTCTGTGGTTTATGGCATTGATCCCCAGAGTGGAAGGACAGAGGTTCAAATATGAAGTCAGTGTGGTACTAAATGACCAATTTCCCAGTCCCTCTAGTAGAACTGAAGGGAATTCCACCCTCGATGTTTATGAAAGGAAGCAGGAGCACCGGAGAAAAATTGCAAGAACAGATTGCAAAAGTTAAGAAAGTAATCATATTTTCTTGATCACCCACGGAGTACCCATAATCATTTGCACCCTGGAGTAGTGAACTACATGTATATGGGTCTCTTGGCCAAATATCAACCATCCTGTGTCTAAATTTTGTAAGCCAATGAAGTGAGTGAGCAAATAATTTTTTTTTTCCACCATAGAAAAAAATGTTGATTCATCATTAGAATACACCAAATACGATATAAAAATTAAATTTGGGCACGTTGCTGCTCGAACTTCAGGTGATGGTTGCCCGAATATTGGAACTGAAAATCACAAACAATCAAACAGTAGAGCTGTGCGATTAAACTTGGATAGGCTTAATCTTCTTTTCACTTCTTCCTCTAATGGGTGCCAAGTTAAGCGACCTACTCAAACGCAGACCATGTAGAGATTAAGGCGCCGACTACCATTAATCAAGTCCATTCACTTACATGTACGTGTAGTTGTCCAAAAGAAGACCTAGATGGCGTTAACCAGAATTTGCTAAGCTACACTCCCTTTAACAGAACTAAAAAGTGTTTTATATGAACTGATGAACAGAACAGAGTGACTTCGTAACATTGTTGAAGGTTGATGAACAAATTGCGTATTTTTTTTAATGAAATGTTACTTATTATATTCCTTCTACTGTACTAACCCTCTAAAACGCCCCAAATTCTCAAACCATAGATATCTATGGTTTTCTTTGAAGGTGTCACTGTGCAGCACCTTAATTAATTAACAGTACATTCTCCCAATCATTTTTGAATTTTCCCAACCATATTTGAATTTTCCCAACCTTTTTTCCATGAAACTAAGACCTAAAACAGGCTTTTAAAAATATTTCTACACTTATAATTTCTGGAATGGTATATAGAGCCAATTCATTGCTTTGTGATGATTTACATTCACCTAAAATGTATTAAATTGTAATAATATAGTTGGGAGAATTAACGACGCGATCAGATCAGTTTTTCCCAATTTCTATCACTAAAAATGGTCCGTTTTTCACTCAAATTTTCAGATTATCTCCAATTGTACATACAGCATTGAGGTCACTACCTTAGCAACATTTTCCTCTCATCTGAACAATGTTCGTTAGTCCCTTGAAAGTGTTGAAAAAAAAAATTGAATTTCAAAGGTTTACAATGAGAATAAAAGGCAAGATTTATAAGACTCGTCTTAGAACAGGAATGGTATATGGTTCAGAAACTTTGAATGTGAAGACAGAAGAAGGTATCTTAAGGAGAACAGAAAGTGAAATGGTATGGAAGATGCGTGATGTGAAACTGTCCTAAAGAAGGAACTAAAGAGAGGCCAGGAAAGGTTGGGTCTAGGGACCCGTTTCACAAAACTTGTCATCGGTGACACATGACAGTTTTTGTTATAAGCTACTGAAATCCTTGCTTCTGATTAGTTATCAGCAGACTTGTCACTGATTTTTGTCATTTGTCATTGAAAAAAAGCTTTGTGACATTTGTGTTATAATGGGGCAAAAGTCAGTAAATATACAAAGGTAAACAAACATATAAAAGTTGAAATATAATATCTATATATAACATGAGAATCACAGAAGCGGAGAAGACAAGAAAAGAACAAAACAAAACAAAAGATCTAAACATGTTCATCAGTGAAAGTATTTTGAGACAAGACAGGAAGGCTGGGCTTTATGTAAAAATCTGTCTCCAGTGATTGTGTTAAAATAAATATGTACATTATTTAAATTATTACTTATTTAATAGAAGGAGAGAAAAAAAATTACTTGCACACATACACTCTCTCCCATGCACACAAATGCGCACATACTGATCTGTCTGATAAATATTAAAGCTAATAATAATAATTATAATAATAATAATAATAATAATCTTTTGAAGTCCACTCCAAATTTTATTAAGACCGAAAATGGAATTTTTTTTCCCCAATTGATCGTGAGCCCGGCAGCCACTGAGCAGCGCCAGATCGACGTTGCTCTATCCTTATTGTTGAACGCCAAACAAGGTAGCAGCAACTCCCGTCTTTTAACGTCTTTTGGTATGACGCGGCCGGGGTTCGAACCCACGACCTTCCGGTTATGAGGCGTACGCTCTACTGACCGAGCCAACACACCAGTATGAAAGTTGTCAAAGAGTCAAAGATTTCATGGAAAGATATGATGAAGAAAAAAAGCAGTAAGGTTGTCTAAACAAAGAGGATGCTTAAAAACCGTCAATACTACCGGACCAGAAGGGATTAGACCACACAGCGAGGTCACTGACAGGTGGCTATCTCATTAACTCAGCTCTCAAGAAAAAGAGGATCATGGGGGACCAACAGGCACCGATTAGGGAAGTTTTCTATATAGAGGGAGCAAGTAGGACAGTGGGGCTTTAAGAGGAAAAGAACTAGAGGCAGTGTCATAATGGGGCAAAAGTCAGTAAGTTGGAAGAGGGAAAATACCGACTTTAAAAAATGAGGAAAGATGATGAATGAGAGTAGGGAATTGAAATAAGTCGTTCATTGGGAAATTAAAAGGAAATTCCATTCAGTTGATTTATATAGAGGCAGAGAAGTAAAATAGAGCTGTCTGTTAAAGTTTTATAAACCTGGCTTTGATAAGGACTAGTCTTTCCCTTGTGAGTAGCCCTCTGTTTATTTTGTATCAAGAATGATTCTTGATTAATGATGCTGAAAAGAAGAAATTTATCTTTCTCACATCCTTTCACAGGACATACCAATCAGACGAGAAGGAATATAGAATTAATATCATTTGATAAAACAAACAAGTACAACTGAAAATGAACATGTAATTATGTACTCAAAAAATATTTATTAGAAGGCTTCATTCACATGATATATTGTTTATTCATCTTTATTCAAGAAAATACATGTAACATGATAATAAAGACGTTACATAAAACCCAGGACCGAGATTTGGATTACATTGGATGCTTCTCATCCACAATAATAAAACGGAAAAGAGAACATTATAACAATTTTTTTTTTTAGAATGAAAAGATTAATGATTCCTGACAAAGAGTAAATAATTATTTTCTTAAATAGGAATACCTCACTATACATTTATATACTGTGGTCATATCTATCAATCTCTTCTTAAAGGTACTATGTCCCATTTGCAGGCCAAAAAATGAAAAGGTTAAATTCCGACGGCATTTGAAAGATAACGCTTATTTAGAGCTTCCCTAAAAAAGGTGGGGCTTAAAAAAGGCTTCAAGTGGGAAAATTACGACTATTAGTTGTCAAATCGACTTGAGAGCTATAGAGCCAATAAGTAATAGTCTTGATTTTCAGACCATTGTGCTGAATGGTCATACGTTTTATGCTGCGCAAAGATTCAATCAGTTTAATTGTGGCCATCACACGAAGTGGGTTATTGATGTAGACAAATGCTCATGTACCCTTTACAACTCATTTTATGTACGTTATTACCAAATTGATAAAAAGCGAGTTAGTCACTCAATAGTGTCTGACAGTGAAGTCTAGCAAGTAAACGAGTTTCCTTGCATAATTTGAATATTAAGACACTGCTAACCTTCAAATTTCACAGATAGAACATACATGACATATTCATAATTCCTGCAAAGTTCTACAGAATTTGAGGTTGGCTTTAAAAGGGACATAGTATCTTTAATATCATGAGTAATCAACCACGAGAACCTATCTCCATAGAGAGAGAGTTGAAGCGGGGAAGAGGGAATGGGAGAGAGAGGGAGGGGTCTCATTATAACAAGTTATATTTTACAAGACATAGGCATAAGATTTACAAATATGGAAGAAAAAATCACTTGAAAGATACATGAAAACAACATATTACCATCATGATGGTCGGAAGGAAGATGAAAATAGTCAATTAAATATCATAAAACAACATTGTACAAGCATGTATTTATACATTCCTTCAAATAAATAAGAAAATGACAAATGGTAATACATATAAAATATTTTGTGCTGAAGTGAAGATAGACCAATATAAGTTGGTTTTTTTTATAGTAAATACAGTAAAAATAAGGAGATGATCAGAAAAAATGTGAGGAAATTTAAAAAAAAGGTATGAAAGTTCTTTGTACATACATCATAGAAAGGAAAAAAATGCAATGAATGGCAAAGGAAACATAATTGAGGTAGAAATGTACTTCCGTTCTAAATATAAGGTAAATACTTGCGTTTTATATACAAGCGCAATTCCAGTGTTCTGGTATGTAATACCTTTTGGCATCAACATTCTCCATCAGACGTAACTTAGGCCTATATACAAATCTGCAACAACTATTTTTCTTCATTTGCCCAAGCTGACAAAATCTGATGTATTTCAGTTATTTTTATGAAGTTTACAAATGCCTGATATTTTATACCCAGCATTTTGTATTAATTCAGACTCCATTTGAATTACAATTTTTGTTTACAAGTATTAGAGGTATTGTGGTCGAGTGGATACGTCGCCGGACTGTCGATCACAAGGTCCGTGGTTCGAGTCCTGCCGCCGCACTAATGTTCTTTGGCAAGACATTGATCTACATTTGCCACACTCCACCTAGGTGAAGTAAATGGGTACCTGGTAGGAATTTATTCCTTGAAATGCTAGAGCGCCGTATGGCAGCCGTGCTAAAGCCAGGGTAATAATCGGGAGCGCCAGGAGGGTCAAATCTGACTGACATGAGCGCTATACAAGAACCCACTATTATTATTATTATTATTATTATTATTATTATTATTATTATTATTATTATTATTGTTATTGTTGTTGTTGTTGTTGTTGTTGTTGTTGTTGTTGTTGTTAATATAATCATAGTATGCTAGAATAATAATTCTTATCAAGCACTCTTTTAGTAACAGAGCTGCTAACCTTTGGAAGTATAAATTAGTACTCAGCACCACCAAAATTAGTATTATACCATCAAAATTAGAATTTTTCAACCGGCCTTCCTTTCACCTATTAAAAACCTATTGATGTCGTAATGCAGCGCAAATGCATACCGTAAAGACCATATTTTTGCTGTAATTAGTTTTTTTAAAACAAATTCAATTGTAATTGTTCATCTATCTAGATGCCAACCTCTTGACACAAAAAAAAACGGACTGAGTATCCTAAAAAATCAGATTTTGGAGAGAAAAATCAGATTTTCACGAAAACTCGACACACCAATGGCCGGTTGGCCCCGGGCCACTAAAATTTCAGAAAAATGTGATACTGGTACGTACAGTCAAGTAAAATGTTTGCTCTTTCATTAAAATTTTAAAAGAAAAGCAAAGTTGGGGCGATTCCGTGGTTTTTATGGGCATTAAAAAAAATATTTAAAAAAAATATTAAAAAAAAAAAAAAAAAAAAAAAAATCGAGGTGATATCGTATTATCGTATTCCACTCTTATTATCGTACTAAATACGATTAAATCGTACTGGTTGGCACCTCTGTAGTAAGCATTGATATAACATAGAAATGGCAGACAAGTGCAATTTCAGTGATTGTTCATCATAGTTCATCTTGATACACACACTATTCCATGATATTTAAATGTAACTTCACAGTCATGAATCCATTTTGAATTTCAAAAAGAAAGACAAGCTATTCTCAATATATTGGATACCATATACAATTTGGGTGCTAAAAGCTACCCATGGCAGTAAAAAACTTAGCCTGGGTAGGACTGGCAAGTTCCGGTGGTGTTCAGTTTTTCATATTCAAAGGGGTAACATGATTGTTTATTGGTGTAAAAAATCCCCCCCCCCTTATTTCAGATAAGACTTTCAAGAATATTTTTCATAAAATCTGTCCCCTTTTTGCCTGAAAAAAAACTAAAAAATAGGCTTTACATACAACCCTTCTTTCGGCTGATCAAGTAAAAATTCAAACAAAGTACTAAGTACCCCCTTTTCAAGGAATTTGCCAGTGTCATTCATATCACAACTTTCTCTTTGAAATATATAACCCTTTTTGTGAAATTAATACGTAAAATATCTCTTTTTTCCCCTTCAAATCTGTAAATACTGAAATACTTGAAAATGTTCTGTTTTGCAAAATGTCTGAATATCGTGCGCAAACAAGGACAACGTGAAGTGATACAGGGAGGGGGGACAGAATCACTACAAATTAACACAACTTTCTCCATTAGATGTCTGGTGAGTTTTCATCATTCGCTGGATGACTCCCGTCAAAGTCAAGTCGGTTGTAGTGCTCTCTATAGAAGAGCATAAGAGGGATGCATATAACCACAGATCCTAGCATCACCCAGTTCAGCCAAGCAAAGTCAACTGAAAATTTGAAGAAAAAAAAAAGAAGAGACAATAATTAGCTAAAGCTAGGGTAAAACATGCAACTTCTAAAGCTCTTTGGAAGCGTCTTGGGACATTAGTCTATATCATAATGTGTTATGTGCTATACAAGAATGGATTACTATTATCATTTGATTTCATTATTCCTTATGAAATGATCAGCAGTAGAGGTGTCAGGGTGAAGTGGTCAAACACTTGACTGAAAAAGTAAAGGTCATTGGTTCAAAAACACCCGGGGTTGCCTAAGTCATACTTGAATTCATTTGCCATCACAATATTTTTCTCGCAGAAATTCTCTTTTGTGATTTTACACTACAATAATGTAATAACGATAATCTTGAATGCATTCAAATAATGCAAAACTGAATTTTGATTATAAGTTACGAGACAGCTTTTAAGAGAGATGCATTAATTAGGCTCTTTGTCATGACTCATCAATGTTCTTCCTGCGGTGTGTGTTGGTGTGTCTGTGTGCATGTGTGCATGTGAATGAATGAGGTGAGTGTATGTTTGTTTTGATAAGTTTTACAATGTTTGTTATAATAATTTGCTTGTATGATTATTTTTGTACAGGGTCCCATTCTCACAAGCATGCTTTTCTTGGGGTCCTTCCGATTTTGCTGTTAATTTGTTATGTATTTTATTCTGAATTTTTAATGGAAAATAAATGAAATGAAAAAGTAAACTGTAACAGCTAATCTGCTCTAGTTTACTGGTATATAAAATGGCTGAACATTAATTTATCTTTTATCAATGGCTGTATATATATGCTTTAATAGCTTCACATAACCACAGGCAGTCAATGAGAGCCAGTTGAATAGTCCTATTTCAGTTTTCTGTTCATTTTTGCAGTTGACTGATGAATGTAAGACGAAAATGCTTCATTATGTCTCTCGATTGTTAGTCTTAGTTTTTTTACGAGCACATGCAAATACAAGGTGATATGAAATATGCTTCATTGATGTTTGTTCTAGGGTTTATTTCATCAAAAGCATTATACAGTAGGGCTAGTTTGAGGGTTGCATTTGGATTTTCAATAATAATAATAATATTCCATGTTTATATAGTGCTCAATACATTGATTTTGCAGCGCTTTACAGATATATTATTACCCCGGTCATCGGATTCAGGCTTAACCGCACACAATGTATGCACATTTTCCACTCCCTAGGGAGCATTCCAGCCAGTCGCCATTTTTAGGTTAGGTTTAGAGTTACGGTTAAGGTCAAGTATAGGGCAAGGATCAAGGGTTGCAGTTAGGAATTTAGTAAGTATAGGAAATCACTGCAGAGCATTTTTTACAGGAGCAATATGTGTCTATTATACAAACACATACCGCAACAACATGGAAACTTGAAATTGTCTCAATGACAACATACAAACCTATGGATGGGACCATGGGTAGAACGAGGAAGCCTAGAGTAGTTACATTATTCAACATAGTCATCATAATTGTGGTCGTCTCTTCACCGATGGGGAAAGTGCCCTCTACAGTTATCTCCAGAAAGAGTGGTATGGTGGAGTTGAGGAACAATCCAAATAGAATGACAGTGACATACAGCCAAGCTATGAAAGAAGACAAAATAATATGTTTTGAGGTTCGGTTTCATGTTTACATAAATGGTGACGCTTAAAGCCCCACTGCACTACTTATAGCTACTTGCACCCTCTATATAGCTAACAATATGCCTAAAGGTGCCTGTTGGTCCCCCATGATCCCCTTTTTCTTATATTAATTGAGAGCTGATTTGATGAGATAACCGCCCTTCAGTGACCTTGCCTTTGGCCTAATCCCCCTGGCCAAATTAGTGCTGACGGGTTTTAAGGGGTCGTTCAGATATGTCGCTGCAGTAAAGTGTTATACACATCACATTTCTATATCTTATGACATAGAGCTGAGTGAACATGCCCAATTAAGTCTTTGTTGCGCAGACGGAGTTGCCATTCATATCTGAACAAGCCTTCACATGTATACCGGTAATCATCCACCTCCAGAAAACAGGGTCTAATCAAGGACGAAAAATGGAAATAGAAATGCAAAAAAGGAAACAACAAACTTCCAGATATAATTGATCAGTCCAAAGTTCAATGAGCTGAAAGATAACAAATAAAACAATCAATCAGTGATGTTTTCCATAAATGAAATGTAAGGCTTCAAGCTCCATTTTCAATGTATACAAGGCAATTAAATCAATGATGAAATTTCAAAGGTAGACCAACGCACCTGCACTGCTATATTAACATGGTGAATGATTGGCTTTCCACTTCAAATGCTCCCCCTTAATGTAGTTTTATGGAAAAATCCAAACATTAGAATACAACTCGGGATCACAATCGGTTACATGGTAGGTTTAATAATTTCAAGACTCCCCACCAATATGCTGATTATATCAATTACATTAGTAATAATGATGATCATGATAATAATAATAATGATAATAAAAACACTAACAATAATAATAATAATAACGAAAATAAAAACACTAACAATAATAATAATAATAATAATTATAATGAGGTAACACTCCCCTGGGAGCATTCTATTTCGTATATGTATCAAAACTCTTACCCAAGTTGAAAGGGATGTAGTCATTGACGAGAAGAATAGCCACGGTTAGAGCTACAGAGGATGTTACGATGAGGAATAGAAGAATGGGTTTCATCTTCCCAGTAAAGTAATCTGCACATCTGAAGCACAAAGCACAAAGTAATTATAGTAGTAGTATGTAGTAGTATTAATAATAATTCATCATCATCATCAATAGTGATCTGTCAGTTTATGACAGGTTCAGTGACCCATTCAAATTTCTATATCAAGTGTCTCTCCAAGTTTCTCTCCAAGTTCCTCGGTCTTGAGCCAACCGTTTCATTGTTTCATACCCTGTTGCTCCACATTGTGTGATTACATCGTCTAGAAAGCCTTTACGAGGTCTTCCCCTCTTCTTCTTTCCATGAATACGACCTTGAGCCAACCGTTTCATTGTTTCATACCCTGTTGCTCCACATTGTGTGATTACATCGTCTAGAAAGCCTTTACGAGGTCTTCCCCTCTTCTTCTTTCCATGAATACGACCTTCTACGACTCTGAGCATCAAGCCCTCGTCATGCTGCATTATGTGTCCAAGCCATTTCTTCTGTCTCTCTCTAATCGTTTGAATCAGCACCGCCTTTCTTAATGATTATAGTAGTAGTAATAATAATAACAAATACTGATGATTATAATAATAGTCATAGTAATAATAATACTATACCGGGTAATAATAATAATAATAACAGTAATATCAGTAGATGAACATGAAGAAGTAGAAGAAGAACAATAATTTTGGTGGTATTAGTGACTATTTTCTCTATGACCGAGGTATAATACACATGCATATACTTCGTGGTAAGAAGAAAGAACCGGTAACAATAATAATGATTTACCTAGGGCATCAACCATATAAATATACTCTAATGCACTAGCAATGTTTTCTATAGCTTATTTCTTTTGTAGAATTCACTGAAACAAGTAGCTAATGTTTTAGGAGAATTTGGGGATTAATTGACCTTTGATAGTTCATTTAGCCTCTGCTAGCCCCCAATTTTGATTTGTACTGTATAGGTTCTTTTTTATTTATTTTTCTAGTTTTGTAATTTTATATGCTTGTTCATATTGTTTGTAATTTTATCTAAATATTAGAAATGGACTGAAATTGAACAGAATAAATCTATTATATGCAAAGAGAGGGGTAAACTGTGATAACAACATGTTCATAACTCTTTTGATCTAAAATTGTCTTTCTTTGTTGTGACATGTAAGCTGTGTGCTTTCAATGCAAATATCCACCCCCTTTTTTTTTGGGGGGGGGGGGGTTCTTTTGTTATGATTAATTTATAAGGACATTCGGAAGGATTGCCTTTTGTATTTGATATTGTCAAATTTCTTTTATTACTGTACTACAACTTTGCCAGAATATACTTCAATCACTAACAAACCTATTACAGTGTATGGTGACATATATGTCCTTCATCTTTCACCAAACTAAAACAAAACTCGAGATCTATAGTGAAAATGCCACCACATTAATTCCTACTTTTCCTTACCTGCCAGTCACTGCCCCTCCAACTAATGATGCTAAATTTGTGTAAAAACCCATCCAGCCTGAGGTTGTCTAAGGATAAAACCATTTAGCAACACAAATGTTATTATCTACGTATAAATCACAATGAAGAGAGTGTACTAATTATAGTAATGATATGATACATAAATATAATAATATTACATTTTTAAAGCGCCTTTTTATTAGAATCTTCGCTTTTGAATATATTTTATTTTAAGGCTACAAATGGCTCGATCTCCATTTAAGTTTGACTTGGGATCTTTGTGAAACACCCCCAGATATTTTTTTTGCATGAAATGAGTATCTTCTTACCTGGTCAACTTTGTCACTGAAAATGGCCCCCAATTGTGATGTCCAACCATAAAACACACCAGTGATACAAGCATAAGCAATAGCAGGAATCCAGAATGATTCTTTCCTTTTAGTAAAAAGAAAAGAAATACACAAATACATGGTAATTACACACTGTTCGGAGGCTGTTTTTCTACTAAACTCTTGGAGTATAGAAAGCAAATAACTACCGTTGGTGATGAGGATAGGGCAAACTATCACTTCCGAGGTGATCTGGATGTAGCTTTCTTTCCGGTCTAGCGCGTGCTAGACCGCGCTATCTCTCGTGGACCACCCCCAAGAGGTGCTCCAGTGGCACGCCGTTTTGGCTTGCCGTGGCTCACTGTTGGGCGTACCGAAACGATGTTGTACCTTCCACACCGCAGAGATAGCGCGGTCTAGCGCGCGCTAGACTGCGCTATCTCTGCCGGTGTGAACAGCCTCATAGTTTGCCATCGCCTGAAACCAAAAGGTGATTATTTATGCTTTATATTCCACATCAGAAACATTTCACTTCTTCCGTCATTTTAGAGCAAAAAGTAATCAATTAACAGCTATAGCAAACGGTGTACGATACATATACCGTACAGTACGTGCATGCAGTATGGTGGTGTGACCATATAGTTCGCGCATGACCAAAATTTGCGTACTAACACTAAAAGCGCTGAAAGAGGAGAGCAATACGCATATGCAGCGTATACATGTAAGATAGTACTTCTATCTTCAGTGAAAGTGCGTTGTACTGTGTAGATAGTACTATCTACACAGTGCAACAAACTTTTCTTCTCCCATCAATGATTGGCGAACTTTTTTTCATCACATGATTTACTTTTGACCAATCGTAGAGCATGATTCTAATTAGCAATGGAATATAATAAAATCTGAACAGAAAGTATTTGAAGTGAATCCTGGTTATCCTAATCATAATTATTTGTGTTGAAAGTGATAAGAGCAATATTTATATTGCGCACGTAATTCTCCCAGGGGATGCTCAAGATGCCTACAAAGTAGTATGATTATCCTGGCTTTAACTCAGCTGCCCTAAGGCGCTTTAAGCATTCAAGGAATACATTCGTAGGTAGGAAAATTAGGTGAAGAGTAGCAAATGCAGATTAGTGATTTGACACAGGACTTTAGCGCCACGACAGGACTTCAAACCGTGATCCATGTCATCCACAGTCCAGTCCACTAGACCATGACACCTCTATACTCTTCCCCCTTTTTTTAATCAACAAGGTTTAAACACACATGTGCCTTTCAACATTAGAATGCATTTGTGAGATATGTCATCAAATAATTTGAAATAAAAGCATATGACTGTATCATTCATACAACTAAAAAAAATAGAAAAAAAAGTTAATAATAAATATCTCCAATGAAATATCTCCACCAAAAAAGGTAAAACTACATGTATATGTATACAAATTTTGACTCACTTAACTAAAGCAATAATTCCAGTTCTCATATCTTGTCTCTCCGTCACAGCCGAAGCAGTAGGTGGAGTGGCAGGTTTAGCAGGGAAGCGAATCAAAGCTACTAAACATACCACAGCTACTGCACCAAACTCTGTTGAAAATCAATGGGGAAAATACATCAACATTAAAAATCTGATGCTAGGTCTTTCGAACAATTTTCTGTGCATGTTTCAAAACTCGCACAAATGATGTAAGAGGCTGGTTTGGCTCATCTGAAGGCATCATTGAGAATGTGGTCAAGCAAAGCTTTAAAGCCTGTCTGCACTAGTTTGGCCAGGGGGATTAGACCTCCCTGCAAGGTCACTGACAGGTGGTTATCTCATCAAATCAGCTTTCAATTAAAAAGAGGGACCAACAGGCACCGATTGGCATTGTTTGCTATATTATAGAGGGCGCAAGTAGCTATAAGTAGTGTAGTGGGGCTTTATTAAAACCTACATCACTTAGCTACTTCTGCATACACCATCTAGGTTAACTTCAAAATAATCATCAATGCTGTCATTTAAAGGTACAGAAGATATTTTTTACTTGATTTAAATTTCTACCATAGTTCAAGCGGAACCATATAATACTCTATTGCACTGCTGGCATCATTCAATGAAACCTAAATTTTTTCAATATCGTGAAGTGTTCTTGCATATCTCTATATCATTATCAAATATATTTTGAAATATAAAGATAACAAAACATAAGTACCTCACTTAAGTAATCCAGCAATCTGATTGGTCGAAATTGCATTCATAAACTTTAACTGTTCCTGTAAAAACAGACCTATTTTCCCAATAACCATCATGGTTATTGGGAAAATAGGTCAGTCTCCATGGTTACCCCATAGGTTTACATGTTAAAAAATGGTTTGAGCGATCAAGGATACCGTACGTGTGCGAAGAATTTGTTGGTAATTTCAATACAATTGAATCACGATCGATCTTACCGACAATTTTATCTTGCATTGTTGACATGAAGACGAAAATAAACTTCCAAAAACAAAAAAACAACATCTGCCGATAGATCTTGATCTAAGTTCGTGCCAATATGCATTGCAAAAGTAAAAGAAGGCCCCGATTAATGGAGCAGCCGCGAATCATCAATCACGCGAAGCCGTTTTAAATCCATTTTAATGTATATATTAGAGAAAACTGGTAAGTATGGTAACAGAGCGCGATAGCCGTGCGGTTTAAGGCGCTGATTTTAGTTACATCACCTTTTGTACGCAAGAGATCGAATCCCATCTTCGACAAAAGTTTATTATTTTTTATTTTTTAGTCTATTTTTTTTTTGGCATATAAAAGTATTAATGACTGCTTTAATATTCGAGAAATAGTTGTTTTTATACGCTCTCGGGAAGGTTACAATTGGGCTATTGCACTCGGCATGCCTCGGCAATAGCACAATTCTAACCTTCCCTTGAGCGTATAAAAACAACTATTTCTCTCAAAGCAGTCATTAATACTACTGTTTCATGAGTATTTCTGCAATTTGCAATAACTACACTCAGCAAAACAGAAAGTGGGTACTCTCTATCGTTCAATATTTCAATAAAAATCATCAATTAAATATAATGAAAGATATATCAAATAAAAGAAAATTTGATACTCTACCAACTGATGTGTTGTGGGTTGGAAACTAATAACTATTAGGCTAAATAAATAAGAGTAGAGAGATATCAACAAAGATATCAACTGTTTGCTCCAAATTTTTGCCAGACACAAAAGTATTACTCTGGGCGCGAAGGTCTGTTCTCTGTCTAGTCTAGCCTAGTCTCTTTTAATTTTTTTTTTTTAGTCTATTGTGCAACAGTCCTTGACTTCAAGTAGCTAAAGCCAGACATAAAATGCATTCAAATCACTTCATATCATTCAATGAAGAGGTCATCCATCAAAAGTCTGGTACATGTACTTATTCTATATGTAGAATGGGAATGGTGCTGGTAGCTTGGTAATCACACCACTGCAAATCTCTGCAACTTTGCTATTGTCAGCCCCCCCCCCCCCTCCACAGATTGTTATTCATGCTGTTACTGATATATTAATATCATCTGTAGTCTGGCCTGCAGCCCTGAATAGATAAGGTCTTCTGTTTTTTCTCTCTTTTTCACCTCTTCCCTTTTTCTTTCTCTCTATCCCGGTGCTCCTTTTTTAACACATATATTAATACATTGTAATTTGTATTGCTATCGTACTGTACAATTGTATATATTGTTGATTATAAGTAACCTGCATGCCTCCTAACCCACTGGGTTGACATTGTATTGTATTAAGCTGCTATACTTCATTGCATTTTATATTGTTTGGTGCAGATTAAAGGTCATCCATAAAAAGCATTGTGCATGTACTTTTTTTAGTATAGTATTATGCATAGAATTCTTAGTTTTTTTGTTCATAAAAATTGCACTCCCAGGCCAGAGGCACACCCTATTCAATAAATTGTCATCAGTGCACGGACCCAAGATATTGTTATGTTTCTGCCCCAACTTTAGATGGGAGATTTTTTTCCATAACCTGAAGATTTTATGACTAACTTGAACCAAAGTTCAGTAATTCTGCACTGAAACTGGATGCTTAATTCATACAGGTAGAAATGCAATCTGTATAGTGTCCCATGTTACTCCTTTAATTTTGTTGTTGTTGAATTGAAGCAAATTACACTTTGATAAAAGTGTTTCTCATGTAATCAAATAGCTGATGACACAAATGGCTTTGGACACAGAGTTGATATGATGTTTAGAAGCATATTACACCTTTTATAACGACATCTCACTTTGAATATGATTATTTGGTGAAATTGTAAACTAAAATTAAAATTAAAATAAGAATAAAACAAAAACAAAAATAAATGCAAAAATAAAACAAATATAATGCTCGGTGAACTCACCTACATACATAAGCTTTCGAATTTCCTGTAGATGCTCTTGAATTTCATCATCTGTAAACAAAACAGTTGACCATTTTTATTTAAACAATCAAAATACTACAAAACATTTTGAATGGCTAATCTAGGTTTCCTGTTCTTAAAGTATATCATCTCATCAAGTTTTAATTGCAGACTTTGATTGAGGCTTTTAATGTGTTTCCTATAAAACTGAAGTTAAGTTGCTCAAAATAAATAAGGGGTCGTTTCCAATTAACCGAAGGCATATTATAGAAACAGATTAATTCTTCATGTATCGACCTCAATGCAAAATTATAATTTTGCCTGATATGACTTCATAATAGTCTGATTATTGTCATACAATGATATTATCTTTAACCCTTTCAGGAAAGAATTTATCTTTAGGGTTAAATTGATCATGTATTGTTCTTCAAATGGGCAACATGTCAAAAATATATGGCCAGGTTTGATTGAATGACAATAAATTTGAATCTCTAAATGTGTTGCCAATTGAAGGATGTTACAGCTTATTTTCCTTTAAAACTTCCTGGCATCACACGCAATAAAGCTGTGAAACAAAAATGGTTACGTACATTGTGCACATAATTATCGCCATTTCTACTTGAGCATCAGGTATAATTCTTAGGGCTCTGAATCAAGAGTTATTGAGCCAAACCACAAAATGTGGAATAATTGTCTCGAAAGGGTAAAAGTCAAAGCTCACACCTATGTAATATTCATCAGAATAATTCCCACTAGACGTTGTCAATGGGGATCTATGCAAGAGAAAAATAAAAAGAACAATGTCATTTGTTCTCTGCTTAATAACAATAACAGGAAAATATACACAGTCAAGCCTGTGTTAGTTGCCATCTCTGTATAAAGGCCACCTGTAGACAGTGGCCATGCAGTTTGTATCCCTTGAGATAGAAATGTGCGTTGAACAACCTCTCTAGAATGACTTCTCTGTCTACAATGCCCGACTTTTATGGCCACTTTTTGTTTTTCCTTTTTGGTGGCCTCAATAGACAGGTTTGTATTTACGTTCAAAGAGACCACTGCTCCAAATCAATTAAGCTTCACGCAGCTTTATGCTATCGAGAAGTTAAGATTAACAAGACAATAACTGCTTGCTTTAAAGTATATATCGAGGTATGTCTGCATTTCTTTACATAAGAACCCCTTTCAAGGGGTAATTCTGAGGAGTTACTTACACCAACCGCGTGCCATAACTGAGACTGTCTAGCAAACATTGGAACATGAATAATAATGATATTTTACAATATGTGTAATGCAGCACATCGTGATTAATGCCACTTCAAAAGAGCTAGCTGTGAATGCTATTGATAGAAGCTGGTAGCTCTTGATAGTTTTATTTTACATTTTCCTATTTTGCACATCACAATGCTTACTATCTGCTTACTCATTAGTATATGTGCTTCACATGTGCTTTGCAAATTATTGACATAAACTGAGGCAGCTGTTATCAGCACAGAGTAAAAAGGAAGATAAAAGAAAGTTGTTGCCCACTCCATCTAAGAACATATATGCTTCAGGCAGGGATTTTAACGCACATCTCATATATTCTATATTTTTACAAAGTGAACCAAGTAACATTTGTTTCTGGTTGGCTATAAACAATGTGTGGCGGTTCCCAGCATTTCTCATGAATAAAAATGACTGTTTTTTCCCTGATGGAGTCTCAAAATTGCAGGATCACTATTTCATTATATTCCCATTTGGCTTTTAGTATAGAGGTATAGAGTTAGATTTCACAGGTCATGCACCTAATCCCCTTGGCTACAGAGACAAGAAAAGGTATATACGTATATATTACACACTAAAAAGAAAGGAAGAAAACACCCCAAACAACTCACATAGGTAATCTTCTACTGTGTGGACACAAGATATTAGACAGACTACTTTCTTTTAAGGCCAGTGCCAAAGCTATTCCCTGCTTTTTACATGATTTAAGTGTTTTTTTCCTCATATTTCCTGGGTGGCGGGAGTGGCTCGACGTTTCGAACAGGTTGACTATCCGTCGTCAGGAGTGGAGAATAGCTTGCGTGCGTGAGCTTAAGTCACCGTAATGAACTTGTTTTCCCTGATTTCCAGGATAGCTGGGAACCCTGTGTGTGGAATCTCTGAATTTCTGGTGGCAGCGGTGGGATATGTATGAATCTCTGCCCTTACAAATGACCCATGAACCAAACTCTCAACTGAGATAAAGTGATTGATGTCTAAGGAACCATTACACAGGGGTGATAGTGAGCACTAAGAACAATTTTTTTTTTCCTCAACCACCTGCGGCCCGTGAGTAAAAAAAAACAAAAACAGATTCAGGAAGAAAAAAATGGCATCTAAATAACAATATTCCCCGTCTTTTGAGTAAAAAAATTGGGAAAAAAAAAAAATTGGGAAAAAAATAATCAGGAAACCGATTTAAATCGGGTAATTATCAGGCCTGATTACACCACATTAATGCTCACTTGACTACGATGCAAGCCAATAAAGTTCTCAAAACTTTTCCTATTCTCACCACTGCCAGAAAATGTAATAATCCATCACAGTCATATATTCTACACTGCAGTGTTTAGTCATTCAATACTGCATTATCATGTTGCCCTGCAGTTCAGATTTATTATAATGGCTGAACTACATGTCACATACCCAGTTGTTGGACTGTGAATTTCTGTCACAATGGCTGGTCCGATGACAAAGGAGGCTGCAAGTCCAAGGTACGGCGAAGTAGCTGAGAGGGCCGTTGCTGTGGTACGTTCATTAGTTGGAAACCAGGTGGCAGATATACTCGTGACTGCTGCCATCAAGACTGGCCCAGACAGTCCTATGAAGATGTGCCCAATGTTCATGGTCCTGTATTGCAAAAAGATAATTTAAAGAAACAAATAGATTTCCAAGCCATGTCATTTCTTTCAAAAATGTATTTTTATACATATATTCCTCACATTGGATCTAAATTGGCAGTGGCGTTTCAGACTTCAGCCACATATCTATCAAAGATAACAGCAGTGCATATATTGGTAAGGCTTCATTGATGAATTTCGAGATACATGTACATAATAATGCACTCATTACCCCCTTAATTGTCCTACACTTGAAAGGTTTTTGTTTTGTTTTATATGGTTTGGGGTTTATTCTGCAAAGTGCCCCACCCTTAATTGCTCTTCATTGAAATATACTGGTACTAGCATGTCCAACATAGCATGTCATAAGAAGAAGGACAGGGTCAAATCAGGAGTTAAATTGATCAATCTGATAAAAAGTCACTAATAAACTATTGTGTATATTAGGTTTCTTGACCACAACATTACAATGTCTACCATTTGATAAATTGATTGTTTCTGACAAATCTGTCTTTAGAACATAATTATATGGTTAAGCTGAACATTTTGGGCTAGCTAGGTGTGTTAATTGGGCTACATCAGTTAATTTTACCTGAAAAATGACAATATGGTGGAGTACTGGTGTTGTCATGGAATTTGTAGGGTGTCCAGTACAAAGGTCAAATGTAAAAATGTCAGAGGTAGATACAGTTGGACAGGAAATAAAATGTCAAGAGGGGGAGCTGAATAGCACAGGTGAAAATAACTAAGGTATATAATAAAGACAAAGATAGAAAAAAATTCATAGTAAAAAAGATGGTGGTACAAAATAACAGAGGTAAAATTGTCAAAGCTAAAAACGTTAGAGACAAAAAAGGTAAAGTTAAAAGCTTTTTGATTGTTCATACCATTTCATCATAGCTATGGATACAGGGATACATCTTATACCACATCCAATGAAAAGAAGTCCACCAGAAATCAGAACTGATATACGAAGACCTGCAAAATATATTACAATACAAGGATTATACAGCACTGTTTTTTTGAAGTATGGATACATGCAAATGCATTGTACAGTAAGGCATCATGTAAATAAAGTAAATAGAGGTAATCAATTGCCTGATTTTAGGCTGATTTTTAACTAATTTCTCCAAAAAAAAGATGGTGGTACAAAATAACAAAGGTAAAATTGTCACAGCTAAAAACGTTAGAGATAAAAATGGTAAAGTTAAAAGTTCTTTGATTGTTCAAACTTGCTGAGGAATAAATGACATAATATAAGTACCCTTTAACAGCCCAAAATCTGACGCTATAGTTTTTTAATCTTTTGACATCAACAGTGTGGTAATTAAGAAAGAAGCAATCATATAGGCTAAATATTTTTACACACATACCATAAATATCCATAGTATAACACATCAAAGACATTTATAAGGATAATATTTAAACTTTATAATGGGTCTTTTTCTTTCTCTCTATTTTGATATATTTCCCCCTCTTCTTTGTACAATTGGATTGAGAAGGCTTGTGCCTTCTTGTATAGTTACAGGGCAAAGGGGTCACACATATTTTAGGGATATCATTTAAAAAAAAATGAATGGTGGATATACTGACCTTTGGCATGAAGAAGCCATGAAAAGAAGAAAGCAGATGTGAGAAATGAAATGGGGCCCCAGTTGGCTAGCAGAGCAAATTGACCTGGACCCCACTGCAGAACCTCAGAAGCTACTTACATACATGTACGTGCAAACAAAGAAGAACAATCGTTGAAAACATCATATTGATAAAATACAGTAAGTGAACTGATCGAGATAGGATATCAGTTTGACCTGAGATAGGAATTTGACCTCTGATTACATACCCAGGCCATGTCCAGTATACACACATAAACACCCTGATTGACCGGACCAATATTAGCTTGCTATTAAGGATGGATTTCCATTTTGAAACGAAGCATTAATTAGCATGCAGGCTTACAGTGGTATTACATTTCAATAAATTGTCTTGTGTATATTGTGGTCTTAACACTAATCCACAACATATTTTTCAAATGAAAATTTTGTTGAGGTGATTTAAATTTCACTAATATGTAACTTTCAGAATATACGGTCAAATCTGCCTAAGCAGCCACCTCTATAAAGACCACCTGTCCATAGTGGTCACTTATTTGCTTCCTATAGGGGCAAATGTGTTTCGTAGGACCTGTTTAGAAAGTTTTAAAATTTCCATTAGATGGCCTACATAAAAAGGTTTAACGTATGAAGCCTAGACAGGCTTCTGGCCAGGAATTAATTCACAATTGAATGTCCTAATTGAAAAATAGGATGTCCCAAGAAGGTAGCCTATGAAATAATGTTGATTAAAAGAAATAATGTTGATTAAAAAGAAATAATGTGGCATCTTCCTCAAGGAAACCAGGACACCCTCTAATTGAGCCCAAGCTTGGGTGAAAATAAAAAAGTATATAAATTTGCTTTTGCTTCTACTTCAAAAAAAGGTCCAAATAAAATGAATTACTTTGTGTCCTTGACAACCATCATTGCATTTGTTTCTGAATATAAAAGTCCTATGAATTCAAATCTTGTCTTACCTGTGTCTTGTATAGGTCCCCAGGTATTCCAATTACACAAGTAGAGAAGGGCTAGAGCTGAGAAAATGCCCAAAATGTACCATCTTTCTTTATAAATGATGTACTCCTTGTTGAGCGACCGAGTAGGAGCATTAACTGGCGTTCTCTTCAGGTCTTCTTCACTATCTTCTTCTGTTCCATCTAAAAGGTGTTCCCTCTCCATGTTGCCTCGATTTGAATTAATAAACCCAGACATGACTCCTAGATTGATAGATATCGTTGTCTCCGATTGGTCTCGATGACGGAGTAGGTCTTGAACGTATCACAAGAGAAACATCCAAGCATTGAGAGCAACACGTGTAACAGAATCAATAGTCAGGTAGGACAAGCCTAAATAAATAAAAAAGGTGAAATTCTAAAATTAAAATTCCAAACAAGTTTTAAGATTTGTGAGGTTGCAGGGCAAAACATTACATCTAATAAAGGGAAGAAAAAAAAGGAACAAATCCTAATGTAATCATGAAAAACTGAAAAGACCTTTAATAAGAAACGTAATTATATCAACTATAAATGCAAGTGAGTGGAGGGAGGGGGGGGGGGGGGAGCTTCATGAGAAACATAGGAAAGAGTTGCTCTTTGTCGCTTTATTAATAGGGGCACATGTAATGGAGAAAGGAAAAGGGGGGGGGGCACTTGAGAGAAGGGAAAAGGACACTTATAATAAAAGAAAAGGAGCAAGTGTCAAAGTAGAAAAAGGGCAATTATCAGAGGTGAAAAAGGCACTTATGAGAATGGAAAAGGAGCACTTGTCAAAGGAAAATGGGCGTTTATCAGATTGAATAGGAGCATTTATCAGAGGTGCAAAAGGGGTATTCATGAAAAGGGGAAGCACTCTTATAAAAGAAGTACAAGGGGGCACTTATCAGAAGGACATAGGAAACTTTTTATAAATGAAAAAAGGGGCACTTATCAGAGGTGAAAAGGGGCACTCATCAGAGACGAAAAGAAGCACTTATTACAAAGGTAAAGGGGCACTTGTCAAAGAAATGGGCACCTCTAAGATTTAAATAGGGGTAATTATCAGAGATAAAGGAGCACTTTTCAAAAGTGAAAAATGGTATTTCTCATACCTGAAAAGGGGCACTCATCTGAAGGAAAATATGTACTCTTTAGAAAGGAAAAATGGACAGGCTTTGAAATTGAAGGGGCACTTATCAGAGGCGAAGAGCTGAATTTATGAGAAGGGGAAGGGCTTTTCATGAAAAGCTAAATGGGCACTAATCAGATTGAAAAAGGGGGCACGTGTCAAAATAAAACGGGCCTTTGTCAGAAGTGAAAAGGCGCACTTATCAGAAGGAAAGGGGCACTTATCAAAGAAAAACAGGCACCTCTCAGATTTAAATGGGGGCAATTATCAGATGTGAAGGGGGCACTTCTCATACCTGAGAAGGGGCACTTATGAGAATGGAAAAGGGATGCTTATCGGAAAGGAAAAGGGGCATTTGAATTGTTGAAGGAAACAGGGCACCTATCAGATCTCAATATGGGCATTTATGAGAAGAGGGAAAGTGGCATTTGTCAAAGGAAAAATGGGGCACTTATCTGATTAAAAAGGGGCACGTTTGGGGTACTTGAAAAAGTGGGGTGGGGGGGGGGGGGGGCACTGTACTCCCCTGGTGTGCTGCCTCTGTGTAAATGAGCTTGTATATAGTTGTACTACTGTACTACTAGTGCTACTCTACTGGAGTACTACTCTAGTCTCTAGTAGGTCTCTCTCACATAATTGTCGAAATATCATAAACAAACTAAGCAATAGGAACTGATAACAATTATTAAAATAGTATATTAAGCTTTGTTTCATGTCTCTAGCCAGACTGCCTGTAAATGATGGGTTGTCAGTTAATTTCCATGTGCAAAAGGCCATAAGTGAATATGCAAATGATGTGAAATGAATATATGTATATAGAGAGAAGAGACTAGAGAAACAAACAGTAATTGTAACAAATCCAAGTATGGAATGAGTCTAATTTTAACTCATACATAAACTTCCCTTTCAACTAAAAATGTCTTCATTTTTTTTAAAGAGCTAAAACATTAATTTAAACATCGGATACGTCTACTCAGATTAGTTTTCTTTTCTTCAAATTTTGCTATTTCTATTTTGAACAGCTACACTGACGACAAATTAATTTTATATGTACTTAACAATAAAGAATAGTTTGATACCTTTACAATTACATTCAGGATATATCTTCTAAGTCTCTACTACAGAAGTAAAGAAAACAAAATAGTCATGAATTACTTGGAAAACATTGTCATACTGACACCTATGAATCCAAAATGCTATACACTCTTCAAATATATAACATTGTCAAAAATATACTTTTCCCAACATTTTGTTGTTGTTCTGATTTTAAAATGAATTGAAAAAATAATTAACATCTTCTTTACTTCCTTGTTTGTTTGTTTGTTTGTTCATTATCATTATATTGCTCGTCTGAAGATTTCAATACGTTTTCCTGCACTCATATTTTTTCTCAAATAAAAACATAATCAACCAATAGCAAAATAGGATTTGAGAGTAAGACTGAATATTCATAAGGAAAAGGAGAAGAGAACCAATGATAAGTAAGTGGAAATACCAAAAGCATTCACATAAGATATGATGAGAAAGGAGTTGCTGCTAAATATTTTCTCGAGCCCCCTCCCTCCCCGCTGGCTGCATGGATCCGCCCCTGATGTAACGTCCCTGCATATGGCCCAACAGAGGCAACGGCGATGCCTCTCATGCCTTTGTCATATCATTTGATCACTGGTAGTTATATTACACCGACCCCCGAAACTTGAAATGGTACGCAATTTGTATAATATACTCACCAAACAATAGTGGCAGGTTGTAACATTACAACAAGTTCCAGTGGCCGAGCGACTGTTCACGGCCTTGCTTATCGACGAAATAATACTCGGTTCATTTATATACAATATCCAATTCTGCCCAAAATTATAATTCTGATTTCTGTGTTGTGTTCTGCGAGCTGCTGCGGGTCTTACGTCGTCTGCACCAATTTGCCGTGTGTGTGCGTCAGGTGATCCGATTCAGTGGCAGTGTGGCAACAAGCTCGGGTGGCGATAGACTGTAATTAGCTATACGGTTCGCCGGATATGTAGCTCGAGGTGAAATGTCTCCTGGACCTTATACAACTAAAAAATCGGCTTAAAATAAATATGTAATCTATATCGAATGACAACCATTTTTCGGCGGAAAAGATTATCCCTTCTTTATTTCATTATATATTTATTATTATTTTTTGTATTCATTGATTTTATTTCTCAAAAAAATTCTTTTTCAATAGTTTATACAAAACTGCAACATAATTATTACAAAGCTTTGTTACCATTTGATAAACAAAAATATATACAATACAATTCCTTGTTCATTATTTCACAATGTAGGCCTATATATAGGTCGAAAATATACCACAATCACATAATAGAAATATAGCACCGCACTACACAGTTAATTCAACCACAAAACTACAAACAATGGGGTTTTTTCTTCAGAAAAAGACTGAATATAGTTTAAAAAAGAATATATAAAAATAATGAGTTTCATATTTTCAACATATTTTTATACAGAATTGAAATTTTTAGTTTTCTTTTATCAAAACACGATCTATCCCAAAACCCTTCCCCATGGACTTATCCACCTCCCCCTTCCTCGTTTCTTTTCCCCCTCCCCTCCTGGATAGGGAATGCATTCTGGTAAAGGTTTCCTTACAATTGTGTCGAAATGACTCACTTGACTTTGTTCCACCTCAGTTTTCCCATTTTCTGAGATGTAGGGGAAATTTTTTTTTCTCATCAATGCTAATTTTTTCCCCTCCAATTCACATTCTTTGAACCTGCGTTTAATTTTGTACATGGTTATATAGGTGAAATCCGTTCTCTTCCCATGAAAATCAAATATGTACCAGAATTAAAAAGTGATTTACCAATTGCTCCTTTCCTTGATCAATTAATGTAATTCCAAAAAAAATTTCCTCCCAATTTAGATTAGGTATGGATTTATAAAGCCAATAATATTCCACATACTAAGAATCTTGCTCTAAGATTGGTCAAAAGTAAATCACGTGATGAAAGATAGTTCGCCCATTAATGATGGGAGGCTGAGCAAAAAGTTTGTTACACTGTGTAGATAGTGCTACTATCTACACAGTGCAACGCACTTTCACTGAAGATAGAGGTACTATCTACACAGGGCAACGCACTTTCACTGAAGATTATCTAAAAGCGCACTAAAACAGGCGTAATTAAGCGCGCATTACCAATGAGCGCAATTAAAGAAAACACATACGCACACCGTACCCTCAAGTGGTTTGGTTAAACTTATACTTTTTGAGTACGAATTTGGGCCTAGGTATCTTTTATGTAGATGCATACACATCCTTCTCTTTTTGTAGTTAAATTGTTTTAGATGTGGAATATAAAGCAAATAATCACCTTTTGGTTTCAGACGATGGCAAACTTCCTCGTCGATCAGAATGTATACGCTATCTTTCCTCAGCTTCGCTTCTGAAAGATAGCTACACTCAGATCGCCTCGGAAGTGAAAGTTTGTCCCCTCACCTTCACCAACGGTAATTATTTGCTTAATATATTATTACAGCAGCTCCATATCAAACGAACTATTTCATTTTTCAGAAAAAATGACGATATGTCTCCTCTTCCTTTTTTCAAAAGCAACACAGATTAGTTTGGGCAATTCCAAATCGATACAAATGATTATGTGTAAATAATTCCATGCAGTAGTTTAAATCGGAACTCCCTTAATCGGCTATTTAATGTTTTGTCTTGGTCTCTTAAAAACGTTTCATGTCTTTATTAGAAAAAACATGTTTATCTTTTATTCTTTCGAAAATATTTGGCGTTACCGATTTCGGTTCAAGAAATTCTGTGCAGATTTTTTTAATACAATATCATTTATAGATATCATATTTTTTCCAGTACAAACGCAATTCCGTGTACATCATGAACCGTACCACTGTCTTTTCTCATATTTCTTTTCCAGCTGACTGGAATTGTTTCATAAATTGTCTGTATTATTCTAAATTCAATTAAATTCAATTCCAGCTGTTGGAAATATGTCTAATAAATGTTTTATTATATGTATATTTTTATCGAATACGTTTTTGTAAAATATGCATTTCCCCTCTACTCGTATTATTTTGTTATCAAAAATTATCTCATTTCCTTTATATGGTTCATATTTCATCTGAAAATCTCTCGTATCCATCAAAGAAGGAGGATGAAGAAGGAGGAGGAGGAGGAGAAGGATGAAGAAGAAGAAGAAGGGGGAGGAGGAGGAGGAAAAAGGAGGAGGACGAAGAAGAAGAAGGAGGAGGAGGAGGAGGAAGAGGAGGAGGAGGAAAAAGGAGGAGGAAGAAAAAGAAGGAGGAAGAAGAAAAAGAAGAAGGAGGAAGAGGAAAAGAAAGAATAGGAAGAGCCAAGAGAAAGAAGAGGAAAAGGAAAAGAAAGAAGAGGAAGAGGAAGATGAGGAGAAAGAGGAAGAGGAAGAAGAAGAGGAAGAAGAAGAAGGTGGAAGAGGAAGATAAGGAGGAAGAAGAAGAGGAAAAGGAAAAGGAAAAAGAAGAAGAGGAAAAAGAAGGAGGAAGAGGAAGAGAAAGAAGAGGAAAAGGAAGAGAAAGATGAGGAGGAAGATGATGAGGAAGAGGAAGAAGAGGAAGAAGAAAGAGAAGGTGAAAGAGGAAGAGAAAGAAGAGGAAGACGAAGAGGAAGACGAAGAGGAAGAGGAAGAGGAAGAAGAAGAGGAAGAAGAAGAGGAAGAAGAAGAAGGAGGAAGAGGAAGAGAAAGAAGAGGAAAAGGAAGAGAAAGAAAAAGAAGATGAGGAGGAAGAGGTAGAGGAAGAAGGAGGAAGAGAAAGAAGAGGAAGAGAAAGAAGAGGAAGATGAGGAGGAAGACGAGGAAGAGAAAGAAGAGGCAGATGAGAAGAAAGAAGAAGAGGAAGAAGAGAAAGATGAAGAGAAGAGAAAGATGAAGAGGAAGAAGAAGAGAAAGAAGAATAGCCATAGCATTGCCAATATATTGTTATCTAAAAAAGCCCATCTGTATAAAAGATCTGCATTATAAGTCATTGCTTCTCCAAACAGTACTACTACTAGTAGTCGGGTGGTTAGAAGGAGAATAAGAAGAAGAAAAGAAGGAGAAGAAGAAGAAAAGAAGGAGAAGAAGGAGAAGAAGAAGGAGAAGAAGAAGAAGATGGTGGTGATGCTGGTGATGATGATGGCGATGGTTATTATCATTATATTGGTCATCATAGTGATGCTGGTGATGAAGAAGAAAAGAAGAAGAAGATGATGAAGAAGATGCTGGTGACGGTGATTGTGATGCTGGTGATGATGATTACTATCATTATATTGGTCATTATGATGGTGATTATGATGGTGGTGGTGATATGATGATGATGGTGATGATTATGATTATTGAAAAGATGATTATGGGGACGGCAGTGATGATGATGACTTTTATTACTAATGTTATAATGCTGAACATGATGATGATGATGGAGAAGAAGAAAAAGAAGATAAAAATGATGGTGGTGATGGTGATAGTGATGATGATGGTGGATTTTGATGATAGTAATTTGTTGGTGGTAATGGTGATCCTGATGAGGATGATGGTGATGAACATGTTTAATCATAATTGCACCCTAGATATACAAATAATCATAGCACATGTTTTTACATAACCCCTGTATAAAACAATTTAAAACCTTCAACAACAAAGAAAATGGAATTTTTCATGAAATTGTCTGTACTAGATAGAAAATATCCAAAGACACATGGATGTCAACTTGTTCACTTGATTACATCTTCAAAATTTCATACCTTACTCATTAATTTTTTTAATCTGATTTGGCTCAAACTTTTCAGCATTCCATTTCTTTCATTGTTCTGCTTCCCGGCCTTCTCCTTTACATCTCTGCCATTCAATCATTTCACAGAACTACACACGACTAGTAAAGAGAAACGCACACCCTTACACAGTTTTCATTATAAGAAATAATATCTATTTCCATTACCATATATTTTAATTTTTCCAATACAGCAGAGTCCTTAAGTTACAATTTGTCGCATTAATAAAATAAATGCATAAATTGGTATTTATTACTTCTGGAATGAAACAAATGTCAAAAATTTAGCTCTCATTTATCGTTTAACTTGATTAATAGGCAGATAATATTTTCATTGATAAACACAGTTAAAGAGGAGGCTTTCATAAAAAAGACCAGATTTAGGTCAATATCTCAATTTAATAATAAAAGGAAAATAACTTCTGCAATACTTTTAATAGCCCGACAATGTATAATAACTTTTTATGGCACATTTGTGTAGTGGTACCTATTTCAGAATGATTTAATACACACAGATACCAATAATGCCTTAAAAAAAAAAATGTTGTATTGCCCTTTAGGTGCTGAAACATGGGTTGGTCGGTCAGAATTTTTTTTTTTTTTTTTTAAATTCCCTCTTTGGGCTAATATTTCTCAGTTTTGAATGCTTTAATACATTTTTTCTTCTAAAAAACCCCCCCAAAACTGTTTAAAAGCCGACCGTAGATTTCAAGATTTTTGGGTCGGTTGCAAAGGGCAATACAACATCTTTTTTTTTAAAGGCCTAATGCATATTGTCTATTCAGAGCCAGAAGGGCATTAACTCTGTGTTACAGCATATTAGTTAACACGCCCTTCTGGCTCCACAAACAGACGATGTCATCTTGGTGATGATAATATGAGCAAGGCAACACAAGTGTACAGCATCAAGTGAAGAAGATGGAACAGATATATTCTGCCAATCTTGGTGCAATAGCGATTTCAGACACGGGGGAAGTCATTCACAACAGCATCAATGCATCCTATTCTGGGCCCCGTTTCACAAAACTTGACACCAGTGACAAATGACAGTTTTTGTTATAAGCTACTGAAATCCTTGCTTCTAATTGGTTATCAGCAGATTCGTCACTGATATTTGTCATTGAAAAAAGTCTTTGTGAAACACCCTCCAGGGGGTGTTTCACCAAGCCTTTTTTCAATGACAAATGACAAAAATCAGTGACAAATACGCAGATAACCAATCAGTAGCTTATAACAAAGTTTTGTGAAACGTCCCCAAGGTTCCTACTTTTTCTTGTGTTTGGAATGGCTGCAATTAAAACCTTGCCAAAGAACGAAAAATTCATGGCTAATATACCAACCTGGACTCATTCACCCACAGCCTTGTGTAACTTATAATAGAATTATAGAAGACACAAAAAGTTGTTATTGTGTATAATCCCTATGGACACACAGGATATGTACCCATTATGTACATAAATATTACTCTATTGGTTTGACATTATTATAAACATTCAAATAGACTATTATAATTTGAATATAAAACAAAAACAAGAAATAAAATGATGCTGCTGATAAGTGTCGGCTTGCATGGTGATGTAGATATAAAGTAGGTTTACGGTGGCGCCATGTGAGAGAGGGCCTGGGGACGATTGGGGAGTCCTGAAAAGGACTGTCTGTAATCTTCCTCTCTTGAGATTCAGTGTAGTCCTGTACCAGTGCTATAGTTCTCTTTAGAACTATAAGTTCAAAGAAAGATTACCAACAGTCCTCTTCAGGACTACACACTCTTAAGAAAGAAAAATTACAGACAGTCCTTTTCAAGAGTCCCAAATCACCCCCCCCCCCTCTCTCACATGGTGCAACCGTAAACCTACTGTATAAGAAATAACATGCCTAGATCTAAACAATCCAGGAGTAAAATAAATTGGTCAGCTGTACTGGTGCTATATAAATTTGTAAACACGGATTCTTTCTTCTTCAAAAAGGTAACTATAAACCTTTGTAAATTTCTGCCCACGTTTGTTTTCCTTATGGTGTTGACAGCTGTGATATGGGGAGCCTTAACAATCCAATAAATGTACATGTAATCCACGCTGGGCTTATTCACAATGCTGTAAAATTCACTCAACTACCCCTCACATTTCTTCTACTTCCATGAAATATCTTTTGTTTGCTCAAATTCAACAAAAAGAATGTAAACATGCAATGTATTTGAAGGAGTTTTCCTCCATAGAGTAAATCCACAATTAACAGAACCCCTTCTGGCAAGCCACAAATTCTGATGAAAACCCTTTATCTCCTAGTGAATGCCAAAGCTGATAGTTTTGTCAACTTTTCCCCAAAATGCATCACATGAAATCGCCTAAATACTGGTATCCCTAGATGGCGCTGGGGATTAAAGGAGTATTGCTTGGCAATAAAATATTCTTGGTCCAGGGATACATGTACATCATACTAAGGAAGACAATATTAAGACTGCATGACAGTCTGAGACGTGAATGTTATCATCACATGACTATGGTCCATTGTGGATATAAACTGAACATACATGCAACTACTGCAGCTATGACCGATATTATATATATCATCTTAGCTGCTCAACAGATGAAAAAAGATATGGGCCCGTTGCACAAAACTTACCATTGATAGTAACTTTGCCATCAATAGTAACTACCATGGAAACCTTGATTTTGATTGGCTGTTGAGCCCTGTTACCATGGTAGTTGCCATTGATGGCAAAGTTACCATCAATGGTAAGTTTTTTGCAACAAGGCCATGAAAGGTCACATGATGTCAAGCTCTCTGAAAGGTGAATCAAGACATTGTTGCTGGCTTTTTTTACCAACCAATTTCTGACTGCAGAACAAATCCATATTCAGAGAAAATCACACAGAACTTTTTGAAAAATTTAAAGATGATACATGTATAAACAAATGTAATACAGTGGAAACTCAGTATAAAGAGGTCTGATATTAAACAGGGTATCTGTTATAACAAGGCGTTTTTTGCTGGTCCATGCTCTTTATATTCTTTTGCTTTTACCCTGATATAAAGATTCCCGATATAACAAGGTAATTTCCTTGGTCCTAAGGACTGTGCACTGTAGCTATGTGTATGTACAGCACAGAAACTTTGGACACTGATGTACTGCAACAAATAAGAGACAGGGTTGAATGTGGTTATTAATACTTAATTTTCAAAATGTGCATTATTTTGAATTCCATTTTTTTTCTTTGTGCATATCTTTGAAAATAAAAATATACAGGGTGAACAAGTTTTGTGGTGTAAAGTGGAGGAATTCGCGAGAGCTTTGTGAAAAGCAATTTGAAATGGGATCAAACACTATATTCATGAAATTTTCATTCAAATCACTTTGGTTGATAAAACCTGTGACGATTGTCTAGATCACGTGAAAGGTCACATGACCAACAGCTGATCTCTGGAAATGAATCGTGATAACCTGTTCAATACGTATTTCAAAGAGAAACACTGTCCAAGGGAAACAAACAATTGTGAGTGTGTGTATATTGGGTTTTTACAGACGTGTATCAATCAGATATGATTATTTACGTCTGGGGACCGACCTTTAAACGTCACCATCCGATAGGCGTGACTCAGTTTTGGACCTGCGTCCTCGCCTGAATCGGTTTGTAACCTCCACTGTTAGCTGGATTACAGGCGCACGCCACAACGCCTAGTCTCATCTTTATAGGAAAGTAGTCTTTCTATATACATGAAGGTGGTTGCTAACTCGCTATATAAGCAGATTTACAGTGGAGGTGCTATATAGTGGTATAGTGGTTCTTTCACTTGACTCTCAATCCAAGGCTTGAGGGTTTGAATCTCAGCTCAGCAAGAGTAGACGTTAATCCGCGTTTGCCACTCTAGACCCAGATGTAAATGGATACCTGTCACTTGCTGTAGTAATAATAATTGCAGAGCCCTCAGGAGGCCGCTACTAAGTCCTGGAACTTTTTACTTGCACCATGTGAATAGCATTGCACCATGCACCTGGCTCTCGTAAGCACACACACACACTCATCAGTCTGCAAGAATCTTCAACTGTGAAGGAGGTAGACTTTACCCAAAGAAGAAGAAGAAGAACAGCATTGAAGCTGATGAGGCATCCCTCGGTAAACATTATCATTGTTATTGTTATCTGACTGCATAGCCAAACCTTGTGATAGATCACATGACTAACAGCTTTGTGGAAGGTGTACCAAACCTCAAATCAGGTGATACAAGTGAGTCACGTGACCAAGAGGTCTCTGGAAGGTGGCATAAGCATGATAATGAAATCATGTGATGTGTCACTTGACTGAAATCTCTGTTGAAGGTGAGACGGCTGCTACGGAGTCTAGAAGCATACATCGGCACATACATGATGTGACTGGGCATTCACTGTGGGTCCTGCATAGAAGAAAAATAACATATAGAGAGTGACTAACTATATCAAAAAAATGCATGTTTGATACAACTTTAAAAGTATATGTGAAATAATAATCCAAATAGAGCTACAGGCCTCTGGTAAATGTGGCATCTAATACTCTAAAACTAAATCTTTCTTCTTAAAAAATTTAACAGGCGTAAAAGTTGTGATGTTTGATATCATGTAGCACAGTAAATATTAAGATAAACAACTGAAAGATGAATCATGATGAAAGCTTGTATCATGAAATATTCAATTTCGATTCATCTGGAAATGTGGGGACACAGGAAGATGAAATTACATGAAATAAATAGAAAAAAGGCAAGCAAGATGATTTTCTTTGCTTTAACTTTGATGTTTCTACATGTATGTTTTGGAATAACCTACCACTAGACATAAGGAAAGTTTAATCTGTTGCTGTCTTCAAATTTTTGTGGAAGAAACACTTGTTTTTAGGAGCCTTTAAACATTTTTTTTGTACAGTGTGTTTATAAAGTAGTACTGTTAGGAGTTTTCTTTACATCACAGCACAGTAGAGTACGTTTAAATAATAGCTGCACTATATAAATTGATCTACATGTAGTTACTATTATCATTATTACTATCATGTAGTTGTAAACAACACAATCACATAATTATCGTTTTCTGCAAATTTACAAATATGAGAAACTGTTTAAATCAATCTGAATTTTCATGGCACTTTTGTTGCAATTAAAAGAAGTTTGTGATCTGAGCATACCGGAACCATTCTGTGAGATGATCAGCGTGACCTCCATGTCTACAGCTCTGACACCATGAAAACCATTCACCAAAATCAGTCTGTCTCATCATAGGTTGTACTGAAGCTAAGATTACAAAAACAAGGGCACTAGAAGGGTAAATGCAGTTTACAGAAATATTAATAATAATATTAATATTCAAAATCTGGAGTTATATTGTGCTTAAAAACGAAATACCATCTCTAGTCTAAGCGCTTTATAGATACCCCGGTCACTGGATTAATTCAAGCACAATGTGCACCATCTCCTCTTCCTGGGGAGTATTCCTACCATATGGTCACCATGAGGGCATATGGCAATTACTAATACAAAGGCTTTTGTCATCCTACTAGGTCCCCATTTCTCTCCTTGCTATGGAGTGGCAAATGTAGATTAATGCGTTGCCAAAAAATATTAGTGCCGTGTCGGGGATCAAACCCACAACCCTAATCTTATACGAATAGTGCAGTGGGTTCATAACGAGCAAAGATGGTGAATCGCCTCTACACAGGGCCTCCATTTAACGTCTTTTCCGAAGGGGGAGGGGGGGGGGGGGGAACGAGGAATATATCACTTTTAGGACATGTGTAATTCTGTATATATAAATTGAGCCATGAGAAAGGGCTTTTCAAAGATTAAATCTGACTGTAAGCTGTAGCTATAGGGACGGGCGGATGCTCAGTGCCAGTACAGGTGATCTAGTAACCGGGAGGTCCGGGGCTTGAAACCGGGTCACTGCACTCGTGCCCTTTGGTTAGGCATTAATCCTCATTACCAAGTCCCTTGGACAGGACTTAAAATCTGTCCTTCCCCCGGTTGTTTACTTACAAGCATATAAATGCTTTATTGGCAGTCACGTAAAACACTCATCATCATCTATAATATGAGCTTTTAGTCTCTTTGATCAAAACCTTCATCCGCAGTGTGAATGTAGCAAGTGAATATAGAAGGGATAAACATCTCATTAACAATGTACCTGCCAATCTTTCACAGCAAAGAGTAGGAATCTCCCAAGGCAAAAATAGGAATACAGTCTATTTTGTATACTTTTCACACAGAATATTTCAAAAAACTAGAGGAATGTACTGTACAAAACAGTAGCTAGAAGACCAAAACAAAAATAGGAATTATTCCTCCAAAATGGGAATGGTTGGCAGCTATGGGACAATTACTGTACTAATTCACTATACAAACTGAGACACGAGAAAGGGCTTTTCAAAGATTCAATCTGATTGTATGTAAGCTGTATATAGCTACCTGCTTGCTTGCTGGAAGGTTTGTAACTCCTCTGTTGTGGACTGAGTTTGGACTCGCCAGACCTGGTACCCATGTGCATCAAGCATAGAGCACAGCGAGGCAGCGCCTTCCTGCACTTGTAACAAGTATTCGACTGAAAAAAATAGGCACACACGAATACGAGGGGTCAGTGACACAAAGACATAACTCTATTTTGGCCATTTTGAGAAAAAGTGGTTTAGAGATAGAGGTCCACTTGGGCCTTAAGGAGTTAAGTCTATGTTTCACTAGCCATTGACTTCAATGGGGATGTTTGGTGGAGTAAATGTAAGTCTTTGTGTTTCCGGGAATGCCCACATTTATTAGAACATTTCGATATCAAATACAAATTTTGGCAAAATATGGAGTTACGTCTTTGTGTCACTGAACCCTCGAATATTGGTATTATTCCTTAGAGTTTGGACAAATATCAATGGATATTTATCTTGGGTGAATGATTTTACAAAATACATATCTATTCAGAATCAAGATGGCTCATCTTGAATTCCAATGTTATTCATATATTTGATGTTTTCTTGTGCATTAGTGAATATGCACTGTATGCAGGTTAAATCACAATGGGATAAAGAACGAGACATGTCAAATTAATTATTCAGCTAATTATTGAGACAATAGAAGTGGGCTCTCAAGGGGAACTTGACACCGTCGGGTGTTTACCCAGTAACAGGTGTTGTCAATCACCAGGATTAGCCTTCAGTTTTATGTCTAACAGGCTCTGTCTTTTCCCAAGTCAATATCTGACATTTGCATCATCCAAAGACTCTTTGAGAGACAAGGGGGCGAGATTTGGGCACCCATTAATGGTATTTCCACCAAGTCTGGTGTCAGCGACCTTCTGCACATAAAAAATGAAGGCCCATTGGCTTAAAAACTCGGTCCCCTTCAATAAAAAAAATGGCACGCATCAACACAGAATGGCAGACAGTATTAGGGGCTAAGGTGTACATGTAATTTGGACTACATGTACATGTTACATAACCAGTGCTTTATAGCAGGATATTAATCTACATCTGCCACTCTCCACCCAGGTGAAGTTCATGGGTATGAAATAGAAAGGAATATTTTGAACACCCGAGCACCTTAACACGGAAGCCGCTTTGTTTTAAAAGCTTCGTTAATACAAGAAATCATGGCTTTGTATCTCAGGAAAAATGAAATTGACTATAATAATAATAATAGACATTTCTATGGTGCCGTCTATCTAGAAATTCTATTCTGAGGCGAATTTATTATTACCCCGGCTTTAGCCTAGCTGCCATTACAGCGCTCCAGCATTTCAAGGAATTAATTCCTACCAGGTATCCATTTACATCACCTGGGTTGAGTGTGGCAAATGTAGATCAATGTCTTGCCAAAGGACATTAGTGCCGCGGCGGGACTCGAACCACGGACCTTGTGATCGACAGTCCGGTGACGTATCCACTCGACCACAACACCTCTACAATCTACATTATAAATTATGATGATTGCAATAATTACCCTTCTCTGCTGAAATCCTCTTGCGTAGCCTCCCATGTAGCCAGCCTTACCTCCCTTAGCTAGCTCGCTAGGTGAGATAGGACTCTGGCAGAAGTGACAGCTGATGTAGATCTGTTTGGACACTTTCTCTTTAGCATGAGCCTGGTATAGCAAATCAAACTTGGCCCTGAAGAGAAAATATCAACAAAATCAAGGTTAGGACTCTGACAGAAGTGACAACAGGTCGTTTCGTGGGCGGTATCTGAATTGCAATGCATCAAGTCTTTCATCTTCTTTGTGCATGGCTGATCGTCAACGAAACGGAGTTAAATCTTTTACCAACTGTTTGTTTATGGCAGGCAGCCAGTGCATGAAAACAAATTTGTTTAATTAAATTATGGAAATGCAAGCATTAGTTTCAAACAAACAGAACTTTGTTATTCCTGGGCAGAAAATGAACTTTCTAGAAATGTGATTTTCTTGTTGAAATTCAGATACCGCCCACCAAATGACTTTTTGTTACCCTCTCTTCAAATTGTTTTTAATCACTCATGCATGAAATATGCATCATATGTGCTGCATCAAATGAAAGAGGAGGATCTAAGCTTTACAATCATGTATCATTTATTAATTTTAAGTTATGATAAAACATCAATAATTCATTTTTTCTGGGACGCACTGTATATTGTGCAATTGCAAACAATGACTGATTTAGGTATATGTATTATTACATAATTGTTAACATCTCATCGTTCCAGCAGTCCCTAGACTCGTGAATAAAGCAATCAAGAGATGTGAGTTGGTCTAGCGGTACGGTCAGCTCTCTGTCTTTGCCTACAGCCAACTCAGGCGTACCCTGATTTGAGACCGAGTCACATCTTTTGGATGGTGACGTTAAAGGTCTGTCCCCAGATGTAAATTATCATATCTAATAGACCAGATCGTAGTTGGCACATGGTTCAGATGACCCCAAATATCCACAGATCTCTTAGACATAGATACATCCCACTTTGTGCCTTTTGGAATAATTACTCTTTGTTTGCCCTCTTGAAAGGATTACTTCCACCTCTTTTCAAAAGAATGTATCACAGGTGCATGCATGAATAATGATTACATAACTTTTGTGAGCATGTATCTAGTATTAGTCTCAGTGGGTTTTACAAATTTTGTGCAAGTGACCTTTATCTGTGCAGGGGCAGATTGTATGCACAAACTGGTCTATTGAGACACCTCTGTATCAAAAAACCCAATTACACACACACACACACTTTCAATCAAACTGATCCGTCGCTCCTCAAACTATTCTGTATTCGTCATCACCTGTGCCTGAGAGGGGATATGTGACATAATCCTACACTATGACCATCTAGTCTCTGGAGTTATGATCATCTTGTTTCCTAATTTTTTCTGGAAATAAAATTATACCTTCTATCTTAATGCCAGTCCCGGCCCCCCGTACTCAAGTGTTATTTAGGGTACGCGTATGCATGTTCCCTCCCTTTGAAAGCACCCCCCCTAAGTCCGATGTGTAAAGTTAATACGAGCCATTTTTTTTTGTGTACCGGTATTACGAGCCAGACTTTGTTGCGTGAAAAGTACCCCGTTACCCACGATTTTGGGTTCAATAAATGCTCACCTTTCATGCCATAGTCTCCACGTATCTAAGAGTTGTCGATAGCTTTCTATCCAGTGCTGCACAAACTCTTCCCTGTAGAGCTCTGGTGGTAGAGCCTGCACTGCCACAAGACTTGCTGTCTGTACATCAGCAGTCTGAACGGTACAAAACATAAAGTCATGGATCAAGTCAAATAGTAGCAAAAGAGCAGTATCATCAAGACATTAGGAGACCTCTTGAGATACTCCCTTCTTTTAATATATTTCTAATTAAATTAAACCAAACATACCTTACAGAAAAATATATTTGTTATAAGGATAGATCCATGCACAGATTTCGCAAAAAATGTAATGTGCTAGAATTAGGATGATATAGTAACCTGTTTATGTTGTTTTTGTCTTTGTTTTGTTTTTTTATCCATAATTTTCGGTTTCTACTTGTACTATATTTGCCATCATTTTGTATTATGATAATTATGTATTTGAAATACATGTGTTTCATATTTATTTGTATTATGTATGAGAAGTTTTGACCGAATAAAAAAACACTTAAATATTAAAAAAAAAAGAAGGCATTAGGAGACATCAGCAATACTAAGATAATTGCAAACCTGTGATAGAATACTGTGTGCTAAGCGTGAAACAGCCACAAAACTTTTCAAATTTAAGGGAAACCTCACCCTAAGAATATTTTGTTACCAAATATAATTTGTACCTTCTCAGCTATGATTTTCCCTTAATTGAAAAGTAAAGGTTTAATTACTGAATTAAAAAGTCTTTCCAAGTACATGTACAGCTTGGTGCATGATACCTGTACAAGTTCGCTTGGTACGTCACATTATCAAGAAAATGGCTGAGCCCATGTCATGCTAAAAGGCATTACATCATGCCAAGAGCATCTTCATATATCAATCTCTTGTACATTTTTGTAAGGAATATTGTAAATCAATAGAATCTTATACTTCAGCAACCCTACACTTATTTTTTAGGGTGAGGTGTCCTGTAATAACTCTAAGCTCCATAACACAGGGACATAGATTCCATTGTATATATCGAGGGTTCACAAGACGTAACTCCATATTTTGCCAAAATGAGTATGTTCAGAAAAATGTGGGCTTTCCAGGAAACACAAAGACTTAACTCCACCCAAGTCAATGTCTAGTGAAACATAGACTCATTTAACTCCTTAAGGCCCAAGTGCTCAGTGACACATAAATCACTTTTTCTCAAATGGCCAAAATGGAGTTACGTCTTTGTGTCACTGACCCCTCGATATGTACATGTATGTACACACGTAGGACCATTGCTCCGCAAATGCACAGTCCTTTGTGAATGCACAGTCAACAACTGTCTTACCCTGTCAACGTATGACTGCAAGAGCTCCACACCATCCTTGGTGAGTCCAGTCAGGAGAACACCTGCAAGGTTGCCATCGGTTACGACCTGCAAGGTCAGCTCCTGCACAAAGGTCACCAGCTGGACATCGTTGAGGAAGATGCAAGCAAAGGCCACACGATCCTCAATGCTGATCTCCAATTCTCTCTGTAACAACAATGAGAATCGGTTTTACACATTAGAAACTGATAAAGTTACAAGATTTCTTAAATGACTACTTTAAAACTATAGGAATAAGAATGAGAATTGATATAACATTCCTATATCAATTAAGAATAGTAAGCCAATCAACAAATTTAAATGACTACATAAGAAATTTCCTTTTGGTAAATTCTAATGTTCCCTCCTTCTTTTCTCTATTTTCTTTATCTTCCCCCTCTTTTGGTAATCTTGATTTTATAAGATTATATACTATTATTTTTATCTGGATGTGGAAATAAATAAATGAAATGAATTTTTTTTAAATGATCACTGTAAAACCAGACACTGTTGCAAACAGCCCATCAGAGAATAATATTATGTAGCAAGAAACATGTGAATGGAAACATATTCACTGCTATAATTTGATAATTTTGTGACATGTAACTGCCATAATCTTGACCATTAGATGATGAAATCTACTACAATCAAAACTGGACTTGTTCAATCTACATTGACGTTCATCATCAATAGTGATCTGTCAGTTTATGACAGGTTCAGTGACCCAATCAGAATTCTACATCAAGTGTCTCTCCAAGTACCTCGGTCTTTAGCCATCCGTTTCAGCATTTCAAATCCTGTTGCTCCACATTCTGCGATTAAATCATCTAGAAAGCCTTTACGAGGTCTTGACATTATGATGTACAAAATGCATTCTGCTTTTATACTTACAACGACAGCCTCGTATTTATCATCGCTAGTTGTCAGGAACCCAAACATTGCTCTGAGGTATGGATTACGTAGCTGACGACACAGAGCGCTGCACATTGAACACCAGAGGGTGTCCTTGTCTGGTGTAAATCCCGACAGCGCCATGGCAACCGGATGCAGGTCATGCTTGCCATCTTTACCACATGATGTAAAATAGGGTGAGATTTCAGTTAGAAAAGGTAAAGCACATTACAACAGAGAAAAAGCTCTTTATAAATGAGAAAGGTTAACAAAAATGTAAGTGTATGTAATTATCTTCACAGATAATACATAAGGCGTAGTGATGACAACTATATTCTTTAGACAGAAAAATATCACAAGTTTTGGTATTATGAAGAAAACTATGTTAGCATTTCTTTACTTTATGAGATAAACTAGATGGAATTCGACTGCGCGCAGTTGAAAATGATGCCTCCGTCATAGAGCAATTTTACAAACCGAAACGGAAGAAATTTTTCAAATTCAAGTTCAATTGTAATCCATTAACATGTTCTCAGAATATCGTGATTACAAGCAATTTCTCATATACATATATGACCCTTTGATCTTTGACCTCATGACCCTAAAATCTACTCAGTTCATTGGCTCTGCAAGATGTCCTGAGTTAAATAGTAATCCATCTGTCAGTTCTAATGAGAATGCGTCCACAAGCTATTTTTGCATACATAATGAGCCCATGACCTTTGATCTTATGAACCAAGAATCTACTCAGTTCATTGGCTCTGCAAGATACATAAATGATCTAAGTTTGGCAGGAATCCATCAATCTGTTCTAATGATAATACGATTACAAGCTATTTTTGCATACATAATGAGCCGCATGACCTTGACCTTTACCTCATGACCCCAAAATCTAATCATTTCATCAGCTCTGCAAGTAACATACATGACCTAAGTTTGGCAGGAATCCATCTGTCAGTTCTAATGAGAATGCGTCCACAAGCTATTTTTGCATACATAATGAGCCCATGACCTTTGATCTTATGAACCAAGAATCTACTCAGTTCATTGGCTCTGCAAGATACATAAATGATCTAAGTTTGGCAGGAATCCATCAATCTGTTCTAATGATAATACGATCACAAGCTGTTTTTGCATACATTATGAGCCCTGTGACCTTTGACCTTTGACCTTGTGACCGCAAAATCTAATCAGTTCATCGGCTCTGCAAGTAACATACATGACCTAAGTTTGGCAGCAATCCATCAATTGGTTCTTGAGATAACGCGATCACAAGCTGTTTTTGCATACATAATGAGCCCTGTGACCTTTGACCTTTGACCTCGTGACCCCAAAATCTAATCAGTTCATCGGCTCTGCAAGATACATACATGACCAAAGTTTGGCAGGAATCCATTAATCGGTTCTTCAGATAACGCGATCACGAGAACGGGACGTACGTACAGACGTACGTACGGACGGACAACCCGAAAACATAATGCCTCCGGCTACTTCGTAATGGAGGCATAAAAACTTTCTACTGTACAACACAAGGAAGCACAACCCCTTAACTATCAATTGCTTTGGATTGAAGAAGAAAGTCAGAAAAAAAGAGTGTGTGGCATAACTACATCAAATGATCAGGAAGTTTAATAATGAACTGTAATGGGTCAAAAAAACTAATTGGCTGGTTCGATTTGACTGATGACAATACAGGTCAATATAAATCTTCATATGTGATTGATATATGATTTCTGCATTGAAACAAACATACACACACACATACATACATAAATATATATAATATCAAATCAAAGTGCTTTAGAATATACAAGGTATGATTTGTTATATAACAAGGTGATTTTGCTGGTCCCAGCTCTTTATATTCTTTTGTTTTTTTATCCCGTTATAACAAGATTCCTAATATAACAAAGTAATTTCCTTGGTCCCAAGGACCTTGTTATAACAAGTTTCCATTGTATGTCCATGACAAATAAAGTGACTGCAAAGTTGCAATTGATTAGAGGACTTACGATTGATTGCATCAATCAACCTTTTATAAGACAGGGCCCAGTACTCTGAAGGACCCATTAACAATTTCTCTTAAAATACAATTTTATCTATACCAGGATCCCGTCCTAATAAGAGTTGATATCAATCGCCCAGTATTGAGATGACTAGGATTTGCTCGTACCTTTAGCAGCATCAGCCCCTTTGTTGAGGATATCAATGGCTTGCCTCATCTTCAGATGGAACACACAAATAGCTGCTGCTCTCTCATAGTTTCCCTCAGACTCTAACCTATAAACATTGCATTGTACATAAAAGGTACATTTTTGTTACTTTTTTTGTAATAGATTTGGTAATTTCTTTGAGTTATGCATAAATCTATTACAATCAACATTCTTACATATCCGGTAGGCAGAAATTCCTTGAATGCTTGAGCGCCTTTTAATGGCAGCTGGGCTAAAGCATGTGTAATAATATGATTGCAAGGCCCTCAGGGAGAACAGTATTAATATTAATGAGGCTTTCCTGGGTAAACAAGATGTATTATCATTATATTATTATAGCAACTTTAGTGTTAAGTATCTTTTTACTATTACACGCAGTACATAACTTGTAAGCCATCAAACTATGCAAGTATGTCTTTTGTGATCTACATATGTATATTTCAATAGATCTGTTTATCAATGCATTAGAATCCATAAATATTTCTTTTTTGAAACTCCTTGTAAAAAGCCAGTAAAGTCACCTCCTAAACATGATAGCTAATTCTTACATGCATTATTTGTTGCTTTGTCAGACAATCCTCAGGCTTTTGGCTGTCAAAAGACGTTTGAAATCTCTTTCAGTGTCACTCAAACGATAATCTATATGTCTAATGCCCTATTTGAGTGCCTATTTAGATACCCTGTGTAATTCCATTTTATAAAATGCATATTTGTGCTGTCATACTGTATACATAATGGATGCTAAAAATCATCATGCCACACAAAAGGGGCGATAGTAATTCTGTCTATTCCAATATATGAGTATTACCTCTGTGTGAAATCCCTGAAGGCATTAGGATCACTATCAAAGTCCCATCCACATAACCTGAGTGCTTGGGACCTGTCAAACAGAGAAATAGGAAACAAATATTTCTTCATTTTTCAAATTATATTTATTCATGGTCTTGAAATATATTCAAGACCACATATAATTTGTCCGCATATAATTTTATAATGTTTTATAATGTTTGAGGAAATTTAGTATTTGTGACAATTTATCATTTCGTTTTTGAAAATAATAATTTTTATATACTGGTATATATATATTTGCTTATTTATGATTCATTGTCAGAAAAATACTTTTGTACTTTATATTATTATTGTTATCGAAAAACTGTGTACTTTAACATGAATGCAGAAGAAAATCAAATCAAATCATATTGAATCAAAAAATAAATATTATTAGCAGCCAATGGCTGAATTATTCACATTTTAGGAGCAAATTTTAAAAATACATAAAATGCGATATTAAAAACGGTAAAAATATACGTAGGGTACATAGATCAATGTGGTTTGAATAATTGAAGCAAAACATAAATAGAAAAAACATCATTAATCATAAAACACAGTTCATAATCTAATAGAGAGAAGTAATTGTATTTGTGATTGATAAACTATGTCCATCGTTCTCTCCCTTCTATTTATCCTCTTCCCTCTGTCTTTCACTGCATATTAAGCCATAGCGTTTGGGACATTGCTTTCAAGGTGACTCAAAGTGGTTTTAATAGTCTTAATAGTCATTGGAGTAGTTGTTCTAATTGTTGAGGTCAAGTAAAAAAAAAAAACCTGTAAAAGGCCCTTTATAATATGAAAACATATATATGACCAATTCAGACTTGCATTATTTTTCTGCTTTAAATCTGACTGAGAAAATTAAGATGTTTCTTGTGAAGAAGAAGGAAAATGCATACTTCTGCGGTATCAATGCTATAAATGGTTACTGGAAAAATTATTGAATTGCAATTACAACTTGGATCTTATTGAGGAAAACATAACCCCTCCAGGGAGGGACAGACAACGGCTTTCAAACACTGATGCTCTGAAGACTCCTCCCTCTTTCTAGGTAAATTGTGCAGAGACGTTCTTCTTTAAAACACCATCTAACCCTCGCATCCTGCTTTGTACCAATAAAAAAAAACCTCCAGTAGTCTATCTAAACATTCTCCTTTCCCACACAAAATACCCCACCTTACTACTTGCCCCCCCCCCCCCCCCCCGCCCTGTATGAAACAATGTAGAGACCTTTCTTTGCTCCTATAGATATTAGCCTCCCGCATTCCGTCCACTCCCTCCCATGCTATTGGGTCTCTCCTATACAACACCATCTACCCTCCCACCCTGCTTTGTTCCTAGAAAAAAAATGTATTAAAGCATTCAAAATTGAGAAATATCAGCCCAAAGAGGGAGTAAAAAAAGAAAAAAAGAAAAGATTTCCGACTGACCAACCCATGTTTTGGCACCTAAAGGGCAATGTATACAACATCTTTTTCTTAAGGCCTAATGTAGAGACCTTTCTTTGCTTCTATAGATATTAGCCTCCAGCGTTCCGTCCAATCCCTCCCATGCCATTGGGTCTAGCTTGCTTCTCAGTCCTCCTGCCTGGTTCTCGGAGCCTTCCCTACACATCAGCTGTTTCACCCCACAGAAGTCCATCATGCCTGATGGCGTCGAGGAGGACTTTGAAGACGATGCGGATCGGCTGATCGTCTGCAAGGATTTTATTCGTACACATGTAGGTTAAGGGAAATGTAGACCTTTGTTAATGCCCCACTGCACTACTTATAGTTACTTGCGCCCTCTATTTAGAAAACAATGCCTAATCAGTGCCTGTTGGTCCCCCAAGATGCCCCTTTTCTTATGATAATCAAGAGCTGATTTGATGAGATAACCACCTGTCAGTGACCTCGCAGGGAGGCTAATCCCCCTGGCTAAACTAGTGCAGACAGGCTTGATATATACATCACTTTATAGAACTATTTTACATAGCTAACCAAAAAAATACAAATTTCTCATCTGCATCCCTCATTCTGGATTTTCATGCTTTTCAAGATTGGTAGCTATGGGCTAAACAGGCCTGGCTATGCCTGAAATCAATTGATAATTATAAAAAAATGATTGCTGTTATTACATATAACACTTCAAAATGTTTTTCCCTTTGCAGGCCAGAAATACACAATTGTATGAATATAATAGTAAACAGAAGAAAGTACCCTTTGATAACTCCCTTCTGAATTAAAGGTAATACAAAGTTTTGGTATGGGTCATGAATTTGGTTCAAATGAACTTATTGGAAGCAACAGCGATCCTACAATATGCAGTGATCGTTGTCGCGGTTCAAGTCGAGTCTAAAGTTATGAAATTGTAAATAATAAACTCTTTATGTTGTATAGCTCCCTCTCAAGGTCAAGATATTAATTAAGCTATAAAACAATGTTTCTCGACCAAAATTGACCGATTAGCTATTCCCGTTTGGAAATTATATATCGTATCTACATGTTCTGAGATTTTCATGGTCGCAGCTACTATTGTACGGCTTTAGGCGCTATTTGAAATTTATCAAAATTTACCGGGAGCACCGGTAAATTTTATTATTCAATTTTTCTCGAAAGCAGAAGTGTTTTAGGTGCTAAATTTTCTAGTGCTTATAATACATCCATAGGGGCATCCAAATGTATCAAAAATGTAAAGAATCACTATCCCCCCAATTTTCAAAATTTCCCCAAACTTTGCATTACCTTTCAGGAATTGGAATCTTGACTTTTCCTAGATTGAAAAACTTGACGGCAAATGAAACTATGGAAATGAAATCAACCTTGAATTACCCCCAGATTAAGCTATTGCGATACAACTTAATATAATCATATCGTTGACATGAGTATTGAATTGAATACTGGCCCAGTTCATTTACAAGTGTTTAAAAAAGGATATTGTGTAACCAATGCCATAGTTTGTTGACCTGCAAGTCATTGCCTGCTAATGCTGCATTCTGGCTTAGGGGCTCGGTCTGGAAGAGAAAATCAGAAGGGAATACAAGATACAGGTAAGATAAACAAGTACAATGATGATGATGAGGGGATGATAATGATGATGATTATTACATTGATGATAATGGTGATGGCTATGATAACGATGATGATGATAATGGTGATGATGATAAAGGATGATAATGATAAAGGATGATGACGATAATAATGATGATGATGATGATCTTGTTGATAATGATGAAGATGATGATGGGGGTGATGATGACGATGATGATGATGATGATAATAATGATGATTATAACATTGATGATAATGGTGGTGGTTATGATAACGATGATGATGATAATGGTGATGATGATAAAGGATGATAATGATAAAGGATGATGATGGTGATTATGATGATGATGATCTTGTTGATAATGATGAAGATGATGATGGTGGTGATGATGACGATGATGATGATGATGATAAAAATGATGATTATAACATTGATGATAATGGTGGTGGTTATGATAACGATGATGATGATAATGGTGATGATGATAAAGGTGATAATGATAAAGGATGATGACGATCGTTAACAATAACGATTATAACAATACTGATGATGATGATGATAATGATGATCTTGTTGATACTAATGACGATGATGATGGTGGTAATGATGATGATAATGATAATGATCTTGTTGATGATGATAATGGTGATAAATGATGATTATAACGATTATGATGATGATGATATCAATATGTCCTCCTTACATGACAGAAGTGTTATTCATCTGCTCCTGTTGATAATCTAGATCTCACATTATAGGCATCGTTTAACATCAGACAATGTTAAATCTGAAATGCACGGCCCTACGTGTTATCAGTGTCTGTGATATGGTGTAATATTGAAGCCCTAAAAAAATTGCACGTCAAAATGACCAAGAAGTGCCTCAAAAAAGTAAAAATCTTTAAATGACCGGTTTTACCATACTCGTTTTCCCCAATAGACTGTAGTGTAATGAAAACCGTTAGGGAAACGCAAAATTTGATTTCGATTTCCAATCATAAATATCTTGATAATCAGACAGGCGATCGGCTTGTAAAAGTCATGGGGTTCCTGACTGACCTAAAGTTTTATAATTATCATTGCAGCATGAGCTAAATCTAGAATTTTGTTTCTGAATTTGAGACAAAGTTACCGGATCCCTTTAAAGCTTGCAAAGCACACTGAGTTGGATATCGATGAGAATAACATAATGGAGATAACTCTATGGATGATTATCCTGTGTGTATTCCCCCTTCACTGTACACACGCGACATCTTTCTCTAGACATTTTTTACACAATCTCCTTTGGTAAGCAAAAAAAAAAGAGCTTCATACTAACCTTCATACCGTAGCCATTAGAAGCCCTTCTCTTCATGGTACTTGATATATCCTCATCTTCCATAGTGCAATCAGAGGATGGAAGACAGTAGAAAAGATGCCTCCCTGAGGCTACGGAATAGGAAGAGTGGGGAGACCAATCCTAAGAGGAAACACAATGAAGAAACAAATCATATACAGTGAAACCTGTATATAAAGACCGCTCAAGGGAGCCATGACAAGTGGTCATTATAGGCAGGTGTTTTTTTATGTACAGGTTTCTTTAGTACAGGTTTGCAATGAGAACTGATATTCAAGGGAAATGAAAAATGTGGTCTTTATAGACAGGTGGTCTTTCCATACAGGTGATCGCTTGTTGAAGACCTAGTGGCAGCAAAGGAGAAGGCTCTTCAGTGTGCAAAAGTCTGGCAAAACATTTGAGATCAGATGATGGACACAAAAGGAAACTGATTCTACTTCCTGGTAAAAGTTGCTGTAAAAAATTCAACAGTGGATTATAAAAAAGCTCACCAGTGATATGGCATCATAGATTGTAAGATCCTGCATAGCGCCCCCTGGTGACAGAGCAAGCATTCTATTCTCCTGGTTGGGATGCCAAGCAAAGATGGCTACCTGATGCTGGTTTAGATAGTTGGCTATTTAAATACGCCAACAACAAAAGAAAGAAATACATAAATAAAAGAAAATAAATCGACTGAGAGTCTGAAGTTCTCATTGAACTCCCTCCCCCGACAAAAAAAACCAAAACACCTGACAATGTTGAAATCGAAAAAAATATTGCTAGTGATATTCTTTTGTCTCCCCATGTATGGTCAACAAGGGATCTAAAAGATGACATCCGCAATGAGTAATATATTTAGGAATGTTGAAATCATTCACAGGAATAAATCTAACTAGAATGTGTTTTGATTTTAGAGACAGTCTATATTTTTTCCACTATGAAACAGGATCAGAATCAAAGATTTTTCAAAGGTTTCTTCCCATACACAGTATTTTATGCCCACTTTCACAGTAAAAAAAGAAGAAGATTTAAACTATATTTAACTCTTGAAAGGTTCTCTATGATAAAAACAGCAATCGTCAAGTAACATCCTCGTTAAGTAACCATAATAATGAAAACATGTATTATTTGTACTACATATGCCACATAAAATACTAAACATAATGCGCCTGATATAACTTTCCAACTATTTGTATGCTGGTAACAGATTTTTAGCGAAGTAAAGGTTTCAAAGAAGAGATGTTTACACCACATGGAACATGAGATACCAATAAACATAGGAATAGTTCAAACTGCCCAAACCGCTTCATTTGGACAAAGAAAACTGTCAACAATATTCATGAATAGTGCCGTTAGAAGTCATGGAATACACCAAGATTCACAGTGAAATAAGGAAGCATAATAAAACAGACTTGTCCCACAAAATTGTTGATATATACCTTTGGTGTTACAGCAGGTGCTTAATTTATTAAATACTAAAGCCAGACATTACCCAAGATGAATTCCATAAGAAATACTAAATGAAAATGACTAGTTTATAGAGGTCTATGTTTATTGAACACTTACGTTTGACATGCTTTTCAGTGTATTCCACTTCTTGACCTAAAATAATGAGAAAGAAAGAATGCTTAAACTTCCCAACATTTTTACTTGAATTCCGCTTCCATTGATTAAAACTGGAAATAATATTAATTGTTAAAACCCTGAATGTTAGAATCATGCATGTGTGATTAGAATTAAACTCCTTTCAATAGGCCATTTTATGTTAAGTCATCAAATTTTAATATGCACAGATCTTTGTTAAGTGCAAGGTTGTTACAAATAATTTCATTCGCCTGTAACACATAATTGTACTTCAATAGTCAGATTTGCGAATTGCATACACTACATGTTGTTAGGTAGGACAAGCCATAATGTTTGTCCTACCTAGCAATAATCAATGTACGCAATATTAGACATAAAGCAATGGATGACAAGAGCAAGAAAGACAACTAATAAAATGTTATACAAATATACAGGTGAAGAAAAATGAAGCCTATGAAGGAAATCAAATAAGATTTTAAGAGAGGATATCTTACCAACATGTTGTATGTTGTAGAGTTTGATGACATTGCTCTGCTTGGTTAGACAAGCTAAGGTGCCGTATCGAGTTGGACTCCACCCGAGCTTGACCACGCCCCTTGCTTCACGGAAGCTGAGTACCTATACAGCACAGTCTGCAGTTAAGATAATAACATTCATCTCCCTCTCAATAGTCTAACTTAGAGTTAAGTTCAACTTACAATCTTTCTCTCACTTTAATCCCAACATATCACATACTTTAGGCATCCCCTTGGGGCAAGTCGATTTTTTCACTCTCGCAAACAATGCCTCCTGTTCATCCATGCGTGAACACATACCACACAAAAATGATACCAAATGATTTTGGGGATAAAACGTTTTTTCATAAGATGTATAATAATAATAATACATGATTTTTTAAATAATTAGCAATTTTCTAAGTGTAAACTTTTTGTTGACTCACACGGTATACTCTATAGTCTATTAGACTATAGTCTAAAGTCTGTATGAAACTTATAAGTTAGGTTAACAGTTAAGATCTATCGGTACAGATGGTTCATATCTCTCTGGGAGTTTTTTCCAGATTAATGTTAGGGCTCTAACTGCCTTTATGTCAAACTAGATCTAACTTTACAGCAAGCGTTTAAGTGAGTACAATTAACATCTAAGTCTTCCCTAGTAGTCTGGATCCTAGTACAGTTTGATAATCTAGCATGATTTTTAGGATTTATTTAGTTTTTTGATGGGGGATATAATAAGCAAATAACAACCGTTGGTGAAGGTGATGGGACAAACTATCACTTCTGAGGCGATCTGGATGTAGCTACATGTATCTTTCCGAAGTGAAGCTGAGGAAAGATAGCGTATACATTCTGATCAACGAGGAAGTGATAGTTTGCCATCGCCTGAAACCAAAAGGTGATTATTTGCTTTATATTCCACATCTAAAACAATTTAACTAAAAAAAGAAAAGGACGTGTTTGCATCTACATAAAAGACACCTTGCCCAAATGCACACCAAAAAAGTTAAACAGTAGTTTAACCCAACCCCTTGAGGGTACGGTGCGCGCATGTGTTTGTTTTAATTGCGCTCATTGGTAATGCACGCTTAATTACGCCTGTTTTAGTGCGCTTTTGGATAATCTTCAGTGAAAGTGCGTTGCCCTTTGTAGATAGTACCTCTATCTTCAGTGAAAGTGCATTGCACTGTGTAGATAGTAGTACTATCTACATAGTGTAACAAACTTTTTGTTTTTCCCATCAATAATGGGCGATCTATCTTTCATCACGTGATTTACTTTTGACCAATCGTAGAGCAAGATTCTTAGTATGTGGAACATAAAAACAAATAAATGGCCTTTGCTCAAGAATCTAGTTGAATCTATGGGGTCAGTCTCATCGATTACAGTAAATTTCCCTTTTGACTACTAGCTGCCCCTTGAGGAAATAGGCCACTGACCCCAACCTAGATTCAACTAGATTTTCTCAGGCCCTGTATATTATTATCATTATTAAAGAGTAGTTACCATTATTTAAAATATAAAAAAAATCAATAAAAAAAAAAAAAAAAAAAAAAAAAAAATACATGTACATGTATCGTTACCATCATCCCTATGTTCATTATCATTATCGCTACCACTACCATCATCATCATCATCATCTTAATCATAAAAACGATGAACATTCTCATGAAAGGATACTGGTTTTTCAAAATGGCGCAGATCCCAGATCATGGTCTGGTCTTCAAAGAATGAGGCTAGCCGATGTTCATAAAGTGGGTCTGCAGAGATTCCATACACTGCCTTGGTGATGGCACTGCTTTTGTGCTTTGAGGGATCTGAAGAAGAGCAGAAAACAAGAGACCATTACACAGTTTCATGAAATGCTATAAGATCCTTCCAACTAAGGATCCAAAATACAACTTTATATCAATGAAAAGCTGAATTTCATTTCATTTCATTTCATTTCATTTATTTTCCATTAAAATTCAAAGTAAAATACATTGCAAACTCGGAAGGACCCCAAGAAAAGCAAAGCTTGTGAGAATGGGGCCCTGTACAAAAATAAACATACAAGCAAATTATTATAACAAATATTGTAAAACTCATTCATTCACATGCACACAGACACACCAACACACACCGCAGGCAGAACATTGTACAGAAAAATCTACACAGTGCACATCATGTGTTTAAACAATAACTGTTTACATGAATATTTGAACTTTTTGAGAATGAACGTAGAATACATATAAAAAAGGAATAACAAATATTTTCCCTTTCAGTATTGAACTATGCAAAACTGTAGAAATACGGTATGGTACACATACGTTGCATACCTATGGCGATTATTTGCCTGTCGTTATACCTCAAAGTTAGTGTTGTTATCTAGACATTAGATTCCGTCTCGGAACCGTTCCATAAACTTTTAATTCTCAAAACAGGATGTGTATGTAAGGCCAATTGCCTCCACAACTACACCTATAGCCCTCAAATCATCAAAGCTGGAACACCAGCGGCCTGGCTAGCTCACTATCCAGTATCAAACAATTTTGTACAGCTGTCGAAAAACCACTTAAGGGAAATATAATGAAAAATGCTGAAATATTGATAAATAATGCCTCCCTATTCAAATATGAACGGTGGTCAGAGAAAATCGCTAACCGATGCACGCCAGCAATATTACGGCATTTGCCGAATATGAACACAGCTAAAGGCTTACCTCTGATGTCATAGAGCCTTAGATTCTTCTGACCTTGTCCCACCATGAGGTTGCAGGGCTGGTGTAGTAGCCAGGCCATGGAATGCAGGGCATCACTGTATACTATACACAGAAATTGTGGAAAAATAATCATTCATTTGGTGTTAGACATGTACTTGCTTGAAGCAAAACACATGTTATTAGTGCTTTTTTGTCAAATCAAAGACAATGACTGTGTATTATCTCCCTTGTGGGATAAGCATTCCATATTTTTAAGGTTAAATGATAATAATATTTATAGTAAAATTAATAAAGTACTTGATTCTAATAGTTGTATAAAGTGCTGTGCATACTATAATTACCCCTGCATTAGCCGAGCTACTCTCATTAGGGGCTCTGTCATTCTGGGAATTTCTTCCCAGCAGGTACCCATTTACATCACCTGGGTGGAGAGTGGCACATGTAGATTAATGTCCTGCCAAAGGACATTAGTGAACTGCTAACCATGTGATCCACAGTCTGGTGATGTATTCTATAGACCATGACACCTCTACAACTTGAGTTTGGCTCAGTAATGTTTGATTCAGAACCCCCTCCCCCCATATACCACATGCATGAAAAGAAAGGGCAAGACATTCTGCATATACATCGTTTCCGTTTTTGTGTCAAGTCCATATTGCATTTGATACTTGGATTTAAAAAAGAAGACAAATAAGCTTTAAAATCCTGAAATTGGAAACACATTGAGAGATTCAAAATCATTGTCTTTCTATCAAAATTGGTCATTTTGTGACTCTGTATGTACATGTATATTGTTTTCGGAGACATTGCATTAGGTATTAAAAGAAAAATATTACTGTTGCCAATTTGAAAATCAAGAAAAACAAGGACAACATGTTTGAACATTTAAAAACACCAAAAAATTCAACATTTTACAAGTCTGTCGTGCATGTCCAGCATAGGCCCGCACCCTCCAGCATCCCTTCTCTGGCTGCCAAGACCAGATGTAAAAACACGTGAATTTTACCTTTTTGGGGGTTGGGTTTTTTTTTAATTTTTTTAAATTTTCGAGGACCCCCCCCCCTAAAAAAAAGTGCTCACTACCCCCCACCCCCCTCCCCTCCCACTGAGCGAAGTTTCGGCCGGCGCAATTTTCAAATTTTCGGGAGCAAAAAAAAAAAAGTTGGCCCCCCCCCCCCCCCCCCCCCCCCCCCCCAAGAAATCCTGGATCCGGTGTGGCCAAGACTCCCCAAATTGGAACGCTGGATGCGCAGTGTGAGTAGGGCATTACTTCGATAGAACTTACCTAATTCTGTTACCCCTCTGGTATCTCTTTCACTTCCAACTGACAAAGGCCTAGATTGCCCTCCTCCACCTCCTACAAGGGAATATAACCAGCCACACAACACATTAGGTATTATCATTTTTGTCTTCTCTTTTTCCCTCTAATGAGGTGTTTATTCAATATTCAAACAAAAATATAATTTTACTTACAATTTAGCAAAACAATGAAACATCAATAATACACACAATATTTGTTCAGATCTAAATAAATAAGCACATTTGCAGGAAATTTCATATTTTGTACTTTCAAATGCTCATTTATTTTTATTCTGTTAGTCATTTCTCTCTTAAATAAATCAAATTCAAATCTCTATTATCATATCCATACTTATTACGAAAAATAATCCTTTTATAAATAAGGTATAATAATAATAAATAATGTTAATATGTCTTGTTTACCCAGGGTAGCCTCATCAGTATTCATACTGTTCTCCCTGAGGGCCCTGCAATCATATCATTACACCGGCTTTAGCCGAGCTCCCATGAAAAGGTGCTCGAGCATTCAAGGGATTTTCCTACTACCGGTTTAATACCCATTTACCTCGCCTGGGTGGAGTATGGCAAATGAAGATTAATATCTTGCCAAAATACATTGATGCACATATATATGTATATCAATGTCTATCCTTTAAACTTAGTGTAGCGCTACACCCAATGCTATGTAGGTCCAATGTTACCAGGACGATAGGTCACATCTTTCAGTGCTGATATAGAGTCAAATATTTCAGGACAAAGATAAGCTTGACTTCCTTTTTTCAAATTTAAAGAGGTTCACTGTAATGGAAGAACGTTAGTATCATATGAAGGCATATGAATATGAATACAAACTAGAACTGAAAAAGATAATACCGCAAGGATGCACTGAAGGCTAATGGAGATGAGGTGAACAGAAGCTTAGATGGATCAACGCCCAACTGAATAAGACAGTTAACAGGTCTATCACTTGTCTTGGTCCATCATATTGGAGGGAGAACGAGAACCAGAGGCGGGAAAGGGAGAGGGTGAGAGAGTAGACAAAGAGAGGCAGAGACAGAGGGAGGCAGAGCAAGAGAGGGAGAAGGAGACAGAGATAGGGAGAGGGTGATAGAACTGTTCACTTTGGAGAACCATCACCAACAGGGGCACGAAGGGTCAGTCACGACTCAAGACCTATTTCCTATCCTCAAACTTGCCAAACTTGTTTGAACTTGGGGAAACCATAAGGCTTAAAGGCATCGTTTAACAATGTTAAATCTGAGATGCACGGCCCTACGTGTTTTCTGTGAAAAAAAAAGTTAAAATCTTAGAGTGACCTGTTTTACCATACTTTTCTTCCCCAATATATTGTAGTGTTATGAATACCGTTAGGAAAAAACAAAAATTTGGTTTCGATTTCCAATCTTAAATATCTTAATGATCAGACAGGCGATCGGCTTGTAAAAAATCATGGGGGTCCTGATTGACCTAAAGGTTTATCATTATCATTGCAGCATGAGCTAAATCCATAATCTGAGACAAAGTTACCGGATCCCTTTAAAACTTCCTTCCTCATACATGCAGGAGAGTTGAGTATGAACCAGCCCTGGTTACAAAATGGCACTGCCCACTGCCCATCAAACCTCTTCACAAGTTTTGAAGTTGTCATCAGTCAAACACAAATTGGCAACACTGTGACGTATTATACAAATAACCAACGGCCCAGCGTTCGTTAGTGGTGAATGCAATGAAACAGAGTGTACACTGCTGTACATTACACACAACAGGGTCAAGTGGGTTATTTGTTTTATAAAATAGCGACACATGAAAATCAAAACAAACAAAAGTCTAGATCTAACCTTAGATTCCAGGAGAACGGTTATGTTGGTTCTAGAAAATTATACGATAAGACCTTGCTACTTACTCTACACGTACGCTGCGCTGGATATTGATCTTTTAGTGTGCAATATCACTTTTGACAGCGCTTTTTTGTCACGATCGTGCATGCACCAAACATGGGTGCATGTCATGTGACATGTTTTGACCAATCACGATGCTTAAAATACTAGAGCTATTTTATAAATTATTTTAACTCCTCTCTTATAAGCTCTGTATTGACAATTTTAATAAACTTTTATTTTCTTAGTTATTGATGAGTGAATAGATTTGTTTCATACAGGGGTTGTATAAAAACATTAACATATTTGCAATAACTATATTAAGGGGGGAATGCATGATTAAACAATTTCTTAAGGGAAAATATAAATTTTTGTTAAGTTTTTTTCATACAAGGCAAATGGTAGGTGACCTCACAAAATAGGTCACACAGTTGCCAAATTTTGTTTGACGGATTGCACCTTCAAAAAATTCATAACTTTCTTATTTCTAATTGGGTTTTGCTCAGACTTTCACTGACCCGTTTTTCATATTTTCTGCCTCTAATAAAACCAACTTAATTTTAGAGTGGACTTCCATTACAAAAAAAATCTTTAAAATGACATCATAAGGAATTAAGGATAGAATTATTCAAGATGATGCATTGGCCTGCATCCTGTAACTAAATGTCTGAAGCCTACTCTTTTCTGCTGGTATTAACATCTGGAGCCATATCAGCTGAACCTGAACAACCCCAAAACCCTATTAGAGATACATACCGGGATACACATGTATGTAACAAATCCATTTAAATATTCAAGTGTAACATAATATAGGCGCATTATGCAGGTGAATGTTTTTCTTTTCTTTCCTTTAGTTGATATTGCTATAAAAATAGTACTCAAAATTTGATAGCATGTAGTGAATTTCAGATTGTATATCCCTGTGAACTTCCAAAGAGCTTTGGAAATCATATACCAGTACTTTGTACCGGCTATTAGCAGTATCTCCTGTAAATGCTATTCGTTTCAATTTATACTTGTATATCAAGCGTACATGTATGTAACCTTGCTATCTTGAAAATGATGTTCTAATTCTATCATTTCAAAATGATATCCTGAAGTGTGTTAAACTTATTTGTATTTTGCCTTCTTTCTTGCAATGACTTGATAGATGTGAATATGCCCACAATTATACAATTTTCTCACAACTGCGCCGGGAGAGTCAATGTTGACAGACATGGCGTATTACAAATGTTCACTATTATTGTTCATTATATACATGTACCTCTCTTTAATATGTTGAATAAATCTAGTCATCTGATTGGTTGAAATTGGAGTCGTGATTTTAGCCATGCCTGCCTATGGGTCAATAGTTTTTAAAAAGATGCCCATTGCCCCGGGTAACGGGCCGCATAAATAAATTTTGCTGAGATCCCCATTGGTTTCAGTGTAAAAAGTTTCTTTGTGCGAGCCCGGATACAAAATACAGTGAAGTGTGCGTGCAATTCCCGAATGCAGATCCTAACATTGAGGCAACTTTCCAGCGAAGATTTACAAACAGTGTCTCAGATTTTCTGCGATGTTTTATTAAACCAGTCTTTACTCAAGAAAAGGATAAGGTAAGAATTCTTTGTAGATTAGTTTGTGAATTTGGTATATAAAAGATATATGGCCTGCTTGAATATATTCAAAGCATAGCTGTTTCTATACTGGCTCTCGGATTGAGCCTATAGAAACAGCGATGCCTCTCATAAGAGTCAACATATCTATACTGTTATTACACTCACCGCCTCTCACATTGATGTCATAGATCGATAGACTGCAGTCTGTTCTGTACTTGTCAAAACTAACAGCCAACTGAAAGAAAATTATACAGAAAAGTACATAGCACACAATTATTAAAAAGCTTTGAAAATCACTTTACGCAATAGACCGGGTTACCATCATATATTCAAAGTTATGGACGTTTCTTTCCATGAGGACCTGGTGACAGGCTATTCCATTAACCTGTTAAATAACAATGAATGAACTAAAATACTTGGAATCCAGTCTGCATACATTACTTGTTGCTATGTCAGGAAAGCATCAGGCAAGCTTTCAGGTTGTCAGGAACAACCTTTTAGTAATAAGATTGCATAAACTTTGAATATGGTAGTAAACTGTATATCATTTGAGGACTAACATTTTTTAGAAAATTTGAAAATATATTTTTTTTCTCACATCAACATCGGAGACGGGAAGATTACAAGAAAAAAAAAAAACACATGGAGGAAATCATACAGGATATATGTTAACAACAACCCCATTAAAAAATAATAATATACATAGCCTTAATGTATAAATGGTGCAAACATTGATTAAATCTAGTCTCTCCTTCCTTGTGTCATATTGACAGTGACAGATACAAGGTATACTTTATCTACGCAACAGGGGAAAAAATGTGCTCAAATTTGTGCAGGTGCCAAAGGATGCCCTGCTCCAATATGGATGTCACAGTTAATATTTATGAAATGGGTTCAAGAAGGTGGCCAATGAGAAACGTCAAAATGGATCATGTGACCGTGCATTATTTGTTACTATCTGCACGGTACCATCTGCATGGGATGCATTTGGGTGATAACAACCGTGGATGAAGGTCGCAAGGAGACATCTTCTCCTTATGGCCTTGCTAAGTAAGATTGTTGACCCATTTTATAAAACAAATAATACACAGGTTTTCGTTTATGACGTTATGGCGATGCAGCGCTATTCGGGTATTCACAATGGCACAAAATACACTCGGCTAGGTCTCATGAATTTTATTGCACCATAGTGAATACCCTCATGCACTGCATTAACCATAACGCACTCACACCTGTGTATTATTTGTATACTATACTAGTCAAGACTACAAGCAAGCTGAAATTATGCCCAAATTCATGACAAACTGAATGTTTTCTATGTACCCGGTATAGAATACACTGATATAAAATTTATGCCCCCTCTATACGATCGATATCAAAAGATACAGGCCTCAACAGAAATGATACCATGTGGAAATGGTACTTGCTGATTCTGTATGCAAATCAAAGAGGATGATAATCAAGACAAATCATGTTAAAAAACCCAATTTCAATACAGAGGAGGCGCGATAGCTCAGTCGGTAGAGCAGTGGTCTCGTTATCCGGTGACCCGGGTTCGAAACCAAGGCTTATGCCCTTTTGTAAGGCATTAATCCTCATTACCAGGTCTCTCGGAGAGGACCTTAAGCCGTCTGTCCTCTGGTTGCTTTAATACTTACAAGCATTTATGCTTTCTTAGCAGTCGGGTAAATCAACCACCACTACACAGTATGATATCAAAAGATACAGGCCTCAACAGAAATGATACCATGTAAAAATGGTACTGAATCTGTATGCCATGCAAGTAGGATGATAATCAAGACAAATCTTATAAAAAAAAAAATTCAACACACAATCCACTACCTGAAAACAGTTTCCCCTGTATTATTGTTCTAACAAGCCAAGCTTATACAGAGCCTATAATAAGTAATGCTGTGGTCCATGCACAACATTACTTATCATAGGCTCTGTATAAGCTTGGCTTGTTAGAACTCATGTGAGTAATGTGCCGCGGGATTCCATATCCACGAACAGAGCAACAAGACCAAACTCTGTTATTATTAGGATCTCTGTCCAGTAGTGCCGTGTTTTTGCCATCAAACTAAATTGACCAAATCAATTGAATCATAATATATATATATATATATATATATATTCTTTTTTTCTTTCCCCATAACATGAGAGTAATTTTAATAGTTTCATACTTTTAATTTAATGTAATGTTAATTGTTATTGTACAATTGTTTTAAATGGGGGCATGCTACAAGAGTCCTATCTCGCACCCTGGGGCAACGTGTCTGACACGGCCGGTTGTAGCATCTACTTCAAAGATCAAGATACATTAATCTTGCTCTAAGGAGACACGAACGAGCAAAATGCTGCCAAGCCATCGGATATTACTTACCAACTTTGAGTCGACAGCATTCCATGCCAGGCTGGTACATAGTCTGGAATGCTTGGGAGGGAATTCTGCTCCGATGAGATTAGTAGGATCTGTCTGCGGATCTGATACAAACGAAGTGAGCAACACCTTTCCTGTAGAGAGACCAAGACCAAGCAGGTTCTCTGGTACTGCCTTCGGGTAACAGGCAAAACACTGCACAATCATAACAGAGAAGGACAAACAAAATTCCATGTTAGGTGAGAATATTTTGCCCAAAAGAGCTATGGTAAAAAAAAAGAGCACTTTTTAAAGAGGGAAAATGCACAAATTACTTTGGAAAGCAGATGGAAAGGGGAGAAAGAAAGAGACACAGAGAAGAAGGAAACCTTGGTTTAGGTAAATACAAAACAGAAGAGGAGAATAGAAGGTGAGAATGATTAAAGTTGAAACAAACAGGAAAATGAGACAGAATGGTAAGAGATGAGAGTGTTGAAGATAACCCCCCCAAAAGAGTTTAGTATAATTATCTGAATAAAATGATATACTCTATACCATCAACTTTGCTATACACTTTTCTGAAAGCAAGTTTAGAAGGGACAATTACCATTACCGGTAAAGATTATTTGCATCAAATCACCCCTAAAGCTATTAGACATACAAGTGGTTTAAAAACAAAAGAACATTAGGGGGAAAGATGATTCCATATGAATTTTCACTGATAAGTTTTCTCACGTTTCACTTCGTTGTGTGTGCGCGTACGATTGACTTACCGTAACCGTTTTACTCTTGTCGTTCGTGTTTTATATTATGAACCTTACTTTTATTCTCTGAACTTCGTCTTTGTTGTTCGTAAAGAGATCCGACTTGGAGAATTGAAGGCGTGCAAATCCTGTTTCAGAAACCTGCCGACCTGATGGTTTAGAAGATCCTGCAAAAAGTGCATAAGTAAGTTTCATGTGAATAATCATGAAGACTTATATAAAGAGTCAAAACATTCCAGGCACCATCTAACAGACTCAAGTTTAATCATACCGGTACAGCCAAATTGTGACCTTCTTGTATTACAACGCATATCACATTATGATATAACATCTCTAAGGGCTTAATATAAAGGACTTTGAATATTATGAGAGGTAGATGCCTGCAATTAAAAGTCTTGATCTAACATAAGAGCATAAAAAGGAACATCTTTAAATGTAGCTTAATTCAATAATTACAGCATTCATAAAAATATGGACAATACTCTAATCAGTCTGGACACTGAAGGTATCATAAATCATGGAAGCATAGCGTTTGGCTGAGCCAAGACATTCAGTGCGAGAGTCTCATCCACAAAATTCATGACGATATGTTTAATGGCTTGTTTTACCCGACTGCTCGGAAATCTACTTGTAAGTAAGCAACCATGGGACTGACGGCTTTTAGTCCTCTCATGGTGTGAACTATAGCTTCTCGGTTGTCTTGAGAATGTTCTACGCCCCTAAACTTCATCTTAAGGCACAGCACTAATTCAAGATCACCTTCAGTGACAGTTTTCACCTTACCCATCAAAGCAGTCAATATTTGAAGAGTTTAATTCCAGAAGGAGCTAAATTCATTTTGTAACTTCAGAGAAAAGGGAATTTTTTTACCAGATTTTGTACAGGCGTCTATGGAAAAGTGATATTAGAAGGTTTTCATAATTGCTCCCGATAATTTTGTTGAAAGACGGGTTCTTAAGTGAACAGTGTTCTGATATCAATAACTCAATTTTCATCAAAAGTGGATTTAGCTCCTTTTGGAATTGATCTCTTCATTTGTACATCATCCTCTTACCATGTCCTGCTATGTCATAATTGGAGAGTGACTCCACAGCATACTGGTTGAATTCCACTTGATTTGTTCCAACCGACAGGGAGAAAAAGGTATCAGGATGCACCGGGGACCATTGAATATCCTGCGTCCACTTGCTTGTCATCTTGGTATCCAGAAAGTTACAGTGGCAGGTTACTACTCAGCATGACTACTAAGATGATAAAGCTGAGAAGATTTGTAATCGTTAAGTCGCTTCACACAAAAGTACTCTTGTATTAAAAATAATGGACTAGTTATCAAAAGTCATCAAACTGCTTCATCTAAAACTGCTCAAATAGACGCCCCCCCCCAAAAAAAAAAAAAAAATTCTTACAAATATGAGCACTAGCAGATCGACAAAGAGATATTGACAGATGTACATAATGATTACCAACCACTGGTTCAACAGGAACGACAGAAGATTAGATTGCCGATTTAAACAACAACAATTTCCTAACATTGGTGTTGGGCAAGTTGGAATTATTGTATTTAAATTACATTTGGAAGTCAGTGTGTCAGCGAACATGTCCAGTGTTGCTTACTGCTCCTTTTTAAACTATAAAATGTATTGCTTTTTTCATAAAATCCGTAAAGTTGGCAACGCGAAATCAGACGTTTTTATACGCCAGTTTTATCTGCGATTCCGGCCAGGATCAACACCATGAACCCCCGTCAACGTTTACAGGTACAGGATTCATGTACAAGGAGAAGAAAGCTCTGTCATTCATGTAAAGAAAATTCCAATTTTGTGTCATTTGTGAACCGATCTCACGTGTTGGATGACAAGAAAGAAGGATCCTTCAGGGTAAATTGAAGGTACTTTGCAAGGTTTATTGTGTGCAGGAATAGGTGATTATGTTCACATTTGTGTTTTTGATTACATGGCTCTTGCCATATCTATGGCTGTGGGCAGTTCAGTGCCAAGCCCAACAAAGGGCATCCAGATTTCTGCACCTGCGCAAGAGCATCATCTAGTGGTGCATGAATATGCCTAGTAATGAGCTTCGATCGTAACACTCACATCATACAAGTAGTAGATCTATTTTCAATTTTTATTCTGGCATAAAAATATTACTTTAGCTTTGGTCTTACTCCTACTTTTAGTTATACTAATAAAAAGGTCTTATATCAAAACACATTAGGCCAAATAACAAAAAATAATGTGTTTCTAGTCCGGACTTTAAAAAAAAAAGAGAAGGCAGGGCATTACTACCGGTATTTACTATTTTGCAATTTTTTTTGTTGCAATTTTTTCCAAGATGGCTGCCATGCTAATTATAGCTGACCAAGCCTATTTATTCACGGATATTGGGCTATGTGAATATACTGATGCAATACATGACAAAACAAATAAAAGTGACTTTGGCCTTAAATTACTCCTTTATTTTGTGGCTAGTGCTGCCCTCTATGGCCAAATACCTTAGTTGCAGTAGCAAAAATTGCCACTTAACTTCTTAATCTTATAGGCTTAACAGCGTGTCCACACACACACAAATTTATCCCAAAACTCTATAAAGAAACGTCGTATAAAGAATCATTGTATATAGCGAACAGGGCGTCCATACAAAAGAAACGTCGTTTAGCAAACAGGGCGTCCACACACACACACAGTAAGAAACATTGTATAAAGAAATGTATAAAGAAACTGATTTTGATGAGATCGGTTGACATGACAGCCGGCCGATCATGAAGTGCGGTCACGTGAAGCCCCGCCCATTTATACCGTTCTAGTTTGATCGTACGTCCACACACAAAACATTCTGTGATTCTTTATCGAGTTCTAGTTCAAAACGATGCCCAGACCTGCGTTTCATTATATGACGTATAGTTAGTAAGCGTACACACACACTATTTCATTGTATGGCTATTCTGAAACGGTATTCTATACCGTTTTAGGATAGTTATAACTATAAGATGAATTTTTTCTATGTGGACACGGTGTAGTTATTCTTAATCTTAATTTAAGCAGCTTTTAACTTAAATTAGGTTAAACCTAAAGTTTAAAGATAAAGTTGACTTACTTATATGAGTTATCCAATTTTTATCTCAGAACTGTGAAACGGTACATTCATGCATTTGAACTGGTAATCTATGACATGACCCGTCCGATATATTTCCGGGTCAACCTACCAAAACATAGCCCATGGCCAATCAGAGCACTCATTTAATATTGGGTTTATCAATATTTATATATCACTGGGTCAAGCCGGGCTGATTCGTACGTAGCTATTGGAGGTTCGAAAAAGAAAAAATTAATATTCATCAGCTAAAACCAAGATGACTGACAACGAATATGTCGACTACAAGACTTTCTCGAATTAATCATGTGAGCAAGCTATCGTAAGTCAAAGTAGATATTTCTGTGTTATTTTTTATCTTTAATAAAAATCAGTGTAATATATTGCAGCCAGAATGGATATATGAAGACGTACTAAAGAGTGAAAAACTTGTTGCATATATCTCATTCATTGCGGTCCAGCCGAACCGAACCAAATCCTCCCGTACAGTCCCCATACGACGATCTTCAGTCTATGTATAGAGGCAGTCAGAGGAGCCAGATGCGATCTAAGCGGAACAAACGTTGATATCAGAGACTGAAGATTTCGGTCTAGGTCTACTCTTCAGCAAAAATTATAACTCTGCATGTACCACTTTTTTGTCCATTCTGGACAAAACTTAGATGAATATACTGCCTATATTTTGGGGAACCGTATCTTTTGATAGAAATTCAGTGAGTTTTGAAATTTGAAATGTGTTCTTCTGAGTAGACTAGGCCTAGATTTTTCGAATGATCCAACCATAATGGTGAAAAACAATCCCAAAAGGAAATTGAAAAATCGTTTAGACACAAAATGGTGGCATAAAAATCAGGCCTCATTTTTATAATTTTAGGCTGTTCTTCTGAATGGAATTCATATTCGGACATCGCTAGAAATCAGCACTAGGTCTAGGGCACTCCAGCAAAGCATAGAGAGTCAATGCTAACGCGTATTGACCTCTAGCACTGCATGCTTGCTGTGAGGCAGGTATTATTATACCCATACACAAATATACACACCACACAAAATCGCATAGACTGTACACAATCATGTCGATGCAGCTGTAAGCAAAGTTTGACACTAGACTTACAATTTGAATTTTTAAATTATTCTTTTTAACATCAGTAAGTTAAAAAAAATGTATTTTACTGCTATTTAGGTGTCATCTATTGTCACTAAAGTACCGATTTTGAGTGAAATCAGTTGAGTTTTGTACAGTGGTGTTTGAAATGTTGACAAACATATAGACTTTTCCATGGGATTGACCGCAGTGACCTCAACCAATTCTTTCAATAACCTTTGAATGACAGAACATGTGGCCACAGCTTCAAACTATCGAAAGTTAGAGCCTTCACTTCTATCCGAATGGGATCGTTTTCACAGCGAGTCGTCAATTTATGGAATGCGCTTCCAGTTTATGTAATTGATAGCCCATCTGTAAACTCATTCAAATCCAACCTAGAAAAAGCATGGAGAGCTAAATTATAATATGACATGTACAACCCTAAAGAAATGTTTCCTTGCTATTGCATTGTCCGAAGCTCCGACGTAGGCGCAATCCCCAGTACATACAGACATTAATCCTGCTGCAGAGGGGCATATAAGTAATTATACTTGAAGCCCAACATCAAGGTAAATCAAGGTAAAGTTAAATCAAATCAAGGTAAATCAAAAGCCCAGCTTTTACTACACAGCCAGGATAGTGATGCTCCTATGTGTGGTCTAGAGTAGGGTCTATTGTCCAGAGCTGTAACTTGTCATATTTAGAATATGAAGGCATTTGAAGAGCCATGCTTTTCAGGGAACATTTTTTTCCTTGATGTTCTTCCACTCTTCCACACTTGCATAATATTAATAGCAATGAGAACGCTCAACCTTCTCTTCAACTTCAAGCCAGACCAGCTGCGCCAGGGCCAATATTTTGAGAAATCTGGTAAGTTTTGTACAGTGTCTGTGGTGTCTGTGTTGTATGAAATTGTTGAGAAACAACAATTGTTGAGAAACATGTTCATACTCATAATAGTATACTAATGCTCCTATTGCCAAAACAAAGTGAAGGTAAAAAAAGTAAAGATTAATAAATAATAGGCTCAACATTTGCTTTGACCCGACACCATTTACTACATGTGGGACCTTATCTGAATTTTAGCTGCGAGAATAACGTGATTTGATTTTGAAATCTATGGTCAGATCTACAATTTACAGGTGAAGGAGCGAAATAATTGACACCGAGCTATTAATAATATTCACACAAATTAAACAGTGAGTTTTCTTACCTCTAGATTAATAAATATTATAATACGATGTAGGCCTAGATCTACAGACTATCATAATTATCGGCATCACATTTGGGCTCCTTGTACTTGTAGTTTTGTAATCGAAACTAGCGACCAATAAGCGCCATGCATCGGCGACCAATACGTTTCGATCACGGAACTACTGCTGTACATACACGAAAAATCCTTATTGTCAGGTGTAATTTTATGCAAAATGCTAGTTTGTCAATAGTGGAAAAAACTCATTTTTGGCTCAGATTTGATATCCTTATGAAAAGATTTTACACCACATAGCTAGTCTTCTGGAAAAATGACTTGGGGATTCACAAGACATGCAGTCAGTCTTGTGGGCATTAAATTCTGACAACTTTTCTGAGGGTTCGATATAGAGAAAAACATTGTTGGTACATGACGGTCTTGTGGGCTGTCGATGTAATCCCTTCTAGATCAAAAACAGGAAATTAAAAAGTAATTCCCTTTCTTTCATTTTGTTGAAATATTTGACTTTGCCGTTTGCGAGATTTATAGCAAGCAGTCAGATGGAGAGATGGCGGGGAAGGGGCAACTGCCAACTTGCACATCACAAAGTATATATAGAAGAAGTCTATTTGTCTATTGCACTCAAAATTCTGCATTACTAAATTTGTCCCCAGACACTGGCCAAAATGAAGAAAAAAGTTATTATGAAAAAACAACAACAACAAACCCCACACATTTTCGGCTCAAAATATATTTTACACATTACATAACTCAATGAAATGGATCATATTTGAAGATAATGTAATTATCCATCATGACACCAAACCCATTGTGTTTTGAGGTTTTACTTTAACAAAAAAAAAAAAAAAAAAAAAAAAAAAAAATAATAATAATAATAATCGGCTTTTAACTCGATTTAAACACAGTAATTACGTCCGCAATACACTAGATCTATTTAAGGCATATAACACATGCATATATGGGCCAAACAATGTCGTTTTTGTTGAAATCAACCCATTTTTAACTTTGGGTTACTCTCAAAATGTATACAAGACATTAGTTGTCCTCGCACAATCATATGCGAATTCCTGGAAAGTTTAAAGTGTTTATGGAAAAAAATTAAAAATGTCCTGTTTGTTAATTAGCCCCAATTCCATTGAAATTGATATAAAATGTAAGTAATTTATTTCTCTTTCATATGATACCAAGCTCATTGTTGTTTAAGGTTTCCTTGTAATTTGATTTACGACATACTATTTTTTGTCAAAATGGCCTCCCATCTATTTAGGGGTGACCTCTACAAAAAAAGACCTTTGAAAGATTGTTTATTATGATACAATCTTTCGAATAAACAAAGTATGCTAAGTTTTTGAATCAGTGGCAACCAAACCCCTACTCTTTTCTGACTTTGACCCTTCGGATCCGCTTACATATAGCTCCGTTTAGTCTCATTTGACAATGCCCCCTATCGGCAGAGTCCAGCAGCCTAAACATGTACGTTAGCCTATGGACTTTTACCTCCCAAATCGTTAAACATTCTTGTTTTGTTTAAACGAAAAACACATCCACCCCGACGTACGTTATCACTAGCTCTTTCATTGGAACCCTCCTGTCCCGTTGACTTTTAAAAGTTCACCCATCGTAATTTGATCAAAATAGGTCGCAAGCTCGATCGTCATTGCCTATATACCACATGTGCAACAAGTCGAACTTTGAATTCAATTTGCCACGCGATTGTAAGGTTATAGGTCAATCACACGAAGGATAACAATTAAGCATGAATTATCATAGATTTGTTCATTATGTCCATTTCAGCCAACCCCCCACCGTAATTTTTCCATTTAGTATAGGCAAGCATTTTGCCGAGGTAAGCAAATACATGAATATTCATGAACGCCATGAACTATTCGATTATTTACAGAGGGGTGCAATTGTGCACCACATCAAACTCCCCTATACTTTCAGTCAAGTATTTCATTGTATTATGTAGTTTGGTAGGTTTATTTTACTAACTGTTTAATTATCAGATATCAATGATAGTTTGAATATATGGAATAGGTTCTTGTATTTCATATTTAGCAAAGCAATCTCACATACAAAGTCACTATCAAGTGTCGTCTGATCCGCCAATTGCCGTCTGCTATACGTACTTTCAAGGCACCGAATGTGATGTGCACAGTTTACTCGTCATTGTAGATTTATGATTAGCCATCTGTCATGTATTAGTCTTTAATAAATTGTTGACACACATGAACACTCTCACTTCCCCCTCCCCAACACACCATTTCCGCATTTTCACACATCATACCCAATGACATACACCCTGCAACATAGTGGAACATTCTAGTTTGGTAGTGACGGCGAACTAGCTACGTTTGTGCTGGCAATTAATGGTCCAGCGAGCGAAAATGAGACAACCGGAGCAATATGTAGACTGACATCACATATTCTACTCATCAACCACGCCACCACGCACCACGTATCTCGGATTTAACGTCTAGATCTTCACCCGTTTTTATCACGTTTTTTTTATAACATTTTGGCGGATGTTATGTTTTCATCGTATCAGTAAGCTTTTGGAATATATCCTCGGACCTATACTTCTTTGTGACTTCTGTACTCTACCATCTTGAGCGTTTTATATCTTTGGATTTCGACCCTTCTGTCATCTTGTTTTGCCATAGTCCCACTCATGGCCGGAGCAGTACGGACGAATAAGTACAAGGGAAAACCAGGTACACCTACGTTTAAGTATAAATTGCCGACTGGTTTGAATATTAAATGCATTACTTACGCTCTAGATTTGATCGGTAAGGCCCATACTAGAGTGCCTGAAGGCCTAGCCCCAGCGGATTTTATGCTAGGTGAACTTACAATGATTTACCCGCATCTCAATCTTGAAATTTGTCGCCATTTTGTTGCCACCCGAGAAGTTACGGAATTTTCCGAAGATCTTCAAGCACCGTCACCAACATCACCTGTATTATATAACTCTACCTGTGATGAGTCATTCATCAATTTGTCTGATGACGCAACAAAGGAATGCCAATTGTGTGGATTGAAATGTGATGAGAAAGAACGCATTTGCATGAAGTGTAAATGCATAAATCAACGAATCGACCAGCTGTCATCAGATCTTAAGAAAGTCCAACATGCAGTTGAAGCTATTCTCGATGCTCCTAAGAATGTGAAGACCAACCCCTCCCCCAAGAAGCAGCGGAGAACCCCACCACCCGCCCAGAAGTCAGATCGTCAACAAGATCAGATATCATCGGCCGCTTTTCAGTCTCAATACATGTATCCACCGCAACCCCCTCCTCCTCATCAACGTATGCAGTTTGTCCCGCCCACTTCAGACTTCCCAGCACCCCTCCCTCAACGTAGACTGAACCCACAATTGGACCAATCCCGTTACCAGCCGCTTCTACAACCCCCTTCGCGTCCTATGCAACCACCTCTGAATGAACCGACAATCAACCACCATCATCCCAGACCATCTACATTCTTTAACCATGACCTCTACCAGAATCAAGGTTTCGCATTTCCCCCCTCTCCATACAACCAGAGCCAACGCCGCTCCTACGCTTCGGTAGCAGCCCCGCCCACCTTTTACAACTACGCTTCAGCGAGCTGCACTTATTGCGGCGAACTCAACCATCGTGAACATAAATGCAAACATGGTGTCCAGCTTCAATGCCGACGATGCTTACAATACGGACACAAAGAAAAAATGTGCCATTACTAGGTTGCAGGCCAGGAAGAGTGTGCCTTTGAAAGCGAAGTATCTTTGAAGCAAAGTGATTTACTTTCATTTCCTAATGAGCATGACAAGTGTGCTAGTAAACTCTCCAAAGTAAAAGGATTAAAAATTGGTCATCTAAATGTTCGAAGTCTACATGGGAAGATAGACGAAATTCGTTTTCTGACCTCTAAGATCAATCTTGATATATTATGTCTTACTGAGACATGGTTGCATGACATGATAGATGATAGCGTAGTTAAAATTGATGGTTATCACTTAATAAGAAGAGACAGGAATAACAGCACTAGAGGAGGTGGTGTCTGTATATATGTTCGTAATATCATTGTTTTTTCAGAAAGATATAACTTGTTAAGTATTAACGTAGAGGCCACTTGGATTGAATTATCATTGAAATCTGATAAACTTATCATTGGGTGTTTATATAGACCACCGAATTCTGACTCTTCTTATTTTGATAATATGCTGAATATTTTTGAGAAAGTAGCATCTGAAGATAAGGACCTAGTTATATTGGGTGATTTTAATTATGATTATAAGTTTGATGCTGCAAGTTTTAGTGATAATCCTGTTAATATGATTGAAAATCTCTTCTCATTAACACAATTGATCCATAAACCCACCAGGGTTACAGGCACCTCTTCTAAATGTTTAGACCATATTCTTACTTCTGTACCAGATAAGCATATACTAAGTGACGTAGCTAAGATATCCCTAAGTGATCATTACTTTATATACACATGTATAAATGTCAACAATACTTCTAAGAATGTTCATAATGTAGTACGATTTAGAGACTATAAGAATTTTAACGAGAATGCTTTTATTGATGATTTAAAACATTCTGACGTACTTAATAATAATTGTACTTTTTGTATTCCCCTACGAGAAAAGTGGGTTGAATGGAAACAGGCTTTTTTAAATTGTTGTAACAAACATGCTCCTGTAAAAGAATGTCGGGTTAAAACTAGGCACTGCCCATGGATAAATTCTAATATTATTAAACTTATTTATAAAAGAGACTACTTAAAGAAAAAATATGATAGACTAAAAATTCCATATCTATTGACTGAATATCGAAATCTCAGGAATTCAGTCACCAAGCTCATACGAAAAGAGAAGAGAGAATATTTTGATTCAGTATCTGAGAGATACAGTAATGATAGTAAGAAGTTATGGAAGGAGTTAAGCAAAATTACTGGAAGGGGGAAAAAAGACTCTGTTTTACCATCTGATTTAGACAGTAATAAATTGAACGATTATTTTGTAAATATTGGTAAAAAGATTTCAGAAACTTTCAGTAATCACGATTTATCATGGAACCACCCTGAAAGTATACATACCTTTGTC